CAGTTCCTTTTGGTTAGGGAGGTTGAAATCTAAGTTTCTCCAGAAGGAGGATTTGCCTGATCTACCATGGCAAAAAAGGCCTGTTTCCTAGATTACTAAATCAATACAGCTGAAACCAACAGGATGGGGACAAGTGCTGCATCCCTGTCCCATACAATTTCCCCCTTCAGTGTGCTCCCTCCCACAGATGTTCTTCTGTTGTGGATCTGTGCCAACGATGTTCAAAGTGACCACATTAAGAGGGGAGAGCCCCAGGGAATTGGGGAAAATAAAAATAAAAAAGAAAACCACACACATGTACTATTTACTAGATAATAAAGACAAATATGTTCACATCCTGTCATCTCAGGCATGAATAACCCCACTAATGCACTCAGAGGGGAGGCCCTGTTAGAAAACACTGCCAAGTTTCTCACTCCCCTTCCTGGCTCCCATTCTTAACTGCCTGTTCTTTTTCAGGCTTCAGTTGGGGCTTTCAATTCTTTCTGTGCTTCGTTAATTACCCCTCTTTCAGCCAGGATCACTTTTGGTCTGGGAGACGGGAGAGGCACAAAGCAGGAAAATAGATGTAGTCACAGGTTTTTCCTGAGACCAAGAATGGGGAGAGGCCAGAACACATGCACCCTCTATTCTCCTCGCCTCTTTTCTTTTTGTGCCCCACCAGGTGACTCACCCTGCTGTACTCTGGGCACGAGGGCGGCAGCCTCTGTCCCCCGTGGAGGTGCAGACTGGGGCATGCACTTTTCCTTTTTTTCTTTAGTGTGGTGGAGGCGTCAGCTTCAGATTCAGACCCGATCACTAGAAATTTGTTAACAAAGGTCAGGAGCCAAAGGAGAGGGAGTTACCAGTAAAAGAGGTCCAACAGGTTGTCAAGCGAAAGTCCCAGGGCCTGTGCAGCATCTGATGCAGCGTCTGATGCTTTGTTGGGGGAGGAGGTCCGAGGGGCCCATTATTCTCAAAAGGTTGCCTCAGGGGAGAACTGTTACCCTGACTGCAGAAATACTGCATTGTCTCAGGGACACTTAGAGCTGTGTAGAGTCTATAGGGGTTACCTAGGGTGCTGGCTGTTTTGCAACCATCCCAGGTGGGTAGGTTGATTGTCAGCGCTTGCAGAGGGAAAGAGAATTTTGGAGCCCTCGATAGATTTTTACAGGCGTTTGATGCTGAATGGGGACTGACCGGCCTGCAGGGAGACAGCAATCTCTGGCATTCTCTTTGGCGCTCTCCCTGTTAGTTTCCCTCTTAGACCACTCCTCTCAGAGTGGCCCCAAATGCCAGAGCTCAGGCACTCTCTTATCCCTCCTAGTTTTATCTCAGCACAGTTGCTCCCACTTCACACATGCGTATGCCTGTGCTGTCAGGGCCCATGCTCCATAATCATAGGTGCTCAGGCACTGCTCCATGCCTCTTGGCCTCGGGCATCCACTCAATTAGGAGGAGGGCACAGCAGCCGGCTGCAGGTGGAGGTAGTAGAGGCTGGTGGCGGGAGGCTGTAAGGAAGCCTGATTCACTTCACTTACCCTACACTGGCCTTTAGAATTACCAAGGCGGGGGGGGGGGCGGGGTGGGGTGGGGGTGTGTGTGGTGTGTGTGTGTGTGTGTGTGTGTATGTGTGTGTGTTGGGGTGGGGGGCGCCTCCCCTGGTGGTGCAGCAGTTGAGCGCTGGGCTGCGAAGCTGCCCGCAGCCTCCGTAGTGCCGGTTTGATCCTCGGATGCTGGCGAGGGCCCCACATGGCCCGACAGACCTCTCCTGCTATGCCCGCTGCTCCCCTAAGCAGTGTATTTCATCAGTCTGCCTGTTCTGCTCCCCGCTCTGGCTGTGGTGAATTCTCTCACCCTCCCGCACTTCTGACTGTTCCCAGTGCTAGTATAAATAAATAAATCTTAAAAAAAAAATTACCAAGAGGACAGGATAATTGCTTTAAAAAATCCTTATGTCCAGACTCCACCCCTGAATAAGGACATTATTAGAGGAAGAGGGAGGAGCAAGAGCCTGGAGCCAGTGGGTGGCTTTCCCAGGTGAATGGAGGTAAAAGGTGGAGCTTTCTGGATGGCATCCCTTGACTCCCGGATTGGGGACTGCTGGGAACTAGGGGCCGAGGAGAGCCGCCAGGTTGACCTGAAAAAGGCTAACTCAGGTAGGCTGCTCTTTTTTTTTTTTTTGCCTTCTGCTTGTACCCTGGTTTCTGCTCAGCTGACACAATATGCTGGTAGGACAAATGGCATCCTGCCATGTGCCAGTCAGTAAATTTTCTTCTCTCTCTGGAGCTGCAGTCCCACCAGGATCTTTTTAGAAATCCACATGATGAGATCTCACCCTGCACTTACTGAATCAGAATCTGCATTTTATCAAGATCCCCAGGTGACTTGTGTGTGCATTCAAGTTTGAGAAACAGGTCCTTTTCTTGAAACACTAGGCAATCTGGCAACAGCAGACCAAATTCTGTCTCAGGAACTACTCCCTGGAGCTGGTAGTAACCACCCTGTTTAATAGGGGCCTCCACACTCCTTTGCCTCTATTGCCCACCTGGCTAGGTTCATTATTTTCCATTACCTGTGTGGGTCTAATCAGAATTTGGGCTTTAACAAGTTTATTGTAAAATAAAATTTACCATTAGTAACATGTGGTACATTGATGACATTGTACAACCACCACCACTCTCTATTCCAGAACATTTTCATGATCCCAAAAGGAAACTATATACTTATTATGTAGTCCCCCGTCCCTATCCCTCTCCCTCCCTTCTCTCCGTCCTCTCTCTCCATTCCCCTCCGCCATCTTTGCCCCTGACAACCACTAATCTGCTTTCTATCAGGGTGGGACTGCTTATTCTGAATGTTTTGTGTAAGAATAATCCATTATGTTTTCAAGGTTCATACATGTTGTAGCATGTATCAGTACTTCCTTTTAATGACTAAATTATACTCCTTTGTTATGGATAGTTCATATTTTGTTTATTCACTCATCTTTTGATAGACTTCTACGTCATTTCAATCTTTTGGTTATTGTGACTAGTGTTGCTATGAACATTTGTGTGCGAGTTTATTTGAACACCTGTTTTCAGTGCTTTGGAGTATTGCTGACTCATACGGTTAATTCTGTATTTAACTTTTTGCAGAATAGTTATACTGTTTTCCACGGTGGGGTGCACTGTTTTGCATTTTCACCAGCGATGTATTTTCACCAGTTTTCTCCATATACTTGTTAACACTTTAAAAAAGTTTTTCTCATCCTAGTGGGTATGAAGTGATATTTCACTGTACTTTTAATTAGCATTTTCCTAATAACTAATGATGAATATCTTCGCACATGGTTTTGACCATTTGTGTATCCTCTGTAGAAAAATGTCTATAAGACACCTGCTTGTTTTAAAACTAGATTGTCTCTGTTAAGTTACAAGAGATCTTTATATATTCTAGATTTTAGACCTTTCTCAGATTTTATTTTTTTTAAAGATTTATTTATTTATTTATGCAAGCACCGGGTACAGTTAGAAGCGCGGGAGGGTGAGAGAATTCACCAGAGCCAGAGCGGGGAGCAGAGCAGGCAGAAGGACCGAAGCACACTGCTGAGGGGAGCAGCGGGCGGCAGGAGAGGTCTGCGCGCCATGTGGGACCCTCCTCCGGAGGCCGGGGAGCAGCTGGGGATCGAACCGGTGCCGCAGAGGCTGCAGGCAGCTTCGCAACCCAGCGCTCAACCGCTGCGCCAACGGGGAGGCCCCTTTCTCAGATTTTAAAACATTTTCTCCCATACTGAGTTGTCTTCTCATTTTCTTGATAGTGTCCTTTGATGCACAAAATATTTTAATTTTAATGAAACCCGATTTATCTAACTTTTTTCTTTTGTTGCTTGTTCTTTTGGTATCCTATGGAATTCGAGATTTTATCACCTGGATAGGGGAAAAACAGATCTGAGGGAAAAAGGAATGAGCATGTTTGAAGTCTCCATTTCCAGTTCAACCAGAAAACCTCATTTATTTGCTTTACATAAGCTTCTCCAGCTTAAATATATGTCCCCCCTCTCTCTGTGTGTGAAGAGTAGAAGTCCTAGGTTGAGCTTTTCACATTTTAACCACAGAGTATTAGTGGGGAACCTCAGTGTACCAAGTTGGCTTTTCTAAATACTAGCCCTAAACAGCACATGTAGTAATTAGAGCTTAGTGTTTTCTGCTTTTATTTGTAATGGAAAAAAGCATAATGTTTTGGAAACTAATGTAAAGGTTCTTTTGCTCAATTTGCTATACTTTTGGGAAGTCAGAATATTTGCTCCAAATCCAAACCCATCTACTTGATTGCAGCTCATCCACACTAAAGGAGTGTTTCATGGAAAAGATAGCCAACTTCATGCATATCAGCCTTGGTACAGGTACTGCACTTGCCTAAAGTCACACTGCAAGTGTGAGTTTGAACCCAGGTCTTCTCATTTCAAATCTGAGGTTCTGTCCCGTAGTATGTCCAAAATAAAGTCAGTTCAATCATCTATGGGTCTTTCTTGATTGGCAGTACTATTACTCCTAGCTGCCGTCAGTTATGGGAAGCTTTCTACTGCCAGGCACGGTGCTGAGAGTCCTTACAATCAGTCTTCCCAAGCCCACCACGTGGTTCCGTAATTACTCTCATTTTACTACCAAAGAAAAGGTAAAATAGCTTGTTCTAGGTCACGCAGATGGTGTCAAAGGTTGGAAAATAGCAGGACTTAACCCAGGTCTAACTCCAAAGCCCAGTCTGAACCACCAAACGACGCTCCTAAAGATGACCAAGGTCCTGAAAAAAGATCTCTGCCCGGATCCTTCTCTCCGGCTACAAATCAGCACTTGCTCCCGGTCCCCCGCCCCGACGCCGCGCAGACCCCGCCCCTCGCCCCAGCCTCCGCCACTGCGCACGCGCGCTCCCTCTCGGCGACGTCTCGGTGGGCGGGGCCGGCGGCGTGGCGGTGTAGGATTACGTCGGGCGAGTGGACCGGCTTCGGTGCGCCAACGCGCGTGCGCAGAACCGAAGCTGTGGTCCCCGGAGGGTGGAGATGGCGGCTACCGGGGAGTCCTCTCCGGAACCCGCGGCTTCAGAACCGCTAGCAGAGCTGCCTGCCTCGGTGCGGGCGAGCATCGAGCGGAAGCGGCAGCGGGCGCTGATGTTGCGCCAGGCCCGACTGGCCGCTCGGCCTTACCCGGCGACGGCGGCTGCGGCTACCGGAGGTGTGAGCGCGGTGGCGTCTGCCCTTCCCTTCCCCGCGGGGCCGGGTCGCGGTCCCGGGTGCGACGGCCTCGCCCTCCGTCTGCGCGCAGACCTCAGCTCCCGGAGGGAGTCCGCTCACCTGCCGTGCGGAAGCGGCTGTGCGAGCCCGCAGGGCGACCCCGCGGTGGGATCCCGGCTTCCTGACGCCGAGCCCGGCGCTTTCCTCGCCGCACCTGGGCCTCCCGTCTTCGCTCTCCAGCCTCCTCTGGGGGAAGCAGTCGCCCTCGCCCGCCAGCGCCTCAGCCCTGCCTCTCATTTCTCTTTCTGTGGCGTTTCCGCCGGCCCCAGGACATGGTCCTTTCGCTTTTAGACCGGTAATCCATTTCAACAGTCCTGCACCTGCTCCCTCGTTCGTCCATTTAACAGTGGGCATCGAGGGCATCAGCCATACCGGCGTAGTGCTCGCTGCTGCGCGACGAGGGGCGCAAACAGGCGTTATTAGTTGCTGTCCTCATGGGGCTAATGAAGTAGCACCTGCAGCGCTTCATGTCTTTCATATTAGCCATTTTGCTTCACACAGCTAACTTGCAAAATTGATGTCCGTGTTTTGCCCGGGTGATAGTTGAAGAGCAGAAAAGGAAGGGGGTTTGCTCAGGTTTATTCCAGCAAGGCTAATCAGGACTAGAACTCGGGTCATCTGACACTGGTTTCGGACTCGCCTTGACTTCCAGCTGCCTCTGTTGTACTAGGAATCTAGGAAGAAAAACCATTCTTGTTTGGATTTAATTCTCCCCCTTGACTGCCATTCTGTCTGTCCAAATCATGAAATTCCCCACTTGGGTACCTAAAATACAATAGTTTGGTGGACATGCAGTTCTTTGTGACTGCTATTTAAAATGAAGTCTATGTATTCCAAAAGCTATACCCCATACTGTGTGAACAGTTGTGCACAGTTTAGAGCTGATATCTTGTCCTCTTTTTCATCAGTCAGAAGTAAGGAGAGTGAGAAGAGTCTGTTGCTGGTACATGTCTTGATATTTATACTAACAAATCAGTAATTTCTAGCAACTTTGGTTCTGGTCTCATCCGTTCTGCTTTCTAGTGGTTCCTTTTATTCCTTTTTCAACTGAGACATTCCGAGTTAGGACATAAAGTTCATTTGCATTGATGATTAATTCATATTTTACAAAGGAGTCTAGATTTATACTGAATGACTGGACTATGTGTGTAGAGTAAAAACTAGTATTTAACTGGAATTGAAGTAAACTTCTGGTCATGGTAGGCAAAGGAGGATGAATATACTGTAAGCTTTCTAAAAAATATCCAAGAAATGTTGCATTGTATACAACACCCACTGTGCTTCAGGAGTAATTTAGTAGGTGCTGAGATTTTTATCTTTGTAGTATACTGTACAGTTTTCATTTCTCTGTGTGCCTTGAAAAATGTGATGAAAAAGACAGAAGAATTTCCCTAGAATGTGGTGATCAGAGTGATGCTAAAAGCCTGGGAAAGTTAGTAAGGCATAGCAGCAGAGAGAAACTGGGCTTCATTTTGCCACTTGATTTAGCATTGCTTGGGATTCTGCTCATGTTAAGACCTTGATACAGCTTTCCCTCTTCTTAATTCTCATTGCAGTCATTTCAGTCACTTGCTACAGTATTCATGAAATTAAAATAATTTGTTTTGTTTCATTCATTCATTTAAATCCAGTAATTTTTAAGGGAGTGCTTAGCTACTTGTCAGAATTATAGATATAAAAGCATCAGTTGAATGGAGAGATTAGGGAGATGAACAGACATAATTTATACATTAATATGTAAAATACCACTTACATTTAGATAATATAAACACCACAGTGACCAATATATAGTCACTTTCAGAACCTTAGAATTTTCTCTAATGTCCCTTCCCAGTCAGCTTACCCACAGCAGTAACTACTGTTCTGACTCTTTGAAAGATATTGTCTCTTTTTGAACTTCATATAAATAGAATCATGCAGTGCCTGGCTTCTTTTGCACAACATACCTGAATCATCAGTGTTATTGCATGTGATGGTGATTTGTGCATTTATATGTTATATAGTATTATGAAGTTTTTCCATTTTCCTATTGATGGATGTTTAATTCCATTTTTTTGGCTAGTATGAATAGAACCTGAATATTCCTGTCTATATCTTTTGGTGGGTATGCACTGATTTCTATTGTGTATATTCCTAGGGATGGATTTGCTGGATCAACCTTGTGATGGTTCCACTTACGATTTTTTTTGCTTTACAATAGTGTGAAAGCAATGAATTCAATAGAAACCATACCTTAAATTTTGGTCTTTTCCTGTGCTGTTGATATATATAACACAATACTCTTGTGATGCTAGCTAGTGGCAGTAGCAGCTGCATAAAGCAACAGTTCCTAGTTCAGCCATGTGATCATGAAGGTATTAAGGATTAGGATTAGGGTTTACTCTATAGACTTTCCTTTCAGTACAGTATTCAACAAATTACATGAGCTATTCAGTACTTGATTATGAAATAGGCTGTGTTAGATGATTTTGCCCAACATGGGCTAATGTAGGTGTTCTGAGCATGTTTAAGGTAGGCTAAGCCAAGATATGTTTGGTAAGTTAGGTATAATAAATACATTTTCAGTTTATGATGGATTTATTGGAATGTAACTCCTTTTTAAGACAATGGAGATCTATATTGTCAAAGTATGATTATGTCAGTTTGTAATTCACCAGCAAATGTATGAGAGTTTTGGTTGTTTGGTGGTGTTGGTCTTTTTCATTTTGGATATTTTGGAGTACAGTGATAATTTATTATGGTTTTAATTTGTATTTCGCCAGTGACTAATGATGAGAACTTTTTCATGTACTTATCAACCATTTGGGATCTACTCCTTGTGAAATCCTCATTCAAGTCTTTTGCCTACTTTTCAAGTTGGGTTCTTTGTCTTTTATTGACTTTGCATGAGTCCTTCAGATACACATATTGCAAATATCTGTCTCCAAAACATATCTTTTCACTCTTTTAATTGTGTCTCTTGATGTATAGAATTTCTTAAGTTTAAACAAGTCTAATACAGTAATTTTCTCTTATTAGTATGCATGGTGTCCTGTTTAAGAAATTTTTTGCTACTTCAAGTTCATTAAATTAATCCGTGTTTTCTTCTAGATGCTCTGTTTTACCTTTCACATTCAAGACCATGATCCATTTAAAATATTTTTAATTATATTGCATGAAGTATGTCAAAGTTCATTTATTGAAAAGACTATCTTTTCCTCAGTTTGGTTAGTGACACCTTTGTCATAATTCCAGCACAACTGATTGAAAAGATTGTCTTTTTCATACTGAATTCCTTTGGAGCCTTTTCTGTAAATAAAATGACCAAATATGTATTGGTTTGTTTCAGGAATCTCTCTCCTATTCTACTGGTGTCTTTGTATCGTTAGCAGACTGTCTTCATTAATGAAGTTTAATGGTAACATTTTATATCTGGTGGTGCAAATTCTCCAGTTTTGTTCTTTGCTATTCTGGGTTGTTTGTATTACATGTAAGTTTTAGAATCAGTTTGTTAATGCCTTCAAACAACTGCTGGGATTTTGAGTGGAATCACATCAAAATCTTTAGATAAATTTGGGGAGAATTGGTATCTTTACAATATTGAGATTTCCAATCTGTATGAAGTATATTTCTCCATTTATTTAATCCTTTGATTTCTCTTAGTGTTTTCACTAAGAGAGTGTTTTCACTCTCTAGGTGTTTATTTCTTCATTCTAATTGTTAGATTCTTGTGGAACTTTTACATAACAGGCATCATCTGTGAATAAGGACTATTTGACTTCTTTCTGTTCTTAAAATCTGTTTTCTTGCCATTTTGCTGTAGTTGGAATCTTTGCTATGATGTTGAATAGAAATGGTGGTAATGAACAACCTTGTTTTCTATATATTAACTTATCTGTATATGCATGAGGGAATATATAAACTTAGTTCAGTCATTGACCACTTTTACTTTTTTGTAGGTGTGACTAATGTAAAAGCAGCCCCAAAGATAATTGACACACGAGGAGGCTTCATTCTAGAAGAGGAAGAAGAAGAACATAAAATTAAAAAAGTTGTTCATGAACCAGGTAAAGTGTGTTTTTCAGAAAATAGGCATTTAGATTGATCATTTTGAGTAAAACTCATTAATTCTTTGCAAACTGAAGTTGAATAGTGCCCTCACTTCCTTTAGCCAGTGAGCAATTTAGCTTGTATGAATGATGACTTTTGGCTAGTAGATTAAAATTAAAGAAATTTGGCAATGGTTACTACATTAACTTGTGGTTTGTGTACTTAGGGTTGATGTTCTCTGTTGTTTTATAATAGGCAGATGTGGCCAGTGTACTCCAAATTTGATAGGCTAAATAATCCAAGTTACCTTGATGGACTTAAACGAGGGACCAGAACCCAAGAGATAAAATATGAAATGCTGTTTGTTTATGTTTGGAGAAAATAATGGTTTACAGAGTATAGGATAATTGGAATGCGCATAAAAAGATCACAACTCTTTATTATCTAAGGTTAAACTTTCGGTAAATCTCTTATATATATGTCCTTAGGGTGAGTATATTTTTATAGTCCTCGAAAAACAGTTTTTTTGATCATAAGTTTGATAGCCAGTAGTGTAATATACAGCTTAAAATACTTATTCAGTCTTGATCTGAAGCAGCAGCAGTATTTATCAAGGTAAATCATCAAAGTAAGTACTGGTCCTGTTCAGATGTGTGTAAACTATTATTTAGTTCAGGAATTGAGACTTGAAGTATTAAAATACTTGTTTTCAAGTTGGGCACTATATTGTAAGAGGGATCTTGACAAGTGTAGTGTGCAAAAGGCTGTGGTCACCTGCTAATACATTTTAGTTCCAATGATTAAGCTTCTTATTGTTCCCAGTTGGAGGTTCTGTTTCATCTAAGAGTCTGCTTAAAGTCGCCAGTTTTAACCCCAGCCTGGGATAGATGCCTCGGTAACAACAACTATACCTTTCAGCAATTATACCTGCCCTGGCTTCACCACCACTGAGTCCCCAAATGTTGGGGGCATCCTCTAGTCTCCCTGGTCTGTGACTAACAGTGACCATTTCCTATGTCCTTCCTGCGTCTCATCCCAGTTTTTGCCCTGTCTGACAAGAAGGATCTAATATCACACCCAACCTGGTCTTCACTCCCACTTCCAACTGTTGTCTTTTCCCCACATACACTCCAAATCCCAGCATCTGTTGCCTCATTAATCAATCCTGATGTGTGTTGTTATTATCTAAAAAAAAAAAAAAAAAAGGCCTGGAAGTAATGAAATACAATGTGTCAAAACTTGTTAGGTTTTGCCTGGAGAACACTTCCAGCTGCCCTGCAGGTGTAAGAAGTACTCCTCTTTGGAAGAGAGACTACATTTACTGTAGCTTGCTTTCAAGGGCACACCTTTTGGCAGTGGTTGACAATTATAGTGGGGGAGTTTTCAGCCCAGTATAAAGAAGGCATGTGAGCATATATTTGTATTTTTGCTCTTACTTATGGAATGTTGGCACATATATCATGTAAGCCTCACAGCGACTCTATGAAGTGAAAAACTCCCTAAACATGTGAATTGCTACCTCTTATTAGCACAGCATTGGAAGGGATTAGAGAGGAATGATTACCTGCCCAGGAGATTGTAGAGAAGAAGCCCTGTATTAGGAGGGAAAGCATTGAATTCAGTGACCTTGAAAGTTGCTATGATTTTCTGGATATGAAGACTCATTGTAACCATTTTTCTGTAGATTTATGATTCTGTCATGGGCTTATAAAACCTATTTGATTTATCAGGTTATATGACAGATACTGACATCTTTCTGTGGTACCTTGCACTTGACTGAGTTATACAGTACTGCTATTCATGTATTGACCCTAGGCCTACTGCTTGCAAATAAAACTTAAAAATTTCAGTCCTCATGGACTTTACATTCTAGTGGTTTAGATGAATAAAACTATTTGCTCTGTTGGTAGGGGGTGGAATGGAGAGCAAGAGAAAGTTTTCCACTTGAATTCTGTATTCTCTCTCCTGTTGCCTCACTTATTACTGCTTGTGAGCAGCCCCCTTCCTTCCTTTCTACCGTGGGACCAATCTCGTTTGTATTCTCACCAGTAGATGATCGAATAATGGTTTCCAAAGATGTCCACATCTTAATCACTCTGAAACCTGTGACTGTGTTACTTTACATAACAAAAGGCAGTTTGTAGAGATGATTAAGTGTAAATACCATAAGTGAAGGAAATTATTTTGGATTATCCATCCAGGTATGCCAAGTGTAATCACAGGAATCCTTAAAAATGGAAGAGGGAGAAGAGGCAGAGGGAGAGTGATAATGAAAGAAGCCAGATTGATGTAAGAAACTGTCATTGCTGGCTCTGAAGAATGAAGGGATCCTGAGTCAAGGAATACAGGCAGCCTCTAGAAACTGGAAAGGCAGTTTGTTTCCTAAAATCTTCAGAAAGGAAGCAGCCCTGACATTAGCCCACTGACCCCCATGTCAGACTTATAAACTACAGATCTGTAGGATAATACATTTGTGCTATTTTAGCTACTAAATTTGTGGTAATTTGTTATTGCAGCAGTATAAAGCTTTCATTTCCACACACACAGATATACATACACACACATATATAAACTTGTGTATATTCTTTTATATATACTTGAATACTAATGTAATGGATTGAGTTCAAAACTACCTGATGAATTGATCATTTTTTTTTCCTCTTAACATTTTTTTGATAAATGTGAGATTACTAAATTATGGTTTTGTCTTTTACTTAAATGTATTTGTTTCAGGTATAAAATACCTGCTGATAAGCTGGTAAAAGAGGCAAATGTTTTAGTCATCAAAAAAAAAAAAAAGAAATTTAAAGAGTTACTCTCCATTTCTTTAGGACCTGTTATGGAATTTGATTATACAATATGTGAAGAATGTGGTAAAGAATTTATGGATTCTTACCTTATGAACCACTTTGATTGGCCAACTTGTGATAACTGCAGGTACTTATTTCTTATTTGCTAAAGTGTGTAGATTTAGGGCAAAACAATTGGTAGATCTTTTTAGTAATTTTTTTTGGTTTTGTTTTGGAAGTTTCCTAAAATTTCCATGGTTTCCAGTTTGCCAAAAATGCCAAAAATATTTAGGAAGCCAATGTTTATCAGTATTTTTGGCCACATTCATAGGAAGGATGCCTCTGGTTCTGCCACAGAAATGTCCTCCTCCTTTCTGCTGGGTTGGGGATTTTTTTACCATCTCTCAGCAGCAGGTTCTAATCCCAGTGTGTGTTGACACCTTGGTTAAAGGAGAAAGGCTTGCAGTAAGACAAGAGGAATAAAACCTCTCCAGTCACTCTCCTCCTTTTGGAACACCTCTTTCATTTTCCACTCTCCCAAATAGGCAGGGAAGGGAAAAAATGAGGAAAGAGCACATTATTTTCATTCTTTTTCTAACTTTTATCCTTTTTATAATCCCCATAATAAAAAACCCCATAATAATGCACATGGTTCTCCTACTCCTACTGTTTTACCTCAGCTAAGCACTGTGTTGCTATCTTTCACACTTTGGGATCCTCTGGGATTAATATTTAACCCTCCTGTCTGTTCTCTGTTCCCATGTACCATTGAGCCCCATAAAGTATTTTTCTGTTAGAGTTTTTATGTTGCTAATTTGACCATCAGAGCTGTGGGAAAAATTATTTAATATGTTCCCTTTCCCTGCATGCCCCTAGAGTTGCTAGGCTATTTGAAAGTTAATTTAAAATAACTATATAATGCATTTAATCTGTTTTCAGGGATGCTGATGATAAACACAAGCTTATAACCAAAACAGAAGCAAAACAAGAGTACCTTCTGAAAGACTGTGATTTAGAAAAAAGAGAACCAACTCTTAAATATATTGTGAAGAAGAATCCTCATCATTCACAATGGGGCGATATGAAACTCTACCTAAAATTACAGGTTTCTAATAAGTTATAAACATCTTAAACCCTAGGTCAGGTGGAGTTTTTAACAGTGACTAGAGCAAGTTATAGTTAAGTTTTTCTTACAGAGAGTTACATATAATGATACTTATAGCATGTTTTCTTATTTTGCTTTTTGGTATGTCATTTTGGAACAAATATGAGTTTGAACATGGGATATTACGGGAGATGAGTAGTATGATTAATTTCCTGTGGTGGGGGATTTTTGGAAATGACCCCATATTTAGATCTGATGTGGCTAATTGGTTATGAACTTGTTTTCTGATGAGTCTGCCAAAGCTCATCAAACCCATTGACTACATGTACTTCTGTTGATTCATGTGAAAACATTACAGATGGAAGACTTTTCTACTGTGTAATTCAGTCATATTTACTGAGGGTTTCATAGGATCAGAACGAGGTGGCATTAGAGTTGTTCCTAATCAATATGATTTTTTTAAAATTTCAAGTAATACTGCACTCAAGTTGTATCATTCTTCCATGCTTATGGATTTAATAGTTACCTGTATTTTTTTTTTCTCTCTTTTTTTTAAAGATTTATTTATTTATTTATTTATACAAGCACTGGGCACAGTCAGAAGCGCGGGAGGGTGAGAGAATTCACCAGAGCCAGAGTGGGGAGCAGAGCAGGCAGAAGGACCTAAGTACACTGCTGAGGGGAGCAGCGGGCGGCAGGAGAGGTCTGCGCACCATGCGGGACCCTTCTCCAGTGGCCGGGGAGCAGCCGGGGATCGAACCGGCGCTGCAGAGGCTGCGGGCAGCTTCGCAACCCAGCGCTCAACCGCTGCACCACCGGGGAGGACCTAGTTACCTGTATTTTTTTTACAAATTTGAATAACAGCTAATTCAACTGTGGATTCTTTGTTGTAGATTGTGAAGAGGTCTCTTGAAGTTTGGGGTAGTCAAGAAGCATTAGAAGAAGCGAAGGAAGTCCGACAGGAAAACCGAGAAAAAATGAAACAGAAGAAGTTTGATAAAAAAGTTAAAGGTAAGTGGCTACATTGATATCATGCAGGACTGTGCTTTACTGCTTTGCAGAAAGACTTTAGCAAGGTTCTTACTGTTTAAAGATATTCACGAAAAGATGTGGATTTTCATAGATTAAAGGAAAAAGGGTTAAATATTTGTCATCAGTAGATTGGTATTTAAGGCTCTTAGTCCAAATCTCTCAATGCTGCAATTCCAAAACACATGTAAACTCTTTAAGTTGAATCACGTTTTACAGAAGGAACAAGAGTAGGATTGGGGATGTTTCCCTGATCAAGGATTTGGCATTAATTCATTTTTTTTTTAATTGCAGTAACAACATGCAGGTTTCAAATGCATATCATTATAAACCAGCATCTGTATTTACTACATTAAATTCACTGAACATTCTAATTTTGTCCTTGACTACACCATTAACACCTTTTACCCAGTTTACCCTTCACTCTTCCCCTGTCCTTCTGGTAACCACTAATTTGCTCTTTCAGTCAAAAGTTTATTTTTGTTTTATTTATTTTGATTACCACATAAGAGTGAAATCTTAAATATTACCAACAGAGTTATAAGAAACATAAAAAACACAGATACCATCAGCAAATCTCTCTTAATTGTTAAATATGAAAAAAATCATGCCTAAGTCACCTAATTTAGCAGCTAGAAGGAACCTTCTAATATCAGCTAGTCTGATCACTGTTACGTGACTTAAAGACCTAGAAAGGTAGTGTGACTTGTTACATAAATAGTTATTGGCAGAGTTGGAACTGGAACCAGGCCTTTCAGCATTGAGAGTCTGCATCTGGTACAATCATTCTTCTGTTCATGACTACCCATCTGTCTCTGCATTCATTTGTTCATGCATCTGTGCACCCATCCATGTATGCAGATATGCATAAGTCTGTCCATCTAGCAGTGCATCAAGTATTTAAGTGTCAGCTGGATTCCGGGCACTGTGCTAACATAAATGATAGTCACAGTTTGTCAGAAAATCAAAATAGTGTGTAATAAGAGCCATAATAGTGTTGAACATAGAATATTACAGGAGCACAAAAAGCTTTTTGCTGTATCACAGAATACTTGGAAAGCATCTTAGAAAGAGTATTAAATGTTCTTCATACAGTAATGGTAGAGTCCCAGTGTGGTGTGCAGTGTAGGTAGGTGGCACGCATCTTGTGTATATAATACCAGTACCAAATATACATACCTTATTGATTCATTTAAAATGACTGTCCCAGCCACAATAAATCATTTTTTTTAAAGATGTATTTATGCATACAAGAACTGGGGTACAGGCCAGAGGTGTGGGGGGCGGGGTGAGAGGATTCACCAGGGACAGAGTGGGGAACAGAACAGGCAGAATGACTGAAATACACTGCTGAGGGGAGCAGCGGGCAAGCCAGGAGCGGTCTGCTGCACCATGTGGGTAGCACCCTGGCCAGAGATCGAACTCATGCTGCAGTGGCTGCGGATAGCTTTATAGGTTGCGTCTTAACCCCTTGTGCCACCAGGGAGGTCCAATCATTTTTCTTAAGTTTTTAGAAGAGGTTTTGGAGGGTGAATGAGATACTTCTGATGTTTAAAAACAAATTGAACAGAAGCCCATCTTATTTCTTCTTGTGAGGGGAGTATCCCCCCCCACCTTTATATTATAGTAGTAATTCATGGGCAGTTCAGAAAAATTAGAACTCTACAAAGAACTTCTATCCAGAGATAGTCCTTGGTAGTAATGTTTGTTTTTCAGTTCTTTTTCATGCATGACCCTTATTTTTTAAATAAAATGGCAGCAGTGTTGGACATTTATGAAGTTTATTAGAAGTTTATCAAGACAACCCCATAAATACCTTTATATAAATTAGAGTTAAGTTATTCTCTGAATTAGGATAAGCACACTTTATGGCTCTGGAGAGAGACCTCCTATAGCATAGTGCCATTGCATTGATGACTCTTCCAGATTAGCCACTGCTGAACCATAGTCTTCAAGACTTCTGAATTTGTTCCTTTAATCTTTTTAACTTTCTGCCCTAGTCCTTCCTTCCTTCCAACACAGAGAGCCTTGAAGGATAGAACAGAAGGCATCTTAAAGGTTGGGAAAGGTAAAAGGGCATATTTGTAAACTAAGACTACATTATTCTAAAGTTTTTGTTCATCCCAGCTACCTGAATCACCTCAACTCTTCCTCCTCTGTTACCTCCTTTAAACCACTTTCCTGATGGTATTTTGGTGCAAATAATAATACATAGATAAAGGAATTAGCTACATTTCCAAAGTGGTGAAATATTTTTAAGAGGATTATTTATGATTTTTTCTTAGATACCATTTCTGTAGTTTGGTTAAGATATCATCTGAAGGTGATTAAATTCCTATAATTTGCCAAGAAATTAAAGATTATGGCATTGGTCTCATATCATTGTATTTTTTTTCTATAAACATTCTCTTAAGATACCACATGGATTAAATATTAGTATGGATAAAACAATACAATTTTCATGGGTATAGTTTAAAATAAATATAAATTCAAATATAATTGGCTCTTTTTGCCAATATAATTTAAAATATTATTGCCATTATTAATAACCAGATAAAGTGAATATTGTTTATCTTTGAAGAGTTTAAATTTGTATGAATTTTTCCTTGAGCCGCTTAAGACAGCTTTTTTTTTTAAATCTCATTTCATTTCTACTTGAATGAAGGATGTCTTTTGAGGAAATTTTTTCCAAGTGTTGACATCATTGCTATATTTTCCAAGACCCTACAAATCTAAGAATGTTTTTCTTTTGCATATGAAAATCTGAGTACTCTCATTTGTATAAGCATTACCCCCTGTCTTCTGGTGTTTAATGTTCAGAAGTCAATACTTCGCTTTCTTTAATTCTGGATTCTTCTTATGATTTACTTCAGAAATTGGTGGCATATGTTCCCGTCCTGACTAGACCACAAAGGGCTGAGAGTGGAGTAGACACTGTAGAGATTAGAAACAAGAAGTTTACTGTGCAGTTTGCTCAGAAGGCTCAGAACAGAGAGAAATAAAAGCAAGTCTAAAAGTTTTGTAGTTGAAAAGAAATTGGAACCTGGTTCCTCTTGGTGTTCTCATTTTGATCCGCAAAGAAACTGACGCAAAGTTTACTTCTTTATGGAAAGGTAAGAGATTGCATTTACCTGCTTTTAGAATGTGATCTTGTAAGTTAGTAGTTTGGGAAAGTATTTTGATCTTACTATAGAAAAAAATTAAAGCATAATAGTATAAGGTATATGTAAATGTAAGACAAGCTGACAGTGAAAGACTAGAAATTTCTTGTCAACAAATTCCAATTGTTACAGGTCTTACAGATCCACATGGGTAGAAGTAGGAATGATGGCATCACTGCTGCTCAGTTTAACTTGGTTTCAAAAAATGCAGTGTGGTATTGATGGGAACTTTCGCTTGGTGCAAACACACAATGTTTGGGGTTTGCATGCCTCCTTTCCACAAATAAGGTGCAGAGAAGGCTTTTCTTTAAAGGGATACTAAAGTTTCTCTCACTTATTAACTGTAGAGGTATCCTTCTTAAAAAAATAAAAAAGGAAAATATGCACATCCCCCCTAGAATAGTAGGTAGGCAAGAAAATTCCATTGGAGGGACCCTTTTAAGTTTTACATCGGCCTGTGGTTATATTTGATTGTTTGGGGGTTTCTAGCAGTAGAGCTTGAAGAATGCATTTCCCTTTACTCTGCTTCAGTTTATGGAAGACAAAATAAGAACAAAATTTCATATTATTCTGACTTTCCTTGTGATTTCTTTCACTAGTTAACAAGGGGCATCCTACGTCAAAATTTTCTGCCTCTCCCACCAAGTAATTAGAAGTATCTGGCCACCCTCAGCTAGTTCTTTTATAAGGTTTACTTCATAAGCAGCAGTGGATGTCTTGACTACAGGTTGCCTTTTTAAAAAATTAATATATTAAGCCAAATAAAAGCTTTAGAGTGTTATGAAAGGATTTTTAAAAAAAGATTTATTTATATATTTATGCATACAAGAACTGGGGTGTAGGCCAGAGGTGCAGGGGCTTAGAGGACTCACCAGAGACAGAGTGGGGAACAGAACAGGCAGATCAACTGAAATACACTGCTGAGGGGAGCAGCAGATGAGACAGGAGAGGTCCCTGTGCCATAGGTGGGTTAGCTCCCTGGCTGGGGATCGAACTCAGGCTGTCAAGGTGACAGAGCTGAGACTTAACTCCTAGGCCACCAGGAAGGTACTGAAAGAAATATTTTATTGAAATGAGGCTTTAGGGGAAAATATTTTGGGTAAAAAGTGTAAGCAGTCCTTGAAGATATCAGTAGCAAGACTGGTCTCACCATGTTCACGGTCAACAATCTTAAAAGTTTCTAGGGGAGGTAGTCCACACTTTCTGTGTTATGAAATTCTAAGCTAGTGGGAATAGGGGGTTATAACATGGTGAGACACTGCTTTGTTCTCAGCCTCAGGCCTTCATTGCTGCCTGACAAGTTCCCTCCTGTCTTCACTCCCCATGTCCCCCCAAGTATCCTTAGCTCTGCCAAGGTCTGTCAGCCCTTTCTCACTGTTGAAGTCTCTGACCTTTTAACTCCCTCTTCTCACTCTCGGCTGTAGGTAGTTGACCTCTACTTTCCAAAGGTTTAAGTTGCTTAAATGAATTAATGTGAAAAACTTATGAATCTTTATTTAAACATTTTTGATTTCACCAGATGTTTGCATTTTACCACATTTGCCTTTTTGTCTCTTACACACATCTATATATTTTGCTAAACCTTCTAAGAGTTCTTGCAGGCATTGTAAAATCAGCATATTGTCTCTTTTGAATATGAGGGAATGTAGGAATAAAGATTAGTGTTTGGATGAACAGGATTTTCCTTCTAGTTTGGAAATGACTAGAAGTGTACACATTGAAACTTGAAAATAATCTCAGATGAAGTGTGTAGGTGTGAAGAGACAGTACAACTTGGTGATTAAGTGTATGGGCCTGAGCTAGCCTGTGCCTCTGCCTTCAGCTCTGACCTTGGGGAACTTGTTAACTTCTCTGTACCCTAGTTTTCTTATCTGTAAAACTGGGCTGATGTACTTTACTCAAATGCTTAAGGATTAAGTGCTTTCATATATAAAGTGCTTAGAACGGGGCCTGATACATAATACTCTGTGTGTGTGTGTGTGTGTATCTGCATGATATAATAAAGGCTGAAAATACATAGATTCAAGTAATAATTTGCTACTACTTATCATAGATCTAAAACAAAGAAAGTATGTAATTACTTAGTGTTGATTTTTGAAGTATATTTGATAAACATACTAGTTTCAGGTGTCCTTGTGACATTTCTATACAATGCAAAATGGTAAGTCTATTCCCCATTATTTTGAGCAGTTTTTCAAATTTGCAATACTGTATTGTTGCTTATGGGCCCCATGCTATATTCTACATCCCTGTGACTGACTTTCTAAGTGGAACTTTGTATCTTTTGATTCCTACACCCCTTCTTCCACCCCCATAACCACCATTTTTTTTCTCAGTATCTGAGTGCTTTGGCTGGTCTCAGCATACTGATAACTAGTGTGGTGCCTGGATTATGCCTTGCGGTTCTTATGACTGCAAGATGCCCTTCAGCAGTAACCATCAAGAAAACTGCTTTTCATTTATTGGGGTTGAGAGTGGGGGTATAGGGTTTTGCAGGTTCACTCTTTATTATTAAATTTAAAACAGGGCCTCCCTGGTGTCTCAGCAGTTTGAGCACTGCGCTGTGAAGCTGTTCACAGCCTGTGCAGTGTGGGTTCAATTCCCAGCCAGCCAGGGAGATACCCACATGGCGTGGCAGACCTCTCCTGCCTCGCCCGCTGCTCCCCTCAGCAGTGTCTTCGGTCTGTCTGCCTGTTCTGCTCCCCGCTCTCTCTGGTGAATTCTCTCACCCTCCTGCGCCTCTGACCTGTACCCCAGGTCTTGTATAAATAAAAATAAATCTTAAAAAAAAAATTTAAAATAGATGAACAGGAACTAAAAGTATGAGAAGAGAAAGAAAAAGGAAGCCATGACCCCAGTGGTCAGTTGTCTAACTCAACCAGGATCTATACAACAGAAGCAGCCTGGCTTTTTAACTCGTCATATGGCTGGCTGGCAGTGTGTTTGAGTTAGCCGCCTTTGACGTGCATTTCTTGGCATAAAAGCTTAAGTCAGGCACTTGCTTAAAAAAAAAAAAGCCAACTGTCTGGGATTGTTTTTCTTTAGTTTTTAAGATCCATATGTAAGTGAAAAGTATAAATTAAAAATTGTATAAATTATAATAAAAATATAAATTTATAAAAATATATTTTTCTTCCTGCTAATTTAGCATAATCCCTACAAGGTCCATCCATTTTCTGCATGGCCATATGTCTCTTAAATGTATTAGTCAAAGACAGACTGTATACATGCTGGTGGTCCCAACAGGCTATGTGTTACAGGTTAGGTGTGTAGACCATACCATCTAGATTTGTGTAATTATTCTGTTTGAACAATGATAAACAATCTCCGCCATAAAGGGACGCGACTGTATGTATCCTCCCATCTGTATCCATTTATTGAATTTAGGTTTTCATATCTTGGCTGTGGTGAACAGTGTCTTCGGTCCCTCTGCCTGTTCTGCTCCCCACTTTCTCTTGTGAATTCTCTTACCTTCCCGTGCCTCTGACGTAGGGGGCAATGGACGTAGGGGGCAATGGACGTAGGGGGCACCTATCTTTTTGCTTTATTGTTTTTGCTTTCTTTGGATAAGTATCCATAGGTGGAGTTGCTAGATCGTATGTAATTTTATTTTTAATTTTTTTGAGTAACCTTCCTATTGTTCTCTGTAGTGGTTATACCAATTTACATTCCCACCAACAGTGCATGGGGGCTCCCTTTTTTCCCCATAGTTTCACCAACACTTTCTTTGTTCTTGTTTTTGATGCTAGCCCTTCTGACAGGTGCAAGGTGATACCTCATTGTTAGTCTGATTTGCATTTCCCTGGTCATTAGTGATAGTAAGCACTAAGTAAGTCATGTCTTCCTTAGAAAACTGCATGTTTTTAAAGTATTGTCTTTTTGTTGCTGAGTGAATGCATTCTTTATGTACTTTGGATACTAATCCCTTGTCAGATATATGATTTGTAAGGATCTCCTACCATTTACTAGGGCCTTTTCATTTGATTCCATCACGGTGCTTTCTAGTTTGTTATAGTCACATTTACTTTTGCTTTGCTTCTCTTGCGTTTAGTAAGATCATAAAACATCAAGGTGTGTACTGCCTGTTTTCTTTTCGTTTTATGTCTTAAATTCAAGTCTTTAATCCAGTCTGAGTTAATTTTTGTCCATAGATCGTCTAGTTTTTCCAGCACCATTTATTGAAGAGACTGTCCTTTTCCTGTTATATATTCTTTCCACCCTTGTAGATTGACCACACATATATAGGTTTGTTTCTGGGTACTCTGCTCTGTTCCAGTGATTTATTTGTTTTCATGTCAGTACCATACTGTTTTGATTACTATAGCTTTGTAAAATAGTATGAAATCAGGGAGAATGATGACATCTTCAGCTTTGTTCTTAATTAAGAGTGCTTTGGCTCTTCAGGGTCTTTAGTGGTGCCATATAAACTTTAGGATTGTTTTTCCTGTTTCTGTGAAAAATGCCACTGGAATTTAATAGGGGTTGCACTAAGCCTGTCAGTTGCTTTGGGGAATATGGACATTTTAACAATATTTAATCCATAAGCAAGGAATGTCTTTCCATACCTTTGTGTCTTCAATTTCATTTGTAATCTTAAGAATTTTCAAGTGTATGTCTTTCCTTTCTTGGTTAAATTTATTCTTAGGTATTTTATTCTTTTTGCAATTGTAAATTGTTTTCTTCTTTTGTTGTTGGTGTATAGATGCAGCATATTTGGTATGTTGATTTTGTGCCCTGCAACCTTACTGATTTTATTAGTTCTAACAATATATATTGCTATTGTAATTGAGATTGTAGAATTTAATTGTACTCTCCCTTGGGTAGTACCACTATCAAAGACAGTGCTGGGCTTGATGGATTGTTGGTCAGAACAGAGAAGTGTAAAACAATTAGTATTGCTTTCTATTCATTAAACTGGGCACAATGGCCTATTCGTTTCTAGCTAACACTAAGAATTTGGTTTCTTCAGATAAAATAGGAACTTTTTAACTGTGATTGACTTGGTTGCTTTTAAAAGCATCCAACATAATTCTTTTCTTTGTACAATAATGTAGTGAAAAAAGTTCTGAACACTGGACTTGGTTTCACATAGTGGTTTTCTTACAAGCAAAGCTTGTCTTGCCTGACTCACACATAGATGTTAAAATGTTCCCGTCCTTACTCACTGTAGCTCATCTCAGCTGACTCCCTTTTGCTGCTGTGGGATCCTGTTTCCCATAGTCAGTTGCTTGAACTAACCTGTTCTTTTACTCATCTGAATTTGGTTTCTTTGCTACCCCTGTAACCCACATACCCCATGGGGTCTGAATCTTGTTTCACCTGTTTCAACAGTGGTTTCACAGGCCATGCCTGTGAGGAAAGAAAGCAAGCTTGCCAAGTTTGTATAATCAATTTTGTTTTTTTACAGAATGAAGGTAAGCCGTAATTAAATACATACACAGCTGATGGGTTTTGGGATTCAGCTGAAGAGCACCACTAAAAAATTGACTTATTTTTCTTAGAGTTACGGCGAGCAGTAAGAAGCAGTGTGTGGAAAAGGGAAACAGTTGCTCATGAACATGAGTATGGACCAGAAGAAAATGTAGAAGATGACATGTACCGGAAGACTTGTACTGTATGTGGCCATGAATTGACGTATGAGAAAATGTGATCACAGTTAAGTGATCTATTTTATAGTTTTTTATATTTAAATAAAGGAAATTTAGATTGGTCATGCTCAAAACTCACCAGTTGTAAGTCTTTGTAGATGGATGGAAACATGTAAATGCATCAGTAACAAGTATGTTACGGTTTCAGTTAAGGTCCACAACCTGGGGTGTTGGCAAAATGTTGGATTTTATTTTATTTTTTTACAACAGGAAGGGGAGCAGAGTGGTAGAATAGGTTCCAAAGTAGTAGGTTAGAGTGAAAACAGAGATAAGAGATCAAAGCAAACCTTTGACTGCAGTAGGAGAGTTTGCAGTAAATGCTTAACTGGGTTCTTATCTCTCACATAGGGATAGGTAGATGTCTCTGCACCCCAGGAGCAGGGTCAGATTTTATGTATTATTGCTTCCCAAGTCAGGAGGGAATAGGGGGCTACTGCTGGGAAAAGTCTGGACTAAGAAACAATATGGGAGGGAGTCTGATCCTGTTTTTGGTATCCTCTACTATGGTAGGCCCTAACATTAGATAGCATTATTCAAGTCTGGACGAAAGTAGAAACAGCTATACTGTGCTGACGAAAGAAGGTACTGGTACATTGTCCTGACCATTGCTATCATTTCCCGGGCACTTAGCATGTACCTTGGTGGTTTTCTCATTTAGTCGTGGGAGGGAAGACAAACTGCTGTCCTTATGTAGCACTTAAAGGAAGGGACAGACAACAACCTCACATCCCCCAGACATCAAAAGGATTTTAAGGTAGTTAGTTAGTAAGAGAATTTGGCACAGATGTCGATTGCCCATCTACAGGGCTGTATGTTTCTGATAAAAGCAAATTCAAGTTGTTCTTGGACATGAATTTTTATCCTACTGCTACAAATAGAAGAAACAGGTAGTTTACACATTTTCACTTTTCTCGACCAGCTGTTTGAAGGCAAGGTCCAAACACATCAAACCCAAATAGGTTTGAAACGAAGTATTCAGTGTAGAAATGTTTAACATATTTATCATATATTGATATATTTATATGCTAAATATTACAGCTCAGTAAAAACTGATTCTCTATGGGCAGCAAGACCTTCCTGGGACCAAAAAAGCATCTGTCTTGATGACAACAGAGTAACTAGGGGTTCACGCTGCTGAGACAGCATCACTACTAATTCCACTTACTGTGGACCTTGGGTAAGTTATTTACCAGGCTTGTCTTTATCTTGTCTGTTGGGCATAATCATTTCATAAGACTATTGTGAGGATTAAATAAGATGAATCTGTACCACCTGGCACAAAACAACTACTTGTTTATGAGCACATACTGAAAATCCGAGAGATTGTGAAAATCAAATAGATCTGTCTAGTTGAGGTTTGCTTCTGTTCACTCTTTACCTTCCTGGTGTCCAGATACCACTGCTAGCCAAATCTGCCCGGGCTGGCAAGTTCTTTCCTCATCTTTCAGGTAAGATTATAAATTAGTAAATTATACAAGTCACTACTAAATACTTCATAGGAAAAGCAAACAAAACTTCCTTAATAATTCCTAGATGGGAGATTCAGAATCAAGGAAAACAAAGTACATATTCATTTTTGACAGAAACATGTTAAATTTAATAGTGTATTAGTGATTTAATTGCAAGATATGCTGTGCAGTGACATGCCATTTTTTTTTGGGGGGGGGGTGTGGGGGGTGGTTGGCAGTCTATGAGGGCTTCCATAGTGGAGAAAGTAACTGTCGAATGTTTGCTATAGCACCTTTATTTCTTCAAGATTCAGTCTCCAGCTCAGTTTTCCATATACCTAGCCAGACTGGTACAGACCAGGGCCACATCAGTCAATAGTTGTTCGAAGCACCCATTCATTAAGAGAGGTTTCAAGAGACAGGAAATGGAAATGTAGAAATTCCTCTAGAATTTGGATCAAGCAAGTTTAGCCAGACTTTGCAATATGTTATGAAAGGATTATCTGAATTCACATTCAGGTAATGTTACTAAGCCTTAAATGGTTATCCTTTGGTCTTACAGGAGACATTTCTAACTATTACATAGTTAGGGAAGAAGCACTGTAGAAACAAACAATATTTAGCTACAAACCTGGGCTTTAGTCCCGTTCCTGCTAGTGTCTTGCCATAAAACCTTAATCTGTGAATAAATTATTTCTTAAATGGGATGCTATTTAAAAATCCTAGGAATTCCCATCTACTGGGAAGACTATGTCCTGTACCCACTAGACACATGGTTAAAGCAAACAGACCATGTAATGATATGGAAAGTGCTTAATGCATTGTAAATTTATAATCAGCATAAAAATCCTGTAGTACAAATGCACAGAAATACTTTCTGTTGTGGGATTATTTATAAGGTTTTTCTAAGGTTTAATGAAAAAAGTCTAAATGATAGAAATTTGGGAAGTCAGATATAATCCCTTATTCCTGTTTGCTCCTTCACAGTGCACTCATATTATTTTAAACTGCAAGATCACTAGGAAAATGGCTCAGGAATTAGTAGGTACTTGGACCAGGTTCCACAGAAACAAACTTTAATCTACATCTAATTCCATGTTTAGTTTTACCCAATCTAACTACTTCTAGTTCTACTTTCACATGTCACTCACTATATATGACCTTTGAAGAACGTTTCAGAGACAAGAGGAAATGACCAGATACTTTAAGGTAATAGTTCCCAAATTTGTCTGCACATTGCCATCAGCCATCACCTGGGGAACCTTAAGAACTACTGATGTCTGTCCCCCAGAGATTGTGGTTTGATTAAAACCCAAACTTTATAGGTACCCAAGTGACTTCTGTTCAAACAAACTGGGGAACTACCACTCTCAGTACTTTTTAGTAACTACTATCTTAAAACACTACAGTGAAAAATATGTTGAAGAGGAAATTTCAAATGGAGCTAAGTACACCCTCAGTAAGAAATCACTCATTTTAAAACAGATTGAGATGATAAATCATGAAATACCAAAGTTTAAAAAACATATTTTAGTTTTATTTCAGCCATGTTGGGTTATCCATGAATTGTGAAAAGGTACGCTACTTGGTAATAAACCCATCAGTTCTACAGACTACTATGTAAGCTTGCCCGCTCGTGTCTTACATCTCAAATCAGTTACCTTTGTGCCTTAAGGAAAACTTGCAAAAAAGTTGTATCTGTCACATATATAAACAGCCTAGGTTCATCGTCACATTATTGTCATTAGGGAATATTTGCGTTTTTGGGGGCAATTACGGTAATCAATGCCACATTCTTTACTGTCCTCCTTCCCTTTGTTTCCTTTAATAAGAAAAAGGATACTACAAGAAAGCAAGCATTCAAACCATCAAAAAAATAAGAAATTATTCTTAACACAAGGGGGGGAAATAACCCTTAGGCCTGTAGGGCACAGAACTGCTGGAACACAGCCAAGATATGAGGGTCTAATTCAGCAGTGAAGAGCAGGTTCTCCAAGGTCACCATGTACTGCTGGATTATTTGGTGATGCTGTGGACACAGAAAAGGAGGAGCTTAGATCAGGAAAAAAGAACACAGTCTTGCAGAGCATTTCCCCTGGTAGTTCACCCACACTGTAGATGATGGTAAAGGGAGATGGAGAGGGTTCTGGAGTGGTTCTACTGCTAGGATGGACCGCCGCCTGAAAAGCCTCAGCATTAGCGGGCAACGAGAAACACGAGATGTTTGGTAACTTCAGTTCTGAACAGCTTTATGTAAATAAAATTGATGATGCAAGGCAGCTGTGGTAGTACTTGCTGTTGTACTATGTCAGATCAGATCTGGGTCTCCTGTAGTAGCTCAGATAGGAGTGGTAACTTAAAGTATTCTGGAATTATTTCCTTTTTTTTGGTTACAGCCTTAAGAATTTTTTGCAAGAGAAAATAAGACAATTAACCAGTGAGCTATCAAGTTAAGTTCTTTCACAAAATAAACATAAACCTCATTTTTGTTTCTTTTACAAAAGTTCATCTATCTTACTAATAGTCATTTGTTGAGCTTAAGTGGGATGAACTGTCAAGAAATGAGTTCACCTTTCCTACTTGCACCTATATAGCATTTGAAATAATCAGGTACCTATCTCTTGACGGCTGTTAAAATTCTTAATTGGCAATAACTAAAAAATGTAGGGAATTCTATTTGGAGTCTGGCAATACTTTGATTTATTTATACAAGCACTGGGTACAGTCAGAAGCGCAGGAGGGTGAGAGAATTCACCAGAGCAGGCAGAAGGACCGAAGTACACTGCTGAGGGGAGCAGTGGGCGGCAGGAGGGGTCTGCGAGCCATGTGGGACCCTCCTCCGTGAGCAGCCGGGGATTGAACCGGTGCTGCAGAGGCCGCAGGTAGCTTCACAACCCAGTGCTCAACCGCTGCGCCACCAGGGAGACCCATGGCAATACTTTCATGACTACTAAAAAAGTGATTACACTCAGGACTCTCATTTGTTCTGTTTTAGTGTCTGAAGATAGAATTAGTTCCACTCCTATAAAGACTTCACAAAACTCAAGATTTTAAGGACCTTTATAAATCCAATTACTGTATCGTTTTTTTTCCCTCTACCTTTTATACCTTGGCGCTCTAGTAAAGAGATTGGCAGTTGAGACTCCGAATATAGAGCCAATTTAAGACTATACTGATGAGCAAATAGGAACAAATAGATATGAACTAAAGGGCTTATAGGTACTATATAACCTGACAAATTTGATCCATTTGAAAACAATGGGGTTTATTTTCTAATAAGATCAAAGTTTCCCACAAACCTGTAAGAAGATCTGTTGGAGCCTCTCTATACAGTTCTTATACCATGGTGTTAACACAGTGGTCCCGTCAGTTTCACATCGTACTAAGTGCTCGGTCAAGATCATGATGAAACGCTGCGGGGGAAAAGAGGTACAGAGGTGTTAGAAGAAAATCACATATTGACTGAGACCTCTAAGATACTATTTGTCCTGACCCTTTTGAGGCCTAACACTGGTAAGCCTAGGACAAGTAGACCAGTGATAAATGTGAATTGTACATCGTTTCTGGCAATTCATGAAAATGACTTCATGCACAAAAAAATGGATTTAAAGATGCAACAAGTTAATGTTCCATGACATCGAGTTAAAAAAAAAAGCAAAAACGAAGAACTGAGGTTGCTTTGTTAAAAGGCTTATTCCAGCTGGAAACTTCAAGTAGGTTAAAGAGCCTCCCTCCCGCGGGCTTCCCTGATAGCCTAGGGGTTAAGGCTCAGTGCTACTGACAGTCATGGTCTGAGTTCGATTCCCCAGCCAGGGAACTGACCCACATATGGCGCAGCAGGCCCTTCCTTTCTGGCCTCTGCTCCCCTCAGTGGTGTCTTTCAGTAAACCTGTCTTGTCTGTTACCCCACTGTCTCTTTGCTCCTTCCCCTCCCCCTTCCTCCCCTCCCCCACTTTCCTTACTCCCTCCCCCCCACCCCATACAAGGAATTCTTTCTGAACAGTAAGGAAAAATGACAATATGCCCAGGATAGAATGACAGTAACACAGAATTTGGGATGTGTATACAGTATGGTTACTCTCAAGTAGCAAATTTTCTTTTACATAGCAATGTCCTCCAAGTTAGGATATCAAGATACCTGAAATATGACAAGGAAGAGGTTCTTTTGTTCACTCTGAGCAGATTCCACTCTTTCTTGTAGCCTTTCTATTTGTTCCTCAAGAGCCCCATCCTTCCTGTCACTGCTTCTGTCATCATCATCACTTCGCTATAAAAAGATTAGAATTCCAGAGTATTACACCTCACCAAGTAAGGGGAGTGAACATGTGTACGCTACAGTGGAAGTGCTCCACCGCCAGGTGCATGTGCATTCGCCACAAGTTCCATGGGTACTTAACCTAGGCCATGGAATTTTCATGGCACTTGCTCTGATGGTGGTGGTTGCAATAAAGCAGAAATGTCACCCTTATTACAAATAGCCATTCAGGGAGGAAACGAATGTCACATTTTTCCTTCATTCAAAATGAAACCAGTTTTGAGCTTCATGAACAATGTATACTGGATTCCTGTCATTCCTCACAGCTATGCTTTATGAAATTGCGGGAACTGAGTGGGTGAGTGCTGAACTGCTGCCCTTGGGGAGGCGCCCAGGGCTAGCTAGGTCCTTGGGAGCCTTGACACAACATTTTTTGTCAGTGAGCAGTATGTAACCTCGTGTTTCTATTTAAAATATCTTAGTGAATATGTCTTACAAATAATTTTATACAGCTCTACTTTTGGATATCGGGGACACTTGTATGATGATGTCCATTCATGAACATGCATGCTTGGCTGACGGCACGGTAATTCATGCCTAAATGAAGTTTATCTACAAATGTTACTTTCTCCATCAGGCACGTTCATAGCCTTCTTGTGCTTGGGAACACAAGTCAGCACTTCAGTTCTATTCTTTAGGGCTATCTTAAACAGTAAAATTCCCAGCAAAATGTCCAGCAAAAATATGAAAATAAAAGGTAGAGGATATGAAAAACATGGGAATAAGTATATCACAAAAAGGAGTGTTTTTTTACAGCATGAGAGCTGAAACATGAAGGCAGAATATTGCCTGCCTCAGCTGGAAACATACTCACCGGACAAATCAAACTTTTTTCTGCTCTGTGCAAGCCTATGGATGAGCTGGCAAGTGCTGTGAGTACTGATCCTGAGGTTGCAAATAGGGCTGATGGCAGATTCTCATAAATGTCAACAAAGTAGATGACCAATGGAAAAAACAGCTTTTTAAGTCGTCATTACTATTTGACTAGTAGCAATCTTTCATCCCTAAGGGCCACAGGGAAGAGCTGGGCATACCCTTATGCAGCTGAAGGACCACATGTAGTACTTTAGGAATGGTGACAGCTGACATGTAACAATTCAAAGTGAACTTGTTCAAGACGCTGGGCTCAGTACACCTACGTTAAGCGTTACAATTCCCTTCTAGCTCACCTGAAGAACTTACAACATTCACTTCAATCTCCTTGATATTTTTTTTTTTTTTTAGGGCAGAAGAAAAACAAGACAAGACACACTATTTAATAAATAAGAGATAGGGATAGGCTAGGCTGAGCAGTTGGAGGACTTTCCCAGGCAACAAGGGGCAGAGCCAGAACCTGACTCCAGGTGTGTTACATAGTAAAGTTCTTTTAAGCCAGAAGGGAGGGCTTACCAAACCTCAAAGCTTATTTGATGCCCCCCCCCCACCATGATAGTCTCTTCTATTTTAAGCAAATTATCAATCCACTGTTTTCAAAGAACTGTTTTTACCTCTCAGAACCACTATGGGCACTGCCTTAAGGCAACTACATACATGTCCATCTTTTCCTAATTCCACAGTAAGGCAAGGCTCTACAGAGCCTGTCCAATAGCTCTTTGAGAAGGGGGAAATGTCACATTAAATCTTTGTTGCCCATTACAAAAATCTCTAGCCACTAGACTATTTGATCACTTAGAGTAACTAAGGAACTGAATTTTAAATGACTTAAAGGTATATATGTGGCTACCAGTCACCACATTGGATACCCTATCTGCAGACCAGTATAGCAGGAGAAAAAGCCTAGAGCTTGACAGACCTGAATCAGATCCTAGCTCTGTCAATGGCCATGTAATCTGGAGCAAGCCAATGTTTATCTTCTCAGTTTAAACACATAAACAATGGTGATGACACTATTTACCTTGCATTATTTTTGGAGTGTGTTTGCATAAATGTATGTCTGTATGGAGTCTGACTCAACTTGCTATATAGGTCATGGAAGTCTTTAAACTTGTTTTTCTATTTTGGTAAATATAGTCATGATGTATACTAGGGTTATTCTAAATCACAGAACACAATCAGCTCACCGCTTACCCACCCTGCAGACCCTACCCCCTCCATGGCTATAAATGGGAAATCTCACTGGCCACGCCACCCCCCCACACCCCACCCCACCCCACCCCCGGTAGTGCAGCATGGTAAACATCAGCAATTATTTTCCCTCCTTCCCCTCTTGCACGAGGAACCCTTACATAGAAATACAAGTGCCCTTTCTCCTCTGCGGGGGAGGGTGAACATGCAGCTGATCCAAAGATGTAAACGAAGGTGTGAGGCTTCCTAATAAGCAGGTTCACCATGCAAACTATGTAGAAGTGGAGATGTATAAAGTGCTGTCAACTGCTCTGTAGTTTGACCTCAGAAAAAGATACCACCAAAGTAATGAATTTTGAATAGTCTCAAAAATTGGTGGTAAGCCTTCTCTGATCACTTACAAATTAACCCAAGACTTACCCGTTTGTGTTGCCTTGCAAGTTTTTCTTTAGCTTCTTCTAGTTCTTTCTGGATCTTCAGAACGTGTTTGTTCATCTTACGAATGGTGGAATGCAAGATTTCCCAAACAAACAATCTTAAAGTAATATGGTATATATACGTTATACTGTGCTTATAGAAAATAAGAACTCACAACTTTTACAATCCATTTATTCTTAAGGTTTGATATGGCCTTCTACTCTTTGGGCATAATTAGTCATTTTTTCCTTCGGTAACACTTTATTCATCCCCTTCTAGACTCACATAGAAGGTATGTGTATATAACCATTGAAATGAAATGGCAAACCAGAAAAAACACTAAAATTAGTGGGGGAGGGGGGAAAAAGACTCCCCTCCCCTTCTCTCCTCCGCCCCTAATTTTTAACACTAGCATTGGAATTTCTTGTAACCTAATTTGAGGCTCATTTCACATGCATTATACTGTTTAATTAGCATATACTCAAACCTTAAGAAACTAATTAGCTATAATAGCTATCAACTTCTGGGCTTTAAGAAGATGTATATTTAGATGTAAACTTCCTTATCAGCAAATTGTTCAAGTACCAGAATCACCTTTGTAGGTGCTTTAAAATGTTACATAAACACTTTATATTTTTGAAGTAGCTTCTTAACGACTTTCCTGTCTATAAACTAGGTCTCCTAGCCACAGGATATGGGGAGGATAATGACAGTTTAAGGGGAAGGTAATAAAACAATCTGTTTATAATACTGAAAAGTCTAGAATGTTGGCAGGAAGGATATAAGAACAGAATACTTAAACTCTGGAAGGAGTGAACAAGTTTTGCAGAGTTCGAAATACTTAAGTTTGGGCCTCCCCTGGTGGCGCAGTGGTTGAGCGCTGGGTTGCTAGGCTGCCCGCAGCCTCTGCAGCGTCAGTTCGATCCCTGGCCACTGGCGAGGGTCCCACACACACAAAAAAAAAACCACACAAAAAAAACCCACCAAACCAAAGCAAAAACTCAAGTATGGACAATAATGGAGCCCCTCTAGGGAGGTGTTGTGAGGATTAAATGAGTTACAAATGCTATCACTAAGGATAATGGCCAATATACCTAAGTAGGTGGCCAGTTTTCCAAGAGTTTGCAAATCTGAGTCTTTTTTGTTGCCTTTATTTGTGAATACCAACTTGGCTGCTATAACTGTAGGATACACCTTTTGGCCTAAGAATTCAGTTTATTTCAGTCCAACATCCTCTGCCAACAACAGATATAATGCAGAGTATAAAGGCTATGACGGGTTTTTCTGTCTCTGCAAGTAATTTTCCTTTGTTTCTTGTTTTTCGTCAACTCCTGCTATCCCTGTCCTGATTAGTTATAAAGCCTGTGACTTCAACTTCATGAATAAGAATTAAACTCAATGAGAGTCTCTTTCCTTTAGGAGGGCTAGGTCTAGATCTTTTGAATTAAAACCAGGATTTTTTATGATTGAAATGAGACTTCCCTCCGTACCTAAGGAGATATCCAGATGCCCACCAAGCTTTCCCAACCCCTTCAAAGTGTGTACTTAGTCCACAGTGATTTTCTAAGTTCCACTGGAGTTGGAACTCTCCCCGACATACCACTTTTGTCTAAGTGGGACCCTTACACACAGCCTGAGCTTTTCTACCAGTAGTCTGAACCCTTTAACAGCATTTCTACTTGACTGGTTGAGTCCTGATTCAATGTTTAAGTACATGTCCCTAAGGAACACTGCAAGCTGACTGGCTGTGTGTTTCCAATGCCGGGGAATCTTTGCCAAGATCAATTCTACAAGATCGGACCATCAATGTTCTATCAACTTGGTCGACCAGAATTTGGTGTTTATGTATGAAAGGCCAAATTTAAACCAATTCTTAGAGAATAGTACCTAATAAAGTCACGAGATAATTCTGAAGAGAAGATCCAATTTGCTACTGCAGCGCAATCAACAATCTGTGTACGAATCATCTTATCCACTAGTACAGCAATCATCTGCAATGACAAGAAGTTAATTAACAAGGTAAAGCACACTTATATATATATATAGGTCACAATATTCCCTTTGCTATAAAAATAAAATAGGGCTGTGAAATTCATTTTCATTAGTTAGGGAACCAATTAACCATTATGTCTTACGATTTATTGTGCCCTCTGGTTTTGCTAGTTACTGTAAAAATATTGTAACACCAATAAAGGTTGACTGAATGAAAAGAAAAACTCAAAATAGTAACTTAAAAAAATTTTTCAATTATATACAGAAATATACAATTTCCATTGTATACTAAAAATACTAAAATTTAAAAATATAAGCATGTTTTGTTAAAAAGTCTTAAATATGTTAAAATTTATTTCAATGCCTCTTTATAACATACGGTATGAAAACAACATGTTGAGGTTTGTGAAATCTAGAGCTTATTTGTAGAAACTGAATATATTTGATATCTATTTCCTACCCAACTGGTAGAATCTTCCAAGCAACAGGAACTCTTATTCCTTTAAAGAATGGATCAAACATCGTTACTTGCACAGATTTTAAAATTATTCTTTAGGTAGAATCAAATTTCATGTTTTATAAAGCAAAACAATGGTATATTTGCCTTATTTTTATATCTTCTTACCTGTGGATGGTTCCTCCAGACCTCAAACATAACTCTTAAAACATGTAGCTTTCCCTCATCACTTTCAGCTAGAGTTTTGAAGACTTCATGAAACCTTTTGGGAAGATGGTGTGAAAGAAACATAAACTTTCATTAAGCATTTTAATGTTTTCATAATATTTTCAATGTTACACAATTTACAGTGTGATATATATAAATGCAAAATAACCAAACATTAAAACCATTAAAGATATAAGAGATCTGATTAGGAATTTAGATTGCATGGACTTGGTCACAAAAATCTTAAGAGATTTACCTTACAGTATTGTTAACTCAGGACTACAGTTCAGTTGTACCTAATAGGTAAAGACTGAGGAGTCTTCTGCAAATACAGGTTAAGTATTCTAACTGTAAGTCCTGTAGGAAACCTGCAAATAATAGACTTGGAAGTTGCAAAGGGCTAAGGAGACCAGTTTCACTGTTTGGCTGGGGGAATATCTATACCTTTTTTTTCTGAACTGTCTGATGAGTTATAAACCTGCATTTCTAGTTGCCAACTATAGTTGGCTCTCATTTCTGCTTACCTTCCTCTAGGAAGATGCTTAGGGTGGGAACTTCTTGACTATACATATGTGACTGACCTATGGACAGTTTTTTCACCAGGTTCTCTAAAGATCTATGTGCAAAAAGTACATTTTATGTACACAAACTGTACACACTGACAGGAGCCATGGGAAACCACAAACCAAAACAGTCTATCATATTATATGATAACACTGTTACTAGGGTCTGCACATTCCAACAATTTTAGGTAAAAGTTACTATGCTATTTATATTCACAAAGCAAAGTTCAGACCTCCAAGTAAGGCTAAGTGTTCTTGTACTTACTTTGCGAGAGCGCTGAAGGAGTGGCTGAGTGATTTGGCTGCCAAATGTAGCAGAGTCTGCACAAAGACCTCTATTTTCAATGGATTAAAACTGAATCCTTCATCTGAAAAACGATTCCACAGTAAGACAGGGAAACGTTAAGTATAGGAATTCCTTGGCCCCTCACCTGGAATGCTAAACAGATAACATGCTGACATCTAAATACTAAGTCAGACTTCATACAATGTCTTTCAATACTAATTGACAATAAAACACTACTGGTTTTAAACACTCAAAATAAAAAAAACTAAACATAAAAAATCCAAACAAAATCTTAGTAATAAATAGCCTAATATACAGGTCTAACAACAACAAAAATTCCCCCCAAATGGTTACCCAGTAGTGTTTTCCTGTTTTACTGATCTCTCTTTGGGCCAGTACCATATTGTTTTATTTATTGTATTTTTAAAAAAAAATAATGTTTTAATGTATGTAAAGCAAGTTCCTCTTCATCACCTTGTCTTTATCCATTTATTGATTCAGGTACACTTATTAAATTATTTTGTCAATTCTCCCACTCTTGCCAGAAAAAAATACTAGGAGTTTTGCTTGAAATTACAAGATACATACTTACTAAGTGTTAAACATTATTATTAAAAGCTTAATTTGGAGAAAACATTCAACTTCATAATATAACATGTCTTTCTGTTCAAGAACCTCTCTAAGTACAAGCACGGAATGTGGGATCTGCATTCCAGTATATCTTCTTTTGTATTTAATGTAGCTATTTCACAGGGTGTTAGGATCTTTTTTACATAAGGGGGAAATATAGAGGTAACAACCGACAGGCTGAAGAGACCCAATGAATATATTGCTTTATGAGCATCCACTGAGATTTAAGAAAAACTCATGTGCCAGAGTTATACTTTAACCTACCCATAGTTCCACTCAAATTATTTAATTCACTTACCATCATCGTCATCCTGGTTAGGGTTTGGTACATCTTTCAGAATGCTGAAGATTTCATCATTGGTTGCTTTACTTTTAAAGGCAACAGCTAAACAAAGGGCAACAGAATGTCCAGGAAGGGAATCTAAGTACAGAACAGCAGAGAGGAAGGTCAGGTTTTGAGTCTCTTCATGCAAATAGTCAAACAACTCCTTTTCTTTCAAAATAGAATACTCTTTATCCCAACATCAATATTGATGTGTCTGAAGATACATATGAACGTGTCATTTAGTAGGTCAATGGTTTTTCACTTAAAAGAAAGTGTAAGAAATAATTCTCATTTTGATACTCTGACACTTAGGAATACAAAGCTAAGTGAAATTCAGATTACAAGGGGTTTTGTTTTTCCTCAGGTATGAGGGGAAATATGGATATAGTTCAACTATACTTTACAGTCCTTAAATCTCGAAGGCTCTTGTAAGCCAAGAAGCTGTGAATCAATGTTATTTCTCTTTCATTTTTGCCAATGCCCCCCTACCTTCTTTCCCGTGAGATAGTGGAAATTAAGTCTGACCTTGAAGAAGGGGTAGTCTGTCAAATTTAGGATATTTTTGCTTTTCTCTTTTGCTGAGTCTATACAATTGAACTACATAAGCCAGATATTCATGTGCTTTGACTCCACATGTTTTCTGTTGGGTGATACCTGTCAAGTCCCTATGTATAAACTTTGTGCTGGTATATTGTGTAAGCCATCACCAGAGCAATTGTGAAATAACTACATTAAATACATTAAATACTTTTGGGCCTCCCTGGTGGCGCAAGGGGTTAAGACGCAACCTATGAAGCTGTCCGCAGACTCTGCAGCACGAGTTCAATCCCTGGCCAGCCAGGGAGCAACCCACATGGTGCAGCAGACCTCTTCTGACTTGCCCGCTGCTCCCCACAGCAATGTACTTCAGTTGATCTGCCTGTTCTGTTCCCCACTCTGTCTCTGGTGAATCCTCCCACACACACCCCACCCAGCACCTCTGGCCTGTACCCCAGCTCTTGTATGCATAAATAAATAAATCTTTAAAAAAAAAAAAAAAGGAAAAAAAAAGAAAACCTACTTTAAGGTAGGCAAAGGTAACAAATATAGGCCACATGTGCTGTGTACTTGTCCCTAAAAAGGTGGAGAAGAAAAAAAGAATCCCCTGCCACTGAGGAGTCTACATCCAGGTGGGGAACCAAGATATTCACATAGGTAGCCAGACAGCAATACAAAACTGGCTTGCTAATTAAAAAATATTTACAAGGGGAGTTTGGGCTAGGCCCCAGAGAGAACAGGAACTGGAAACAGAAAGGGCTATCCCAAGACAGCCCCAACAAAGGCAAAGTCAAGAGCTAAGAGCACAGAAGAAGTGAAGGTCCACTGGGAAGAAATGAAACATACTCAAAATATAAAACTAAGCATAAGCTTAATTATTAGTTTCTTGGGGTGTTGTTTCCCAATTATTTTATAAGACCCAGTCAGGAACAACTGTTAAGTGCCTTAAATATTAGGGTGAGTTGTTCCTATGGGTTAAAAAAAATGCTCAATGTCCAACAAAGCTCAAGTTCTCTGATATCAAAGATAGTGTCTTATGATTTTGTGAGTCACTCTAAGACAAAATGCAAACTTGGCACTTGTAAGTGCCTCATTAAGCTTTCTCAGGAAGGCACAGTGGTTAGCAGTATGGCTGCTGGGTTAGTATACCTGGATATGAATCTGGGCTCTACCACTCAGATGAGATCTTGCCATGGCTTTTCCTTTTTTTAGTCATTTTCTCATTATAAAGTTGGTATAAACAAACAATGTATTTCTCAGAGTTGTTTTGTGGATTAAGTGACATAATAGCATAGGAAGTGTTCTTGTGTTGGGACCAAATGAGTATAGTCAAAGGCATAGGTGGAGAGCCAAGGATTGCTATGAGAAGGCAAGGGAGATGAGCAAATTTCAAGATGCAATGAACTGCTATAAAACAGAAATTGAAGACTCACAGAGGAGCTGTTTTCAGTACCATCTGAAAAATCTCTACACCTAACTACCAGTGACCACTAAAGATTAGTATCTTACATCCATTAAATGTAAAGGCAGAATGACATGCATAAACCAAAAGAGTACACTTTTGCCACCTTAAGTAACTGACTTCAGAGAATGCTTTCACTGGCACTTTAAAAAAGACATTTTTATTACTTACTGCTACTTTCATCTCCAAACTTGTAAATGCAGGTTGGGTTTGCAGGACATAGAGCTGAGAATGTAGGAGGAACAATATCTAATATACGCTGATGGTAAGACAACCTACAATACAAGTAAGAGCCTCAGAAAACATTGTTCATCAGTTTCATTCTTTGGTAATTATAACTTACCCAGAAAATCACTATTTCTAACACCCTGGACTCACTCAGCTGACAACCAAATAGTAAAAGTGGAAAACAAATCCTTTAAACTTGTCTAAGCCAGCATGCCAAAACTCAAAATTCATTGCTTTGTACTTAGGTGTGGAGTAGTGGGTTGACCAAACAGGTGGTCAAGGATGTGGGGTGGTGACAGTGGGGTTGAGGAGAGAGTCTGTGTGGTTATGAGACTGGTTATTTTGTAGCAAATAAACACAGATGCTAATGTACACCAAGTTTCTTACTGTCTAAGAAGTTACTTAAAAATTATGGAAAATAAGATGGCTGGAAAGAAAATGAGATATTAGAGGCTGAAATTGGAGGAATGCATACAGCCACACAGGCAGAAATAGCTGAAGATGTATGCATGTGTATAAATACATTCACCACCTTTGTCATCTAGAGGGCCCGGAACCAATGACACACCAATAGTAAAAGGGAACATCAATTGTCCAGATCTTGGCTTCTAGATGCCAAACTCCACTATGGAAATATGGGCTCCTTGAATAGATAAGTGATTCCAGGAGAGGGGCAAGGAAGCACAGGGTAAACCTGGACTATCTTGTGTCAGGAAGAAAAAAATGCTCAATGCATGGAGGGGGACATTAATATTTTTTTAAAGGACACAGGAGTCACAACAATTGCCCTTTTTTCAAGGAGCTCCCAATGGATAATCAGGGAAAATTGGGGCATCAAAATAAACAACAGTAATGAATTATAACCCACTGAATGCAACACAATTCCTTAGTTCCAAGTGATAAACACAGGAATTAATAAATGGGGAAGAAAAGCAAGCTCCTTCTTACAGTAGAATGTCAACTAATAAATGTAGGTGGAATAATTAATAGAAAAAGAGAGTCATCACTTGGCATTCATCATAGTTGTGTCAGGTAATAGTAGTTGTCAGTGGAGGTTAAATAAGAATCACAGAATATGAGTGTCTCCCTTTGAGTGTTAATCAATTACAAAGGGAAAAATAGCAAATTTAAGGTGAAGAAGTCTACAGACACTGACATGACCAAGGTGGTCAAGTTAACATCTCCAGTGTGGGATTCTTAAGCCTCCCAATGGGATGCAGTCAGAAGAGTACCTACAATGCGAGACGTCAGTCTGGTCATGAGGATACATCAAGCAACCCAAGAAAGTAAGGTAGGACAAAGACATGACGATAAAGAAAAAGAACTGTTCATGATTGAGGAATCTGAAAAGAATGACAAGTAAACGCTATATATTTTCCTGGAAAGGATTCTGGGCAAGAAAAGAAAAAGACCTAGTTGGGATGGTTGCAAAGTTTCAGCAGCATCTGCAGATTGTGTGATTCTATATTATTGTATCAGAACCAATGTCCTGATTTGGATGACCCTATGCTGGTCATGTAGGGGAGTGTCTTTGTTGTTTGTATATACAATGGCTTGTGAAAGGATGATGGGATGTTATATCTGTAACTTGTTTTCAAAGGGTCTAGAAAAGACTAATGTAGTGTGTGTAGGGGTGTGTGTGTCTAGAGAGAGAGGGGGAGGGAGGGAATGAGGAGTGCGCATTAGAACAAGTGTGATAAAATCTTAACAACTAGGGACTCTAGATGAACAGAACACAGAGTTCTTTGTACTAATTCTGGCAACTTTTGAAATTAAATTTGAAATTATTTCAAAGTATTTTTGATAAAAATCTTACTAGATTAATTCACATATAATCCAGTTGGCATGTCGCCGATTTTTTTCAGTTTAGATCGTCATTAAAAACTGAAAGGGAAGACAGACAGGTACCTGGATTTAAAAAGTGATATTCTGGACACACAATACAAATGCAGACAGAGAAAAAAAAAATCCTTCTCCTTCTACCCCCAAATTAGGAGACCAAAGCTAAGGAGAAAACACAAAGAACTTACCTCATACATTTTTCTAGAACTTCTCTTACAAACTTTGGCTTGGGACTTTCAGGATCTTGAGTAAGACAATCTGACCTAACGTGGAAATGCAGTTTTATAAATTACACATAATCTGCACTTACACCTAACTTATACCTAACCACAACAGTTTGCTTCTATCTGAATTATTTCATTTACATACAAATATCTAATATTTTAGACTATGAATATTGTTTTTGTGTTACAGTCTTAACTATCAATAGATGTTTTACCTTTTTTCAAAATTATGGTAGACTGTAAGGAAAGAAGGGATAAAACATAAAAACACACTTACCAATCTTCCCAGCTCCAACGGAACTGGAAGTTACTTAGATGATGAGAAAACCAGTTAATAAACCTATACAGAGGAGGGGGAGGGTATGAACAAAAAATGGTGATTGGCCAAAATTTATAACAGGAACTTACATCACCCTTCAGACAGATAAAGCCCTTTTCCAAAACTGAAAAACACATCCCACCTACAGTTTTCTTACCCTTTTCTCTGCAAATCCTGTAACTCATCCTCTACTTGAACGAACAATAATGCCCTACCTAACTCATGCCTTTCTACAGCACTATTCTGTTCAAGTGAATAACAGCTATAATATATAAAACATATGACATATAATATATGTAATATATAAAACAGGAGTGGCTGTTTTGTGCCAGGCACCTTACATATGTTTACATAATTTAATTCTCACATAATTCTAAGAAGTGTATTATTTTTACAAGTGACAATAAACAAAAAGAAAAATTAAACCACACATAAAACATTTCACAAATCGCAGTACTAGTTTCTCCTCATCAAGCCATACCCTTTTCATCGCAAACAAAATTTATCATCAAAGTAACCTTCTACCCTAAAATTACATCTGATCTCTCTAGAAAGTGGTCACTTTGGTATACTACATAATGCTGTGGAAATTATGAGTCTAATAAATATTTGCCAAATGAATGGCCTAATTGGAGGGGCTCAATACAACTGCTAATTTAGACTGGGGGAAAAAATCAGAAGTCACTCTCTTACAGCGTGTATCCATGATTTAAATCAGAGAGTCAACTCAAATTAATAGGTCAATGAAATAGGAAAGTCCTTACTGATACTTTTCAGATGTGGAATTGAAAGATCATGGATAGATTTGGAGATGTGTTCAATACCTATCCTGATCTGATCTGGGGAACTGATAGAAGACAGAATACCAGAGAATAAAGTTGACCACACAGACCTCACCCAAAAGGAGACAAAAGACATGCAGTAAAAAAGCTATAAAAATCCAATATGGTCTTTGGTATTGAGTCTTGAAGGTGTAGTTATGTAGAAGCTATTTTAGAGCAGACTATTTATAAACAAAAATAACGTTTTTATACATTACAAATCTACTGCATTAGATTGTTTCTACATAGCACTTAGCGTACAATATATTTTAACAGCTCACATACCCAATTACAGAGGGAAAAAATACAACTGTACCAAAGCACAGTTGTTTACCCAAGTAAACAATTAAACCTCAGCGCAGGCATCATTTCATATTGAAAGTTATAGTAGAAAGTGTAATGTTACATTACAATACGTATGAGTTGTATTATTATATGAATTATCAAGAAAGAAAATCAACTTGGAAATTTTTAAAAAGGTAGATGTTTTACTGATCAAATTCTTTTATAAAACACAGGGAATAAAAGCTGCTAACAATCAGTACAGAAGTAAAGCAATTACTATACCTGTCTACACATGTAGTATTCATTGTGTCCAAACGCATGTATAACATTTCAGTTGCTTGTGCAAGCTGTGAATGAGGATAAGGAAAACTACTCTCTACTTCAAAAGAAATTGTGATAGAAAAAAATTTCCTACAAGTCTATATAATTATTAATGTTGAGCATCTTTTCCTACAATTGACACCACAAAACTCTGTAAAAAAGATCAAAGATGTAAAATAAATTTGACTTGTATAAACAAGATAATGAATGTCCTCATCACCTCCAAAATTTCCCCACGCTTCTTGGTAATCTCTCCATTCTACCTCTCCTTACCTATGTCCCCAAGCAAATACTGGTTTGCTGTTACTAGATTACTTTGCATTTTCTAAAATTTTGTATAAATGGAGTCATAAGGTATGAATTCTTATCTGTTAGGCATCTTCCACTCAGTATAATTATTTTGCAGTTCATTCACAAGGCTGTTTGCCATCAAAAACTTGGTCCTTTTTATTACCGACTAGTTTTTCATTCTACAGATCTAATAAAATTTGTTTATCCACATGTATTGGCAGATATTTGGATTGTTTGCAGCTTTTGGGTTATTACAAATAATATTTCTATGAACATTAAAGCCCAAGTCTTTGCAGGTACATGTGCTTTCATTCCTTTTGGGTAAATACAAGCAGACCTTGGAGATAATACAGGTCCTGTTCCAGGCTACCACAGTAAAGCAAACATGGCAATAAAGTGAGTCACACATAGTTTCTGGTTTCCCACTGTGTATAAAAGTTTTTATACTATACCGTTGTCCATTTAGTATGTGACAGCATTATGTCTAAAAATGTAAGTACACATCTTAGTTAAATGCAACACAGAGACAGGAAATAAAGCACATTATTAGCAAAAATGGCACCAGAAGACTTGCTCGACAAAAGGCTATCACAAATCTTCAATTTGTAAAAAAATGAAGTAAAGCAAAGCCTGTACCTAAGAGTGGAATGACCTTATTGTATGGTATATATAGGTTTAACTTTGAAAGAAATGCCAAACTATTTTCATGAAGTGGATTTAAACTTACAAGCAGAGATATTTAATGATTTTTAAAAACTAGGTCAAAGAAAGTAAGTTTAGAAACAAAGGAAAAGGATACAACTTGGGGCAGAGAGCCAGGCTGAAGTTTGCACAGTTCAATGAGAAGTGTGGTATACATCACATCAATGTGAGGGGGTGCTGGAAGTTGAAATAGTTCTGCAAAGATCACCTACAAAAGAATCACAAGTCAAAACTTAATTTGACAACTACCTATACACTTCTGTTAGAAAGACCTCAACATTCTAAACATAAACTCTAACTTTACAGAATTCATAATCAGTAAGAAAATTGCTTTTTAATCCTCAAAATTATGCTCTTGAAAATAAAAAGGTCTGTAATTTAATATGCAATGAAAATTTTGTCTCTATAACTCACTCAAGTAAGAAAATGCAAAAAACGTTTATTTGCTCTATACTCCCAGAAAACTGCAATTAAATTCCAACTTTCAAAGTATCAGAGTTCATTCAAATAGGTTCAGTTTACTAAGGAAGTCACAGATCCATCAGTTTCATTCCTGTAAGTAGTTAAAAACCCTATTAAACTCTGAGGATGTGAACAGAAGATAGCCAAGTCATTGTACATAGCTACCTGAAACCAGTACCCCATAATCTTTTTGGTAGTCCAAGACAACTCTGCATGTCTACAGGTCAGAAATTTGTTTCCACACTGTATAATTTGTGGACAACCTACTTAGAATTCTAAGTAGGTCTACATTCCTTGCTCTCACTCCTATCCCACACACACCTGCACTTCATTCTGATGAATTTTTAAACATTTTACAGATTTAAAAACATGTCTAATAGTCTACATTTCAATCGACATATCAATGTGTCAATTATGCCTGATCATCCTTACAAGTTTTATAAAGACAGGCTAAGTACTTTTAAGAAAGCACATAAAGGGCAGTATTAGTAAAAAGTGAATCTTAATACATTATAGCTATGCTCATTTTCATCACAAATATTTCACCATAAAACAGAAGTATAAAAGTCCATAAGCTTCACACATGTATCCTATGAAAGCACTGTTTTTCAGGACACAAATTTCTAAGGTGTTCAACTATAATTACTAATATCATCCTTCTATATAACTTAATCATAAACATTTACTATTCTTCCTACTTCCAAACTGGTTGTCTCTTTTTGATTTCTAAGGATAATAAGGATTCACATTTATCCTTTCCTTGGAATATGGGGAATAAACTAGTCACATGTATGCTCATGGTAAGAGGTCAGATAAACACAGTTAAAGATAGGTTATCTGCCTAAAGGAACACATATTTTAGTGTATTTAAGCCACTTATACAGCTGTTAAGTGGACAATGTATTGACAGAGCTAGAAGTAACTTACATTATCAATGATAACTATCCATGAATGAAGATATACTACATAAATAATTTATAGGCAACTCAAAATTCCACTTGGCTACTGGTCTCAACCTCCTCTTTTCTCCTTACTAACATGGCTAACAGAGCACCAATACTGACAGCAATTCCTCGCTCCTCTGTTAATTTTCAGTACCTGACAAGTAGTAAGAAAAAAAAAAAAAATAAGCCAAGAGTAGATTATACTTTACAGTCAACAGAAAGATTCTGAAACTTGGGAAGAAACTTCATATGAAATGCATACCTCAACTATGTGGTAGTTCAAGGGGATCTTGTTCTTCCCTGGATAGCTCACTAGCTGTGCAGCACTGTAAAAAAGTATAATTTGAGTTTAATTAGTATACAAAGATAGATGAAAAAACAAGCCATTTCAAAAGCACTATTTAAATATAAGGAAATCTGTTCAAAAATATTCTAAATTTCAGCACAAATTATTTTATCTGAAACCAGAAAAACTCTTCAGAAAATATATTTGCAATACCAAGGAAATATATTCAGATCCACTGAGTAAATTTTAACAGGGCAGACCACTCCCAATATATTATATTTCTTTCTATTTTAAAATCCAAACCAAAACATTCAAAGGTTTCAGAAAATATTAAAAAATAAACTTTCCCTAAGTTTGGACATCTAAATGCTAGAAAACAAGCAAAACCACTAGTATGCATTTATGCCCATAACATTCAAACCCAAAGTAGCTTGCCATTTAAGTTAACTTCTTCATCGCATATAGCAAATATCAATTTTAAAAAATGGCATTACATGCACATTGATATAAACTAGCAACCAAAAAAGTACTATCTGAAGGCAAAAGGCCTTGAGAAAGCAAAGCAAGTGTTTTTAGATTGGGCTTAGCAACACAGAACATTAGGAAGTCCAAAAGATTTTTCTTAACATTCTTTAACATATTTTGTTCTTACCAGAAATTAACAAAACTGCTGCCTTTTCTCCCCACCATGAAAAGAATCTTACCAAGTCTTCCTTTCTTTCCAGTGGGACTTAATTATGCAGTGAAGATTCTCTTCTATTACAAATCTCTCCACTGAATGACTCCCTGGCATTACAGGACCCTAGAAAGAAAGTCAAATGTACAGTGGGCCTCCCTGATGGCCTAGGGGTAAAGTCTCAGTGCTGTCACCTCTACAGTCTGAGTTCCATTCCCGGCCAGGGAGCTAACCCACATATGGCACAGCAGACCTCTCCTGCCTTGCCCGCCACTCTCCTTAGCAGTGTATTTCAGTAGATCCTCCTACTCTGCTCCCCACTCTGTCTCTGGCGAATCCTCTTACCCACCGCACCTCTGGCCTGCACCCCAGTTCTTCTATGCAAATAATAATAATTTTCTTAAATAAAGTCCAATGTACATATTACACACCTAAGAAAAGTATTTTCTTTTACTCATTCAGTAGGTATCTGAAAGCCTATCATGTTGCAGACAATATACTGGGTGGTAGGAATAAAACCAGAAGAATGAAAGCTCTGTATTTTAGCAAATTTTACTGTTAGGTTCAAAGATATCTACAACAGAATTATATCAGCTGCAGTGTTACTTTTGCTACAACTGATATACCATATTATCTCCCTACACCTCACATATAGTGCCTACATCAATTCTTACATAAAACTGAATGAATTTTTTATATTATTAACCCTATATAGTCAATTTATTTATTTATTTGTTAAAGATTTATTTATTTATTTATACAAGAACCAGGGTACAGGCCAGATTCATGGGAGGGTGAGAGGATTCACCAGACAGAGTGGGGAGCAGAACAGGCAGAAATACACTGCTGAGGGGAGTAGTGGGTGCGACAGGAGAGGTCTGCAGTGCCATGTGGGATCCTTGCTGCTGGCTGGGATTGAACCAGCGCTGCAGAGGCTGTGGACAGCTTCAAAGCACGGTGCTCAACCGCCTGTGCCATCAGGGGAGGCCTAATTTATTTTTTTAAACTATGAAAGTGGATTCCTTCAACAATAAAACATGGAGGGAAAAATTTTATTTCAAACACTATAAAGACAAGGAAAAATCTGCTTTGAGTGGTATCTACACTTGAAAAAAAAGGTCAAAAAACATTATCTACATGATATTAATTTTTCAGAGTATATGAATAGGCCTCCCTGGTGGCACAAGGTTAAGATGCAACCTATGAGGCAATCTGTAACCACTGCAGCACAAGTTCAATCCCTGGCCAGGGAGATACCCACATGGCACAGCAGACCTCTCCTGACTTGCCTGCTGCTCCCCTCAGCAGTGTATCTAGGTCGGTCTGCCCACTCTGTTCCGCACTCTGTCTCTGATGAATCCTCTCACCGTCCGCCCCCGCCCCCACCCCCCCTACCCCTGCCAACCCCCGCCACCTCTGACCTGTACTCAGGTTCTTGTATGCATAAATAAATCTTTAAAAAAAAAAAAAAGAGTATATGAATAGCCAACATGTTTAGAGAGTTTGTTTTTATTAATTATTGTAGACTTTTAATGGTAACTTTTACTTTAATCTTCTCTATAATTTGTTTTTAAAATAAACATCTTTTCAAAGGCAGGTTCAAAAAAACCAAATCCTTTTGAAGGGCATAGATATTTTGCATATTTATGTGCTTCTGACAAAGGATGATGGATATCAATTAAATATAAATAGTAAAGGAGAAAAAAAAATTAAGGTCCAGATAAATACCCAATCACAAAGATTTTAGCCGTCTTAAAAGTAAATCAAACTTTTAGGGCCTTCCCAGTGGTGCAGTGGATTGAGCGCAGCACTGCGAAGCTGTCTGAAGCCTCTGCAGCACTGGTTTGATTCCTCGCCGGCCAGGGAGATTCCCACATGGCGAGGTAGACCTCTCCTGTCCTGCCCACTGCTCCCCTCAGCAGTGTATCAGTCATTCTGCCTGTTCTGCTCCCTGCTCTGTCTCTGGTGAATTCTCTCACCCTCCCATGCCTCTGGCCTGTACCCCAGTGCTTGTATAAATAAATAAATCTTAAATTCTTTTTTTTTTTTTTTTAAGATTTATTTATTTATACAAGCACTGGGTACAGTCAGAAGCGCGGGAGGGTGAGAGAATTCACCAGAGCCAGAGCAGGGAGCAGAGCAGGCAGAAGGACCGAAGTACACTGCTGAGGGGAGCAGCGGGCGGCAGGAGAGGTCTGCGCGCCATGTGGGACTCTCCTCTGGTGGCCGGGGAGCAGCCGGGGATCGAACCGGTGCTGCAGAGGCTGCGGGCAGCTTCGCAACCCAGCGCTCAACCGCTGCACCACCGGGGAGGCCCAAATAAATAAATCTTAAAAAAAAAAAATAAAAATTTTAAAAAAGAGTAAACTTTTAGTTAGATATACCTAATTATGCCATTATATAATGTTGATTGAAAATATTTTACTCTATATGGAATAAAATATATAACAAATTGATAGTTTTGTATATATAACCAAGTATCTGACAATTTTTTACACTGAGATAGATTACATATATACTAACACTGAATTTTCACTAGTCATATGCAATTTATAGCAGGACAGAAAAGAGAAGATAAGAAAAACACCCTTATATTTGACCTTAAGTGATAATATTGATTCCTATGTTATTGGTTCTCAACTGGGGCCACTTTTGCCCCTAAGGGGACATCTAGCAATCTCTGGAGACTTTTGGTTATCAGAGTTGATATTTAGTGTCCAGGTGGTAGAGAGAAAAGGTCAGGGAGGCTGTTAAGCATCCTACAATTCACAAGACAGCCCCTCACAATGACAAATTATCCAGTCTGAAATGTCAGTTTTGCTGAGGTTCAGAAACTCTCCTCTATGCTGACTGTGATGTACTATGTGACAGATAACAGACAGTACTTTAGTAATAGGAGTTTCCATTCAGAACAATCCAATAATCACTGTGCTTGCTGCTTGGCTATTAAATTTAAGAGTTAAGACAGCTCTTCAAATGCAAAGGCATAAAATAAATAAAAATATGTCAAACAAAGCATAGTTAAACTGTAAATTTTTATAGCAAATGTTAATATAAAAATTATTTTTTAATTCATAGAGTGTAATGACTGCCACAACTTGTCTTCATATAATACACAATACATATTTTCAGAAATGATAGTTATATTAATCTTTGATTTTCTTCAAGAGTATATTTTAAGAAATAATTACATAATATGAGTAATAAGACAAGTCATGAAGGTTAGAGAGAGAACAATCTAAAACTGGCTATTTGTCTTCAAAAATAGCCTTATTAATAGCCAAAGTTAGTACACCCTCATCACATGTTGAATACTGTCCCATATATTTTTGTTAATAATTTAACCCCCATAACAACTTTATGAGGTACATCTATTACCTATTTCACCAGGAAACTAAGGTACAGAGAGAATAAATGACTCAACCAAGATCACATAGATAAGATCTGAATAAACCAGGATTAAAATCCAACAAAATCTGGTTCTCTAGCTTACACTCTTAAATTGCAGACTTTGCTGCACCTTAAAAATCTACTCATACAAGCTAAATAATAATTCTTGCATAACAAGGCAAGTATCATTCACCAAACCAATGAGCGCTTTCAATATGCCACTGCCAATGGCAGTGGCCATTGATCTTAAGTAATAAGCAATTCAAAATTAGAATGTGTCACTGGCAAAATTCAAACACGATTAAACCACAAATACAAAGCAACACAGGCCCTTTTTTTGGTTACATACCTCAGGATCATCTGTATAATCAAACATTCTGAAGATGACCCTAGGCATTGGGTACACTGAATCTTCAGTGTGGGGAGGTGGTGTGAAAGGAGGCAGATTGTGCTGTAGTGCTTCACACAGGATGCTGTCAAAGGCAAGATAAGGTCTTAAGATGTGCCGCTCCTGCCAGCGATCCTTTTTCAATTTCTGAATCTGGGCCCACAGGCAATCTAAATACTAAAGACAGTTTAATTTTTAACAATTAATACATATTTGGAGGTTAGAATTAACATTTTGACTGGACAAAACCAAAAATCATTATCTTCTAAAAGACAAGCTACAAAAGCAAGCTAACCTGAATTAAATATAGTACAGAGGAACTGTGCTAACATTTCAATTACCTGCTTTATAAAACCTGTCTTTCTGAGGCTCTTACCTTAACATTTTCCAAATTGGGTATTTAAATAAAAATGTGTAAACTCTATGATATATGGAATCCCACAGAATAGGGAGTGTTTCAATTACATACTAACATTTATTTAAAAATTTACTATATATATTGCCTATAGTTATGAGGAGCTGGATCTTTACATAAAATGTGAAAACCTAGTTAAATTCTATAGATGGAATGATTTCAGTATGTCACAAGAGTGGACTGTGCTTGTATCACAAAAAGCTGAAATCAATTTACCTCTTCTTGGGGATGTGGTTTCTCAGCAGTCCATACTTGTAACATGGGCATGTGAGTCTTCTGTCGTCTTCTAAAGATAAAAATGAAATTTACACTTAGGATTTTAAAAACATGAAAAGAAGTTCATTTGCTTTCATAATTAACAAAATAAAATTAAGGCAGTGAAATGACATTTTTACTTATCAGATTGGGAGCTCTCAAAATTTTTGATAATGTTCTATGTTGCCAAAATGTGGGAAAATATGCTGCTTCAAATATTGCTGGCAAAGGAGCTAATTCATATCTCTTTAGAAGAGACATGGAAGGCAATTTGAATAAATCTATTAAAATTAAGATACTTCAACCCAGCAATGCCACTTCTAAGAGTTCACACTCACCACAATTATATTTGCACATGTACACAAAAGAAATTCACTGAAACATGACAGCAAAAGACTGGAAATAACCAAAATGTCTGCCTACAAGGGATCTAAGAAAATGTGGTACATTAGAAGAGTGAAATACAATGCAGCTATTAAAAAGAACAAGGTACAGTTATATACTTTAAAAAAAAAAAAATTTTGAAAAGAAGTGGGTGTAGGTCAGAGGTGCAGGAGCAGAACAGGCAGATCTACTGAAATACACTGCCAAGGGGAGCAGTGGTGAGACAGGAGAGGTCTGCTGCACCATATGTGGGTTAGCTCCCTAGCCAGGAATCAAACTCAGGCCATAGCGGTGATAGCACTGAGACTTAACCCCTAGGCCACTGTGGCGGCACCATAAGAACTATTTACTTTTATGTTAAAAAAAAAAAAAAAAAAAGATATAGTAAGGGGCAAAAGCAACTTAAGAACACCGTGTATTCTGGAATACCATTTGTGGAAAAAAAGGGGAGGGGAAAGAGAGGCCATATACTTACATGCTATAATGCTCATACTCTTATTTTCATTCTTTTCCAAACATCTACATTTAAGTATAAACACCTACAATAACTATAAAAACAACCCTTAAAGGTAGCTTAACATAAAGAAAAAGCAGATTTTTTGGTTTAGATTGCTTTTAGCTTTATTTGTAACTAAGAAGATATTAACAATATCCATAGAAGTTCCTATTAATAGACAGAAACGGGAACATAAAATTAATCTGAAAAAACTTATGGAGTCACAAAACTATCACCACACTGCTGAGAGACTAAAGTTTAGGAACAAGGAATGTTATTAATATTACATGTAATAAGGCAAGTCAAGCTTTTCACATTGTCTTGGAAAAGTGGGTAATAGGAGGAAATGGGACTATTTTAAGTGAAAAGTATAGCTGAAATGTAGGAATGGGCATAAATGAAATGTAGGGTGGGTGGACGATTAAGGAACACTGTCTAAAGGACTTGGTTCAAGACTAACTTATATGAAATAGATATACTGTATGTGCCGGATAATAGTTCTCCACTTGTGGACTATGTGCCCAAGCCTCCTTCTCAAATACCACAATTTGTAGGCCTGGAGGTTTTGGGGTTTGAGAATATTTAAGCACCACAACTGATTCTTATGCATACTGATATTTGAGAACCATTATGTTAGATGTTTTATGCTTTTGCAAACAGGCAAAAGCAACTTAAAAGAAGCTATGTTACCAACTCATTTGCATTGGCAAAGTAAAGTATAATTACTCTGAAGTCTCAATAAGTTACAATAGCAGAGGTGTAAGTACCTACAGAAAGCCTTAGAGAACTTTACAGCTGAATTTTAAGAAATAAAACTCAAATAGTATTACTAATGGACAAAACATAACACATTTATTGTATCAGTAAGATAACATTCACCTAAATAATGAAGAGTAACATGAGCTATGACCTTACTTAAGATAGCTTTCAGTGTTGGCAAAGATGCGGTCCATTTCTGCATCTTTTTTTTCATACAACTCCTTTCCAACCCAGGGCAAAGATGATAGAAACGCATACACGTACCAATCCCGTCGCACCTAAGAATTTTTAAGAAGGTAAGTTTATTGTATTTATTCTTGATAGCCTACTGTAGAAGGGCTTAGGTAAAACCGCATCATTCAGAGCATTTCTACTGATCAGTTTTAAACTTACTAGACAGATCATTTGAATTAACATAAAAATGTCAGTTGAACCCACCAATATTCCAGCTGACTTATTTTACACATTAAGAATTTAGAATGTGATAATAGGCTATTATCTTTTGGGGTTTATTACTAAATGGTTACCAGTAAAAAACTCCTGGTACTAGAGCGACAAGGTTCAGTATAAGTGGTTTTCTTACCTGAGGCACATCTTCTTCCTGAGTTACATTTACAAAATTTTCAAACATAGCAACCATTGATGGGGCAGCAATGACATGACAGTTCACAAGATCAGATAAAAAACGGACCTGTTGTGGAAAACAATTTCTATTAAATCTAAATGTCCTTTGTAATAATTACAAAACAAGTAATCTAATGGTAGAAACCCCAAGTCTGAAAAACAAAAGCCCAAGAGTAAAATGTAGCCCATGACCTATTTTGCATACTCTATGAACTAAGAATGATTTTTAGATTTTTAAAGGCTGGGGGTAAAAGAAAAAAAAATCAAAGCAGTATTTTCTGATACATACAAATAACCTGAAATCAAATTTCAGTCCATAAACAAACTTTTACAGGAACACAGCCATGCTCACTCACTTATATACTGTCTATGGCTGCTTTTTATGCTCCACAGCAGAGTTGAGTAGTAGTCATAGAGATGGAGATGGTACACGGAATAAGAATCTGTGGACTTACAGGTTTCTATTCTACACTACATTAAGAACCTAACCTGTAATATTCTAGATATGTAAGCCTTTAATTTTTTTTTTTTGTTTGACTGTGAAAAACAATGGACTACAGAAACAAATTTCTAAACATACATTTATTGGAGAAAGTCTCTATCAGATGGGAACTCAGAGTCTAATGAGACAAGTACAGTTAAAAGATAAATAAACTCTAGGAACAGGACAAGGCTAGGGGAAAACATAAAAGAGCCAATAGTTGGGCTAGGTCATAAAGGACAAGTAAAATAATTCGTTAGTAGAGGGTAAGGAGTATATTCTAGGCACAGGGCTCAAAACAAGGTATGTCTACATCTGCAAGTAATTTTTATATAGCTAGAGGATATATGGGAGGTGAGGATAGAGAAACAGATTGAGGCTAACATACAGGATCAGGCTAAGGAGTCTGAATTGAATCTTGCAGCCTGATAAATATCCAAACTGTTTTGATTATATATTCAGTAAAAAAAAGAATCTGATCACACATCTCCAGCACATCTATATTTATTACATACAGCAGACCACTATCAACTGAACTATTTTTTTTAAAAGATTTATTTATTTATGCACATAAGAACTGGGATACAGGCCAGAGATGTGGGGGGTGAGAGGATTCACCAGAGACAGAGTAGGGAGCAGAACAGGCAGACTGACTGAAATACACTGCTGAGGGGAGCAGCACGCGAGACAGGAAAAGTCTGCTGCGCCATGTGGGTAGTTTCCTGGTTGGGGATTGAACTTGTGCTGCAGAGGCTGCTGCTAGCTTCACAGTGTGTGCTTAACCTCTTGTACCACGAGGGAGATCCATCAACCGAAGTATTAATTCCCTTTCCGGTTAATAAATAAGTATTCTGACATTTACTTCCAGCAACCCAGTGAATCATCTGTTGCCCTATGCTTTTAAGAACATCTACTCTGACAATGGGAAGGAACTGAGGTTTCTGCCATAACCAACATGGCAGAGTTCATAGGTTTATAGAAAGAACACTCGGGTGCTATTAGAAAATAAAGTGAAAGAGAGAGAATCTGGATGCTGAAAGGTCAATTAAGAGGCTGTTAAGACATAAAGATGAAGGCACGAACAATGCCAGAGGCTCTGAAGACAAAGGAAAAGGGATGGACTCAAGAAACAGAACTTTTAAGATCTAAGACTGCTTAAAATATGAGGGGGTAATAGGGGAGATAAAAAAGAATGCTCAAGTTTCTGGATGGGTTATCCAGTAGAAAGTAGCTACTGTGTGGGATTGGGGAAAAGACAGAGGAAAGGAGGTAAAGTAATGTAAGGGATTTCTAGGCAAGACACCTTAAGGTTACCTGGGTAGTGTTTCAAACATAGGCCTGAGCTCAGTAAAAAGGTGATACAAATGTAGGAGATACAAATGTAGATTATGAAGGGCAGAAATGGGGGTCATCAAAATAAAGGTAGCTTGTAAAGCTGGAAGAACAAACGAGAATGTTTTAGGAAAGAGTGGTTAAGAACTTCCCGACCAACAGAAAGGAGGAAAAACAAACTAAAACAACCAACAAGAACAAACTACGCATCAAGCGGGGCTGTGAGTGGAAAGTAACTATTTCAGCCACCATACCCCATGAACTGGAGCTGTGGAGAACCCTGCAGGATTCGCCGGGGAGGTGAGCGAACGGCTCCAGGTGCCATTAAAGAAAAACAAAGACTCCCGGAGACCTACAAACAGCCCCAGGCCAGCCGGTAAGCTTGTGTGGAAAAGTAGCGCACTTGAAAATGATACACGGATTGCGGCTGCCCAGGTCCCCTCGCCTGCGACCTAGGCTTGCAGGGAGACGCGCGGGGCCCCTCACTGAGGTAAATGTCCCTCACTGAGTAATCAGAAACCAGTCGCCAGGACACAGGAGCGGGGAGCAAAAGGCGCCATTTCTGCGGACACTGAACTGGGCTACAGCTCACGTCCTGGACCTGAGGGCTTTAAAACTGAGACCCAGGGCATGAAATTCGGGGCATGGGATCCCCACGATGGTGGGGCACAAGGCAGACACAGCACCCCAAAGCCTTTGAGACTTTCCCCACCACTCCCACTGTTCCCTGTCCCATGAGGTAAAAAAAAACAGCTCCCCAAGGACACTAGGAGAGATCTCTGATGCCACCTAGCGACCAGAAAAAAATCACCAACACCCCATAGAATAGGGACCTTTCTTCAGTAAAGACTGCTTGAAACTGGCAGAAGGCTCCCAGAGGAGTCAGAGGTGAGCTAGGAAGTTGGCCCAAGCCAGGCCCCTTCTGACCAGCAGTCCGAGCCCAGAGGGGAAGCGGGCACCCATGGCCAGGGCAGACAGGGTGCGCGGAAGAGTGTGCCTGTCCCTGAATCACCATTTTAGAATAGGGACTCTTCTTCAATAAAGACTGCCTGAAACCAACAGAAGGCTCCCGAAGGAGCAAGAGGTGAGCTGGGAAGTTCGCCCATGCCAGGCCCCTTCAGGCCAGCAGTCTGAACCCAGAGGGGGAGCGGGCACCCACGATTGGGGCAGACCAGGCCCGCGGAAGAGTGTGCCTGTCTCCAAAGCGCCATTTTAGAACAGGGACCTTTCTTCAATAAAGACTGCTTGAATCTGGCAGAAGGCTCCCCGTGGAGACAGAGGGAGAAGGTTCCCTGCACAGTCAGAGGTGAGCTGAAGGCCCCCACAAGCCCGGTCCCACCTGGCAGGAAGTCGGAGCACAGAGGAGGATCCAGAGATTTGGAACCCAGAGTGCAATCCAACTGACCCACGTCCAGGGAAGTCTATGGGGTTTCAAGACTAACCTTTGTAACGAAACACAGAAGGAGAGATTCTGTGACAGTGACCATTAACATACTCAAAGTACCACTGCCTCACTAGACTTCCAGCATAACAGTTTTTGACTCATTTGGATTGCCAGTTTCTGAAACTCCCGAAAGAACACACTAAAAGATGCCCGCCAGTAACAGAGGGACAGTGTCCCAATGCATAAGGCAAATTAGAAGACAGGCAGCAGGGAAAAGAAAAACTACAAGCAAAGTAGCAACACCTCAGAAAAAAGACACACCACAAAAAAAAAAACAAACAAAAAAAAACCCACCCACCAGCTTGCAACTACTTTGACTTGGAAGAACTTCTGAACCTTCCAGAAAAAGAATTTAAAATTGCTGTGATGAAAAAACCGATGGAAGTCATTAAGGAAAACAATGCTCAGAAGAACGAAATTGAGTCCCTAAAATGAAGGGAAATGAAGGAAATGCAGGAGATCAAAGGATTAACAGAAGAGCTAAAGAATGCTGGGAAAAGCAGTGATAACAGAATAGAGGAAATGGAAGAATGAATAAGCACTCTGGAAGACACAGAAATAAAAAGAACCAAAACAGAAAAGGAAAGAGAAGTACGAATGAAAAAGACTGAAGAAAGACTTTGGGAACTATCTAAGTCCATGAGGAAAGAAAATATAAGAGTTATAGGAATCCCAGAAGGAGAGGAGAGAGACCTAGGAACAGAGAAAATATTCAAGGAAATAATTGAAGAGAACTTCCCAAACGTGAAGAAGGAGCTGAAAATAGATATACAAGAAGCAAGAAGAACACCAAACTTCCCCGATGAAAGGAAAAATACAGTAAGAGGAGATCAAAGAAGAAATGAAAAAATTCTTTGAATTGATGACAAGGAGGACACCAATTTCCTAAATGTATGGGATGCAGCAAAAGCAGTAATAAGAGGAAAATATATAGCAATAGACGCTCACATCAAGAACAAGAAAGAACTCAAAGAAACAACCTAATCTCGAAGCTCAAAGATCTAGAAAAAGAACAACAAAAAACCCCAAAACCAGTAGGAGAAAAGAAATAATAAAAACCAAAACAGAAATAAATGAAATCGAAACTAAAAAAATAATCCAAAAGATCAGTGAAACTGAGAGCTGGTTCTTCGAAAAAATAAATAAAATAGACAAACCCCTAGCCAGGCTCACAAACGAAAAAAGGGAGAAAGCACAAATAAACAGTATCATAAATGAAAGAGGAGAAATCACAACGGACACAGCAGAAATCAAAATAATCAGAAACTACTATGAACAGTTATATGGAATCAAGTTCAACAATCTAGAGGAGATGGACAAATTCCTACAACTCTACAATCACCCAAAGCTAGATAAAGAAGAAATAGAACACCTAAACAGACCAATTACAAGCAGTGAAATTGAAATGGTAATCAAAAACCTCCCCAAAAACAAAAGCCCAGGACCTGATGGATTTACAAATGAATTCTACCAAACATTCAGAGACGAATTAGTGCCTATCCTTCACAAACTCTTCCAAAAAATTGAGAAGGAAGGGACAATACCAAGCACGTTCTATGAAGCCAACATTACACTAATACCAATACCGAACAAGGACAACACAAAAAAAGAAAACTGCAGGCCAAAAGCTCTCCTGAAAAAAAAAAAGAAGGGAATGGAGGCATCACACGCCCAGACTTCAAACTATACTACAAAGCCATAATCATTAAAACTGCATGGTATTGGAACAAGAAAAGACACACAGACCAATGGAATCGAATAGAAAATCCAGAAATAAACCCACAGATTTATGGTCAACTAATCTTTGACAAAGGAGCAAAGAATATGCACTGGAGCAAAGAAAGTTTGTTCAATAAATGGTGCTGGGAAAACTGGGTCACTACATGCAAAAGAATGAAGTTTGACTACTACCTAACACCATGCACAAAAACCAACTCAAAATGGATTAAACAACTAGACATAAGACCGAAACCATAAAATACATAGAAGGAAATATAGGCGAAACACTACATGACATGCACATCAAAGACATCTTTACAGACACATCACCCAAAGCAGTGATAGTGAAGGCAAAGATCAACAGCTGGGACTACATCAAATTAAAGAGCTTCTGCACAGCAAAAGAGACAATAACAAAAACAGAGAGAAACCCCACCAACTGGGAGAACATTTTTGCACACAACACTAATGATAAAGGACTGATCACAAAAATCTACAAAGAGCTGATGAGACTCAACAAAAACAAAGAAAATCATCCAGTCAAAAAATGGGCAGAAGAGCTAAAAAGAAACTTCCCTGAAGAGGAAATGCAAATGGCCAACAGGCATATGAAAAAATGTTCAACATCATTTGTAATCAGGGAAATGCAAATCAAAACTACAATGAGATACCATCTTACAACAGTGAGAATGGCACATATTAAAAAAACTAGCAACAACAAATGCTGGCGAGGTTGTGGAGAAAAAGAAACTCTCCTGCACTGTTGGTGGGAGTACAAACTGGTCCAACCACTATGGAGAGCTGTGTGGAGATTTCTTGACCTACTAAACATAGAGCTTCCATATGATCCAGCAATTCCACTCCTAGGTATTTACCCAAAGGACACAGAAACATTAATTCCAAAGAGCACCTGCACCCCTATGATTATAACAGCACTGTTTACAATAGCTAAGCTTTGGAAACAACCCAAATGTCCAAAAATAGATGACTGGATCAAGAAGATGTGGTACATATATACCATGGAATATTACTCAGCATTCAAAAAAGATCAACACATGCAATTTGCAGCAACATGGATGGCGCTGGAAGGGATCATGCTCAGCGAAATAAGCCAGAAAGAAAAAGAAAAATACCAGATGGTCTCACTCATAGCAGGAATCTAGAAAACTTAAATAAGGGACCAGGAAAATGAATAACTATATGAAAGAAAATATCAAAATCAACAAACAACTATGAACCAGAGACACTCTATGGGGGGTGGGGGGCGGGGAAAGGAGGGCTTGGGGTCACAATAAGGGGGTTGCAATTGCATGGGGAATATAAAAATAAATTTAAAATAAAATAAAATTTGTTCTTAAAGAAAAAAAAAAAGAGTGGTTAAAGAAAAGTGAAATGAGGATAGAATCGTGGGAAACACAAAAATTTAAGAGGCAAAGGAGGATGACCAAATAAAGGAGACTGAAGAATAGAAGGCAGGTGGCAGCAGGAGGTTCCCCAAAGAGTAGTGCTGCAGAAGCCAAGTAATATGAATTCCATTCTGCAGTGAGATCAACTAGGATTGACAGTGAAATCTGGAAATGAATCTCTGTGGTAAGGAAGTGTATTTCAATTAAAGGATAAATTATTTGGTTGTAGCTCACCTCTTCCTTCTATCCCAATATTAAGTCATAATACACAAAGCAAATAAAAACTTACCAAATATACAGCTTCATTATAATTGTTTGCTTTCAATGATTCTTTAAGTTGACGAATCATGGCTTCTACAAATTCTCCACCGAAGTTGTAATTTCTAGCATTGAGGAGTCCAACTAATGTTGTATAAATTGTCAACTTCTCAGGTAATAGACGTGCACTGATTTGAGAACCCAATACAGCAAAAACAAAAAAACACAGAGACACACACACACAAAACCCAAAACAATAGCATTAAGTAGCTGAATTTTAAACCATATAAACCTTTTATTAACTATTTAACTTTGAAACAGGATTACTATTTTTAAGCAGTATGTTTTTAAAACTACTTCAGAAAAGGCACAAATGTCATCAAGAATAGTTGCAGACAATCTTTCAATTCAATCCTGGTTAACTCAAGAGTAAAAGCAAAAAAAAACAAACAAACAAACAAACAAACAAAAACAACTAATTGTGAAGCTAACAAATTGAAATAAATACAGTTTGTGCGAAATAAAGCCAGTGTGTGTTTGGTGGAATTGAACATCAATTCTACAGAAAATGTTTTCATGGTAAAATATCTGGGAAATGCTGGGTGAAACAAGTTTCTTTAATGCAGAATCATTAAAAGGCGGGGATGCAGCCTTCAGCATTACTAAACTCAGCTAACCAAATGTCATGGGAGCACAGTTCCACTTTGAGAAACACTATTCTAGTTGTTTAGAAAAAATTCAGAATCAAAACCAGTTTCAACTAAATCCCTATCAGTTAAACTGTTGAATTCTTAGCATGGCACAGCGAGGTTTCTTTACATTCTAGTTTGCTTATACCAGTATATTAATAAACTTGATAAACAGCGAAGAGGATTACAGCAATACACTTTAGGAAAAAGCAAATATTACTTGCTAATTTGGGCAGTCTTTGTCTTAAGAAAAAAAGCAAATAGTAGCTCATGACAATTCAGACTCTCTTTTTGTGTTTCCCAAAGGTCCCAGCAGAGTGTCAGGGCTCTGTGAGGCCCCTACTCCCACCCAAAAGCCACAGCTTCTATCAGAGTTTAAGCATAAATGATATTCAATTCTAAGAAATATTTTTAAACAGAACACGTTATGGATAGACAACTATAGCAAAATGATTTTTCTTATCTAAGGATGTGTTCCTGAATATTAATTTGATTCCTTTTAATGACTGTCACATAAACTATTTGCACTTTCTGAGGTTAAAATGAAATTCACTGCTTTGTGTATATATTTTTAAATTGCAAAAATGAGCTGTAATCATTAGAAATTTAAAAAATTGAAATGACAATTAGTTATCTTTATAAAAGTACCTCATAGATTATAATTTCATGTAAACTACAAATATCCCTTTATTCAGAAGTCATAGCTATTTCTTTGCAAGGCAAACAATTCAGAGTGGCCGATGTCTATCTAAGGGAGAAAAATCTAGATTGTTAATTCCAACACTGGGAGAGATTGTTTCATTACTTCAGTGTGAGACTTTTCCCTTTTAATTCCCTCAGAAAAATGAAATACTAATAGTTGTTCTAGATAACCTAACTCAAAAAGTATGCCTATGAAAGCGTCAAAAGCATTTTTTGTCATCTAAAAAGGGCTATTACAAGCAACCAGTTCTCAAATTTGTTTGGCACTACTCGTCTTAAAAAAAAAAAAAAAAAAAAAGTCAAACTCATATTTAAGTGTACATGCTTTAAAAAAATCTGATTGTTAAAGTGTCTACATTCTCACTAAATAGTAGTTGAATGGATCACTAAGAAATAGTTAAATAATTCCATTACATATAAGTAAAACACTACTATGATGTAAGAAAAAAATTAATATAAAAAAGAAATAAAACATAATAGTCAATTTTTTGTTCTATTCATCTCTAAGAAAAGGAGTTCACCAAAGGTCATTCACTTGTGCAAATTTCCCAACAGAATGAAAGCTGATGCTATATGGAACACAAACACATCTTTTGAACATTTTCCAAAGCAGGTAAGAGTAGATAATACATTATCACCTGGATTCATATATCTTTTGCATACATACACTGTACAAAGAAGCCTTAAGATCTTGCTCTTGTAGTTAGGAAGATCAGCTTCCAAAACACCAGCCAAGCCTTCCAGGTTGCTCTCCAAAGAGCAGGCACTCTGTAGAGGGTAGCATATGAAATATCCATCAAATACTCAGCAATTAGCAAGCTAAACTTTTCGATGTGGTTATAAAAAATTAATGAAGCAAGCAAATGAAATTTTTAAAATAAGCATTCTGAGACAGCAGACTAAGTATTAGAAATGGAGGACAATACAAGCTCCATCCCATCTCTCTCACTCACTTACTCACTCACTCACTACATGACTCTGCGTAAAGTACCTTAAGTATACAGGATTTGTTTCTTTCCTCACTTACAAACGGAATGGACTATTCCTTAAGGTCTTGTCTAGGACTCACCAGTCTATGAAAGTTAATACAAATATTTAACGCTCAATTATCTGAAATCCAGGGGTTTAATCTGGTTTTCCTTTTGGACATAGATGCATGGCAATACAAGCTTTGCCTAAAACTCAGATTATGGCATTTCTAGCTACAGAACTTAAAGCAGTCACCTACAATGTTAATCCCTTCACAGCCAGTGCCAATTGTGGTGCTCACCTTTTCCCCTACTTTGCATATTAAAGATTCCAAATGATCTTCAGTTTCATTGGCATCAGAGGTCTTTCTCCTTTTGTGAGGTTGTCCTCCTGTTTTAACAATGTAAAAAAATTAACATTACACAATGAACCCACTATCCTAAGTTTTGCCAAGCTACAGTAATTAAAACAATATGACAATGGCAAAAAAAAAAAAAGACATAGACCAAAGGGACAGAATAGAAAGGATAGACATAAATCCACTACAGGGTCAATTAATTTACAACAAAGGAGCCAAGAATATATGATGGGGAAAGGACAGTCTTTTCAACAAATGGTGCTAGGAAAATTGGATAGCCCCATGCAAAAGAATGAAACTGGACCATTATCTTAAACCAAACTCAAAAATTAACACAAATGGATCAAAGAATCAAAACATTAAGACTTAAAACCTTAAAACTCAGGAAAAAAACGAATGCAGTATGATCTTTTATGTGGACTCTTAAAAAACAAAAAACATCAAGTTATGGATGCTGAGAACAGATTGGTGGTTGCCAGAGGCAAGGTCTGGAGGTAGAAGAAATGGATGAAGAGGGACAAAAGGTAAAATTACACACACACACTTTTCTACCGCAGGCCCTACTTTGGTGTACAGTTTTCTAGACCAATTACATCAAGATTCCTTCTCCAAGGAGTGTGTTAGAGCAACCATGGAAGCAGACATGTTGTTCTTAGAGCCAGGAAGATGCTTCTCAATGTCACCTTTGAGATTCACTAAATCTAGATCACTCTGGCCTCCATCTCTGGCTGGAATATACCACCCACTTTCCTTTTTTTATTTTGTCATGCAACCATTGGATGCTTTCAATTATAGACCACTTTGACATTGAATCCCACACTGTCAGAGCCATCTTTTACCTCTACCATGTACCTCTACCCTTCAACACCAAAGCACACACAGAGACAGGATCCTATCCCTAACCCAAGCCCCATTTTGTTTTTTTGTGCCACACCTCATCACCTGATCCCACCTTATCTCTCAATCCCACTCTCTCAGGATCTCAACTATTACACTAATGTAATGTAGTCCAAAGATTCCAAAGGTTCAGTTACCATAGTCTACCAAACCTAAGGGACCCAAAAAAGTCCCAACTATGTTAAGATCTGGACAAAGACCTCCTGAATGACTTTAGGAATATCCCCAAAACATAGTCACCAGGTTGTCCATAACTCTGCCCCACACTCTGCTTTGGGGAGCATGTGTTTCCTCAGGTCAGCCAGGAAGTTCTCCTGCATTCATTCCCCCTACAAAATTTCTCTCAAAAACCCCTCATAAAATCAGAGAATGTTAATTGGTTCTCATTTCACATCTTATGAAGTAGATTGTTTCTATAAGGAGAAATATGTATTCTAAAATATATTTTTTCCTGAGAAAAAATGCTTTTTACTCTAAATTCCAAATAACTATGAGCAGCTTACCAACACAGGTATTTTATTTTAAATTGGTTTTTACATAATTTGAACACGTCAAAAGTCACAAAAAAATTTCAAGAAGCATGCAAATGATGTATCTTGCTATTTTAGGGTCTTAGAAATTGGAAAAGAATTTTCACTGTTTTCTAACAACATCAAGATCATTCTCATTGGAAAGCAACACCAAAGAGATAAATTATTTCAGGTTTTAAAACTTTTCAGACAGACTAATACCTATGTACTAAGTCACAGAGGCACCAATTTCTTAACCATCTATTTTTTTAATATTTTAAATTTGTGTCATTCAAATGTTCTTTGTAGGCAGATAACCTAAGAAGATCAAAAAAATAGTTTGCAATAATTTAAAGGGTGCCTAAACTAATCAAGGAAACGCATATTAAGCTAACTGCCAAATAAAGTCATCACCTATTAAATATATATGCTAATAACTTTATTATTTTTTTGAGGTAACATTGGTTTACAACACTGTATAATGATTTAGATGTCTTCAGATGTTCGTTATCATATTATACCCATCACCAAAGCACAAATAATTCTGCACCATAGACCACTGGGCCCTCTCCCTCTTTTGATCCTCACCCTCCCTTTACCCCTCTAGTAGCCTCAATTCTGCAGTCATATTTCTAGGGTATTGTCTTGGTTTAGTTTTGTCTCCTTTGTTTCATTTCTTTGTATGCCACATGAATGAAATCATGCAGTATTTGTCTTTTTCTTTCCAACATTTTTGCTTAGCATAATCCCTTCCTGTTCCATCCATGTTGTCACAAATGGCAACATTCTGTCTCTTATAGTGCTTAGTATTCCACTGTGTATAAATACATCTTCTTTATCCACTTATCTCTCAGTGAGCATTTAAGTTGTTTCCGTAACTTGGCTATTCTAAATAGTGCTGTAAAGAACAAAGGAATGAATGTCCCTTCAAATTAGTATTTTTATATTCTTTGAATAAATACACATGAACAGAATTGATGGATTATATGGTGTATCAATTTTAGTATTTTGAGAAACCCGCCATATTATTTTCCATAAGGCCTGAACAAGTCTAGATTCCCACTAACAGCATACGAACACAGGCCCTAATTTTTACACAGTGAAAGCTCTTAGGTGACCTTCTACTTCCCAGACTAAGCTAGATTAACCAACAGTATCTATTCCCAGGGCTACTGCTAATAACTCCAAGACGCATTAGTTATGCTAACTTTGTGTACCAGTGCCCCCATGGAAATATGCAATGCAGCAGTCCTGTTCATTTCTGTGGACTAAGCAGGGGTGGTGCTAGGTGCAGGCAGTCAGCAGGATACTATTTGTACATTCATGTTATACATTACTTCCATTCTTTAAACTTGGCTGTTCACAGATCCTCAGTTGCTTGTTCTTATACCTGCTAGTGCCAGTAGCATTCATTTATTCTAATAATGGAACTTAAATTATTATGTAAACAGACAGAATATGAGTACAGGACTAAGTTGAATGCTTTGGAAAGAATCGATTCAAAATTAGTTTTGTATTAGTTATGAAGAGAGCTTCAAAATATGGAAAGGGAGCATACAACATTAGGATTCCTTATTAGCTTTACAAGTGCCTGAGCTCTTGTGTTAACTGTACAGTTAACTGTTTTGATTCTGTAGATCATGCAGCACTACATACAGTTTATCCCAAACAACAGGAATCATAACCAAGAGATATATACTCAAAGTCCAAAGCACTGCATCAAATAATGGTAGGAAAAAGATGCATATTTTATGATCACCTGCTTTAACTGGCTCTTGACTAGCTTATTAATGATCCTATTATGTTCCTATTATGTCCTAATATGTAATTCAAAGAACACTTTAAAAAAGGATCTAACATTTAGAAATCATTACCAATCACTGTCTGTCCTTTGGTTATTAAGGCATTCACTGAAGCTGTACTAAAAATTTACCTTAGAACATTGCACTGTCTATCTTCAGATTTTGCTGTTTATTATCTTACTATTTTGTTTAAAACCTAACACACCTACCTTATACCCTTCTTATATAATAACACAAGGGTTGAAAAAATTAAAATAATAGTGTTAAGTATGGAACATGATGCTGTTGCTACAATGTTGGCTCTTCTCCCAATAAAACTCAATTTTGGGGCCTCCCCGGTGGCGCAGCGGTTGAGCACCGGTCTGCGAGGCTGCCCACAGCCTCTGCAGCGCTGGTTCGATCCCCGGCCGCCGGGTGAGGGTCCCACATGGCGCGCAGACCTCTCCTGCCGCACGCTGCTCCCCTCAGCAGTGTACTTCGTCGGTCTGCATGTTCTGTTCCCTGCTCTGGCTCTGGTGAATTCTTTCACCCTCCCACGCTTCTGACTGTACCCAGTGCTTGTATAAATAAATAAATAAAACTTTTTAAAAAATAAATAAATAAAATTCAATTTTTGAATTCCCTTAGTTAGATTATTAGAAGACCATGTGAACATGGAAGCAAGAGTCTGTAACTATGCTGGGCATCTTTATTAATAATGAAAACCTGCAATAGAATACAGGGTTACCCAGGATTACATATAAAACTTTTATCTCCAGACCTGTAGAGCCAAAGGGATTGAACTAATTTTACAGAATTCATAATTACTTAGTTGCCTCCAGAACATCTGGTTTGGAATACACAGTGGTTCTCACAAAACATAGCATTTGGCGATTGTAAGCTTGGGGTGTTTAAACTCTCTCCAAAAAACTAAAATGATTTTCAAGCCTCCCTGGTGGTGCAGGGGTTAAGGACAGCCCTATTAAGCTATCACCAGCCACTGCAGCGCAAGCTGGATCCCCAGCTGGCCAGGGAGAAACCCACAAGGCGCAGCAGACCTCTCCTGCCTTGCCCGCTGTTCCCCTCAGCAATGTATTTCAGTGGATCTGCCTGTTCTGCTCCCCACTCTCTCTGGTGAATCCTTTCATCCCCCTGCACCTCTGGCTTACACCCCAGTTCTTGTATGCATAAATAAATCTTTAAAAAACACAGGGGAAAAAAACCCTAAAATGATTTTCAAGTTACTGGGTAAACTTAAGGATAAAATAAATTACTACCCAAATAGGACATGTATTATGAAAGGCTAGAGAGTAAAGCACTCTGTACTTTGACAGTCCACCCCTTAATTATCAGTATAACTAGCTTAAGTAACCGTTGAGTGCAGTTTTGAAGGAATAATGCTGTAAAAAAAAAAAAATGCTATAAAAAACATAACATGTGGGCCTCCCCTGGTGGTGCAGGTGGTTGAGCGCCGCGCTGTGAAGCTGTCCACAGCCTCTGCAGTGCCGGTTCCATCCCGGCCAGCTGGCGAGGGTCCCACATGGTGCGGCACACCTCTCCCGTCGTGCCCACTGCTCCCCTCAGCAGTGTATAGCAGTGTATTTCATCAGTCTGCTTGTTCTGTTATCTGCTTTATATCTGGTGAATCCTCACACCCTCCCACACATCTGGCCTGTACCCCAGTTCTTGTATGAATAAATAATCTTAAAAAAAAAAAAACACAACAAAACATAGCATGTATTTTGCCTGACAAACAGCTGAGGTGTATTCCTGGAGATATTTGCCAGGGTAGATATCTGCATATGTGGCAGAGTGGAATCAGTGACCTTGATTTAGAAGCGTACATCAAATCTAAGTCATTATATATTTAATGCAATGTTGACATAAGCTCTCTATTGGGACATTAGAAAAAGCCTTCTCCTAGATTAGTGGCTCTCAACTTGTTAAGATTTGTCCCCCAAGGCACCATGTGGCACCCCCTGGAGACATTTTCAGTTGTCGTAACTCAGGAAGAGCTACTGGTCAGGGATTCTGGTAAACATACTTCACAGTGCAGGGCAACTCCCAACAAAGAATTCAGCTCCAAATGTCAATACTGCTAATGCTGCGAAACTGTTCTAAAAGCAGAATATACTAGTGGTGTTCTTCAGAACCAGATTTCAATAAGGCTGGGAGAATGCAGATGCTGAAAAACTAGCTAAAAGAGCAATATTTCCTGTTGCTGTTTAAAATCGTAATCACTATTCCCTCCTTTTTGGCCATTCTACTTTGCCAATGTCCCTTATATCCAATGTCTGGCTTCCACATTCTCCCTAAATTAACTCTCCAGTTAGCTTTTTGCCAAGTAACTTTAGAATCATATCCCATTCTTTAAAACTGCCATTCTAGGCTCTCAAGCTTGAAAAGGGGGAAACAATGCTGAGGAGAGAGAAGGTAGGGTTTCTGAAGAAAAACTAGAAAACACAGGCAACCATCACCTCTCTCAACCACAACTTATCTTTTCTCTCTTCTCCGCATTTTGACAATGTTGAAGGATAAATTTTATCTGGAGAATGTGAGCAGACAAGTATTAAGAGGTAAGAGATCCCCCACTCTTGCCTGATAGCAAGAGAAAGGAAGGAGACTGAAGTGAGGAAACTACAGAAACGGCCTGAATTCATGCACCGTAACAGAATACTGAACTCTGAAGAGAACCTGGATGGGAACATGGAGAAGCAGATTAAAACACCTTAGTTAGGAATAAAATTTTGGAAATTCACTAAATTTTCTCACATACTCTCAAGAAAACTTAGTAGCTCCCAAAGTTAAAAAAAAAAAACAAAACTAAAATGTAGCTATGTGTAAGTTTTACAATGTAAATTAAAGATATACATATAGACACCACTGGTTTACAATGTAAATGAAAGTTACACATTGCCACTTCATGTTCCCTCGGCTAGTATAAAGGAGACGATCCATAGGAAAAGATCTTAATACACTAAGTAATTCTTCCCCTATAAGGCAACAGTAGTTTTATATGATACAATGTACTACATCTTATGTCCTTATTAGAATTAGATATACTATAAACAGAAAACAAAACCCTGTAAAGAGAATGTAAAGAACAAAAACAAGATAAAAAAGTAAAGGGTGTTGCTTCTACAGGCTTATAGCAGAAATAACCATTACTTCTGAAACAAATGGCACTCATCTTTAGAATAACAAATCCATTCACTTCAGTTTTTTTTTTTTCTATAGTTAAGACAAAAACTGGGGACAGTTTAAAAGGGCCTAACCTAAGTAGTTTTCTAAATGGGGTTAAAGTGGATCTTTGACTAAGATTAGAGATGATCAAGACACTTTCTTAAAAGAAAAAAACAAAACCAATACGTTGAACACCTACGATAGGCATATCCTGCAATCGCTGAAAAGTTTCAGAAATATTCTTAGAGATTATAAATTCGATTTAGCACGGGAACAGAACCCACAAAATACACACACACACACAAATATATGTATACACACACACATATACATGTTACTTCCTATTTAGAACTTCCCTTTCTTTGTCTATAGATGAACTTCCTTGGTTTAGTCTCCTGTCTTTTGGGATCCTGGATACTCGAGTCTCAACAGAGATGGAATTTTAAAATTGTCCTATATGAGATGACATCTGCTACCCTTTGATCATACCTCCTACAACTCTGACAACACCAGCCTCCTTGCTGTTCTATGACCATGACAAGAATCTCTAACCTTAAGGCTTTTGCACTTCTGGTTCCCTCTGCTTGGACCACTGCTTTCCTCCCACAAAGTCTTCTAGTTTGCTCCCTTACCAGCAGGTCTTTGATCACTCATGCCATCTCAACGAGGCCTTCCCTTATTCAATCAATACAAAACATCAACTCACAGCAATCCCTATCCTCTTAAGTTTTATTTTTCTCCACAGCACTTATCAAAGAGGAAATAATAACTGCCCTTCCACTACTACTCACCAGAGTAAACAATGTTTGATTAACTCCTCTTTTTTCTTTATTTATTAAGGGTTCTGTATTTGTTCTGTATTTGTTCTTACATGGTTGACCTCTTCAAAAAAGTGGTAAGATATTGAGTCATTCCTTACATGTATTACCCATGTAACCCTTACAAAACCCAGATGTTATCATTACTTCTATTATTACCTAGTAAGGTTTGAAAAGGTGATATAAGCAACTCAAGAACACAAAGTGGTAGGGTCCAGCTCTGAAAGAGGGTCCTGCTCATCACTACACCATCAACACATACACCAGGTACCAGCCTTGAAATAAAATTCTGATTCCCAAATCTGGTCTCTTAACCACTTGCAAATAAAATATTAACAAAATATTAACAAAAGAATCATTCTTAGGTTCCTTCAGGTTTTTTTTGTTTTTGTTTTTGTTTTTTATTTATTTGTTTGTTTGTTTGCTTGTTTTTTGTTTATACAAGCACTGGGTACAGTCAGAAGCGAGGGAGGGTGAGAGAATTCACCAGAGCCAGAGCGGGGAGCAGAGCAGGCAGAAGGACCGAAGTACACTGCTGAGGGGAGCAGCCGGCAGGAGAGGTCTGCGCGCCATGTGGGACCCTCCTCCGGTGGCCGGGGAGCAGCTGGGGATCGAACCGGCGCCACAAAGGCTGCGGGCAGCTTCGCAACCCAGTGCTCAACCGCTGCGCCACCCGGGAGGCCCATTTTGTTTGTTTTTTTGGTGGACGTGTGCTTGTAATTGATTTTTGTAATGTAAGGATCTTTTTCTAACTAGCAAAGTATTCTTGGTTTTTATGAGGCAATTCCTCTGGATTTCCTAAGTACAACCATCCAAATGGGCACGGGAACCTCTAGTCTAAATCACTAAGTGCTCTCCAGTTAGCTTTCCAGTCCTCTTTCTTCTACAAGGAAACACGCTTACAGCCAGTTCAAAATCTAACCCTTTGCACTCCGCTGTCCCCTCTCAGGGGACATCGGAATTCTAGCATATCACTCGGATGTCCCCTCTCAGGGGACACTGCAATTTATTAGTCATTACGGGGAATTGAGGTTATTTCAACGCAACTTTTTGAGACATGCATGTTTCCCTGAAGTTTTATCTTGAAATGGCACAAGAAATTAAATCAAAATATCGTAAAATGGTTCGGAGTGCAAAGGGCTAACACCAATAAGCATGTTTACTGGTGACTTCTTGGGTATGGACAAGAAAGAGAATTTTTCCCCCTGCAGCTTGAAAGGCGGCAAATCCACGGATGACCAGTACAGGACCAGAGTTCAGGTTGCCATTCATCAGATCTCTGTCAAGGTTGTGTCCCTTTTCTTCAACAGTCTTTCGAGCGCTCTTTTCAAGCGCAGTCTGGAGTCAGGAGGAGACACTAGGAGTAGTGGGTTCCCATCAGGCCCTAAGAGGCGGCCGCACCGACACAGGTGTACCTCCTTGCCCAGCGGAGCTAACCACCAAACAGTGCTCAGAGCGGAGGGACCTATCCAGGGAATCCGCCAGGCCTCCTCCTGGCAAACGACTAAATAAATAATTGGGGCAGGAGAAAGCAGTGGCTTTCCAGCATTGCCCGCCCACATTCCCATTGTGCACCCTCTTTCAGTGGCTCCCCGAACGCTCCCGGGAGAGAAAGGCTCCCCCTCCCCGCTCTCGAGACCCGAAGATGAAAGAAGCCAAACCACCGCCCCCACCCAGGCGTGGGCTCGACGAACGGGCGAAGGCACTCACCGTCGTTCTCGTCGCTGTGCCGCCGCCGAGACATGCCGCAGGCCGGGGCGCTGCCCCGTGGAGACGCTGAGCAGGAAGCGCGGCAGGAACCGTCGGGCCTCCGGCGGGCGCGGACAGCGGCGAGGCGCGCGGGGCGACCGGCGCACACGCTCGCGGAGGCTCCCGGAAGCGCGCGGCGGCGAAGCTGCCGGGCGTGCTCGGCGGGCTCGGACCAGTAGGCTCACCAGGCCGCCGGGGTGAGGCTCGCACGCAAACGCCCCCTTGGCTTCCTCCGCCTCTCCGCGGCTTCTTCTCCCGCCTTTGGCGCTAAGTCCTTCCGGGGCCGCGCGGGAGGCGCCGCCTCTTCAGCCGGCCTGCGCCCTCTCGCCGCCAGCCACGCCGGGAGGCGGGTGGGCCAGGACGGACGCTCTAGCCTCCGCCTCAGGTGCCGACTCCCTCTGCGGGGGGGGGGGGGGGGGGGGCGAATCTCAATGGTTTTCCCGGCGGCCCTTTCGCTAACGGCCGCGACGACTTCCGGGGCGAGGTGACGTCCCGCGCCTTCCTTTCTACGTCAACCCGCGGCGGGGGCCGGACGTTCCCGAGCAGTGACAATTGCTAGTCAGAGACGGTTCAGTGAGGATCTGTGAGAGGAGCAGGCTGGTGGGTACGTGCTCGTCGTCTTCCAGCTCCCGGGTCTTTGCCTCCTCGGGAAAGCTGGGCAAAGGCTTCGGGCCGCGCCAGGTGCGGGAGTGATGCCCGGGTGAGAGCGTAGCCGCCCCGGCCGCCCGGGGGCTGAAAGACCCGCCATAGCGTGAATCTGCTGCTTCCGATTTACCCTCTGGCTGTCATCTTTCCTCTCTCTCCCCTCTGAGTTGTTTAGGAAGTAGCTGGTAATTGTTTTAGGAATGTTTTCAGTGATTCGGGGGTACCCTGCTCTGACGTCTCTGAAGCGCACCACACCTGCTTTCTGACTCCCCGGTCCATGACTTCGGAAATTTCACACGTCTCAAATGGGACTCTTGTTTCGGTCTCCTGGCATAACCTATTCCTCCTTTAGTCAGGCCCTTTTCAGGAAGTGGCACCATCCATCTGACCGCTAAGTCCAAAAATGTAGGTAGGAATCATTTTCCTTCATTTCCTACATAATGTACCTGTATATCCGCTAGCTGTGTTTTTAAAAACAAATCCAGAATCAGACTGCACGCACTCCTTTGTTTATAGTTCGCCAATGACTTTCCATTGCAAACTCCACGCCTGGTCTCAGGGTTTACCCTCTCATTGCTGTACTCCAGCAATTCTTCCTGTTCCTCCAGTAAATCAGGCTTCTTCCCCTTTGTATTATTCTCATTATATTTATACTTTCCTTTGCCTTAAGGTCTCTGTTTCTGAATCTGCATGGTTGGCTCCTTGTCATTTCGGTTTCAGCTCAAACATCATGTCCTTAGGGAAACCTTCCCTGGCTACCCAATCACTGTTTTCACTGCATTCAAGAAAATTGTGTTTATAACATTTAGTACCTCTTATGTGTCAGTCAGTAGTTCACATGTTGAGGATCCAAGGGGAACAAAGGAAAACTCTTGCTTTCTTAATGCTCATGACTCCTTCCAGAATGGGCAAACATAGTGCAAACAGAGGTAGTGAACAAAAGGAGAGGCGTAGAAGATGAGATCAGTTTTTTAACTGTGGGTCAGGAATTTGGATAGGGCACAGTGGAGACAAATTATTTCTGCTCTTTGACATGAGGGGAGCGACACTGGCTCAAAGGCTGGGGACTTGGAACCATCTGAAGGGCCAGGTGGTTGATGATGCCTGTCAGCTGGAGGCCTCAGTTCTTGTGCATGTGGTTCTCTGTATGTGGTCTCTCTGTATGGGTTGGTTTGGTTTACTCCTCTGAGTGAGCATCCCAAAATGAGAGAGCCTTTTTAGGACTAGTCTTGGAAGTCATGTTGCATTGCTTCTGCCATTTATTGGTTGAGGCAGTTATAAGTCTGCCAGAAGAGAAGAAAGAGACCAGAAATACTGCTTTGGCAATTTGGGGGAAATGCTCTCTGCTGCAGCTATTTTTAATGTTAAATTTAAAATACAACATAAGTTGGAAAATTAATGTTACCATTTATTAATTCCTAGTATGTGCTAAACACCTTACATATTCCTTACCAATTTTCATTATTGCCCTGAAAGATAGATACTGCCAACCCTGTTTTACAAACTAGGGAATTAAAACCAGAGAAATTAAATATCTTGCCCAAATTCACATACTTGTACCCTGCTGCATTATAATCCAAACCTTACTTTTCCCAGTGTTGCTTGTTACTTCTTTGTCACTTGTGACATTTGCTTTATAAAAGAAAGAGTATATTGTTTTAATGTTTCCATTTTGACAAGATTTGGCCACAGTAGCAATTTTTTCTATATCATCTGGCTCATTAAAATGGGGCTGTCTTGGTAGTTATTCCTTGTAAGGAAGGAAACTTGCACAGTTTTAAAATAAGGGGGCTGAACGAACAAGGTGTTTATAACTGAAAAAACTAGAACACAGCTAAGTTGATTTTGTTTGTACTGGTGCTTTTCTGGTATCATTTATCCTAAATGTTTGTATATCTTACCTCCTACTTCAGTTTTCTGCTCAAATGCTACTACCTCAGAAAGACTTTATCTACCCTCCATGGGTTAAAGAGCCCCTCCATCACTCTATCTCTGTTTACTTGTCTTCCCCAGTTTATTTGTCTTCATAGTACTTCTACCATTTGATTTTTGTTTTAGTCATGTGTTTACCTTCAGTCTCTCCCCACTGAAATGTAAACTCTAAGAAAACAGAGGCTTTTTCTGTTTCATTCTCAGCTATATCCCTAGTGTCTAGACAGGGCCTGGAATACAGTAGGTACTAAATAATTAGCTTGCTGAGAGGATGAGTGAATGAATGGATAGCCTAGGTTACTGGACTCTTGCTCATCTGCATAGTTGATTAGCTTCGAGTTTATTTCAAGTAGTAGTCAAGAACTTTCACTGTTGTTTCTCTCTTGATTACTTCTCAGGAGACAAATTGTAAGGGATCTGCCCATTACTGCACCAAACCAGATGCCTTCTTCTACTTCACCAGACCAAGGAGATGACCTGGAGGCCTGTATTTTAAGATTTGCAGATCTGGATTTAAAAGACAAAACTCTTATCAAGCCTATTAGCAGCCTCAAAGCAGAGTTAGATGTCATTTCAAAGAAGAAATACACATTTGCAAAGAAAAAGGTAAAATTGCTGGTGATGTTTCAGGATTATGTATGTATAGTTTATTCAGATACATCTAGAAGTAGCTTATCAAGGTTTTCTCCAGGTAGACACTAGACTACAGCCATGCTTAAGGTAAGGTCTAGTCAGGACCATAATCAGTGATCGCTATTCAGTGCCAAAGAAGAATCATAGGCAAGGTGTGGCTCTGGAACATTTATGGAGTACTTGAATACAGATAGATGAACACAACACCCGTTGTGAGATGATAGTCTTGTTAATAACATGAATCTAATCATAAGGAAACATGAAGGAAAATCAAACGGAGGGACAGCCTACAAAATAACTCATTTGAAATTTAAGAAAAGTCACAGTGATCATTTTATGGGAAAAAAATGAGAAAGTATCTTAGATTGAAGAAGATTCATGAGACATAACTAAATGTAATGGGATCTTTTGGTAGATCTATAAATGCCATTTGGGACAATTAATAAAACATGAATGAAACCTCTGGGGAAAAGGATCCTCTGTATAATTCTGGCAACTTTTCTATATATTTGAAATTATTGAAAAATAATTTTAAAAAAACCACCTTTCTGTGCCCATTATGAGATGAGAGTAGAGGGGTAGTAGATAGGAAGACCTTGATACTGGCCTTAAACTTAAGACTATTTAACAGGAACATATTTGAAATGTAATTGCAGGCATTTGCCCTTTTTGTCAAGACCAAAGAAATTCCAGCACCTCCTTTTGAATGTAAAGAGAAACGGTGGGAATGCTGTCAGCAACTATTCACAGACCAGACGGGCATCCACAGACATGTGGCAACACAGCATGCTGATGAGATTTGCCACCAGACTGCTTCTATTTTAAAGCAGCTGGCTGTGACACTGAACACCTCCAACAATCTTAAGTCTGCAGAGGAAAGAGACCCTCTAAAAGATCACCTTACTGGTTACCATGAAGTGTCTGCCTGGCTCCCTGATATAAGCTGCTTTACCCCTGATGACCTGAAATGGTAAGAATTTTCTTCTATATTTTTGGTTTAATTTCGAAATTTTTTCCAGCCACTCTGAGATACAACTACCCATCCACTAAAGTTATTGGGATATCAGAATTATATAATGATGGTAAGAGTACTTGTGAACTATAAATTACTATACAAATGTAGTCTTTTCATTTCTGTGACCCTGCACTTCAAGGAATTGGCTTTCTAGTTAGAGAAACAAAAGTATATAAGAAACAATTAGAAGATGATATAACACAGGCTCTATAATTATCAATTAAATCGCATGGTACAAATAACTTGTTAGAGAAGTTTAGAGAAAGGAAGATAAATAGGCTCCAAAATAGACAAGAAGATTTTGGAGAGACTAGATCCTAAAATATAAGGGAATTGATGAGAGAGTCAGATTCTAGAGCTGACTGGGATATCAGTTATTATCTACAAGAATATTCTCTAAAATATGTTCTGTGCAGCACTACTTCTGGAGGATGCTAAAGGGTATTGAAAGGAGGCAGGAAAGACAACATTTGGGATGCCTCAGGTTAAAAGGTCCTTTATTGCAGGACTTCTCAGAGCCTTTAATAGATAAGGGACTTTCACCATGATTCTCAAAAGAGGGAGATATTATGTGCAGGATTTCTCAAACATGTAATTTCATAAAACAGCTTAGAGCACATTTTGGGAAATATAGTTTATCTTATTTCTCCAATTTTACAAATGAGAAAATCAAGGCTCAGCGATGATATAAAAACCTTAGCTAATGTAAGACAACATAGTGTAGTAGTAAGAGTATGGGTTTTAATATCAGAGATTGGTGTTCAAGTCCTGACTCACTTTGTAGTTTTCTCTCCTGGGAAGAATTGGCCTCAGTGTATTAATGTTAAGTGGGAATAATAATAAACTGTTTCATGGGTAAGAGGATCCTAAAGAAATAGAAGTGAAACCTTTTTGTACAATGAGAGATTAAAAAGAGTTGCTCTCTGTGTGGAGATTTCTGGACCTACTAAACATAGAGCTTCCATATGATCCAGCAGTTCCACTCCTAGGTATTTACCCAAAGGACACAGAAACATCAATTCCAAAGAACACCTGCACCCCTATGTTTATAGCAGCACTGTTTACAATAGCTAAGCTTTGGAAACAGCCCAAATGCCCAAAAATAGATGACTGGATCAAGAAGATGTGGTACATATATACCATGGAATATTACTCAGCATTCAAAAAAGAAAAACACATGCAATTTGCAGCAACATGGATGGCGCTGGAAGGGATCATGCTCAGCGAAATAAGCCAGAAAGAAAAAGAAAAATACTGGATGGTCTCACTCTTAGCAGGAATCTAGAAAACTTAAATAAGGGACCAGGAAAATGAATAACTATAAGAAAGTGAAAATCAAAATCAACAAAAAACTATGAACCAGAGACACTTTTTGGGGGGGTGGGTAGCGGGAGGGGAGGGATTGGGGTCAGAATGGGGGGTTTGCAATTTTATATGGGGAATATAAAAATAAAATTTATTATTAAAAAAAAAAGAGTTGCTCTCTTGTCTTAGGGAATAAACCAGAATGAACTCAAATTTCTAGTTCTCCAGTGAAATGAGGTTATTAATACCTATCTCATGGATATGATAATTAAATGAAATCAGAGCAAACTCACTGTAAAGTAGAAAGTTAAGTGTGGATTCAGACTGAAACTAGGATGACAATAGTAGGATCCATGGCAGGCAAGAGTTCTCCATCTCAGCCTTCCCTCTGATACTGACTGCCTGGATATACTTTATGAATTGTGGTTTCTTTCTCCCTGTTTCTGAAATGTGCTTTTCCTGTGGTTTTCTTCTTACAGTGATCAGGGCAGTGATGAAGGAGAGGTACTACTTTATTACTGCTACTGTGACTTGGAGGATCCCCATTGGATCTGTGCCTGGCAGACAGCTCTGTGTCAGCACCTGCACCTCACAGGCAAAGTAACACCATTCCCCAGTGCATTTAAAGTAAAACCCAAATTCTTAACATGCTCTTAGATTCCTGTATGACTGGCCCCTTTCTACATTTTCTGCTTATGTGGTATCATTCTTTACCAGTCACACCCAGCAACATGGTCTTTGAATTTCTTGGAGCCCACAAGAGTTTTTTTGGTATCTTTGGGTGTTTTTACATGCGACTTCTTTTTGAGAAATTCCCCATGCCCACTCAGTTTTTCCTGTTTAATTTTCATTCTATCTTCAGTTCTCAGTTTTAATGATGTTTCCTAAGAGTTATCTTTCCAGACCTTCAACCTAAACTTAATTTTCTTAATACATTCCCATAGACTCTTGTAGTTATTTTTCATAGCACTTGCCAGTAACTTTTATCTTAATATCTATGACACCCCTCTTTTCTTAGTCTGTAAGCTCCCAGATGACAAGAACTCTTTTTTTAAACTGCTATATCCCTAATTCCTAGCACAATTCCTGTTACATAGTGAAAAAATTGGACATTTTTGGAATGAATACATTTATCATCTCTATTTAGGGAACACCTTGAAAGATGGATATTCTCACAGTAAACTTTAATGTACAAAATATGAAATCAGTCTCTTTCCCTGTTTTTGGGACAGATTTTATTCTTGCCTCAGCCCTAGAGGTAAGCTAGGAGTGAGGGTGCCTGTTCACAAGAGGGCAAGCGCCTGCATGGGTCTTAGCTCTGAATTCTTAGGTTTCAGTCATACATGTCCAATTTACTGAGATTATTCACTGCTGGCGGGAGATTTGGCGGAATATTGGCATTTAGGTAGGGAAAGGGGAGAGTTTGAAAATTCTGGAATTATGGAAAGAAATTTCTGATCCCTATTACTATATATTCTTTGTTGTCTCAAATTTGAGGGAATGCAGTGGAGGCTCTGGAAATGAAAAATTACAAAATATGGAGGCAGTAAGATCTCCCAGCAAGTGCCCAATAAATGTCAACTCTTAGTTCTTAGCTCTGAGAAATAAGGCTTTCCTCACCAAAGAATTAGTCTAAAGGTTTCTCTTGAAGAAGTCTAGAGATTGAAAGTCTAGTACATGATTTTAGAGATTGCACTACCTCTGTTGTATAGGGAGTCGATGTGCTCATCTTTTATCTGGGTTTTGAGACTAAACTAACATAAAGAACCTACAAGCTTACCCAAAAGACAGGTACATGAAGCAGGTACCTCTCATTTATTTGCCATGCTTAGAAATAGCTTTATAGTAGATTTCCTGACCTTTATCCTGGTTTGGTTCTATTTTCTTTAAAAAAATGTAAGATGTAGTGGCTACCAGTACAGCAGAGCTAGCATATTCATCCTACCTTCCTCTCCCAAGCCCAGAACAGGCTTCACTAGATGCAGCATTCTTAAGATATCCAGATGTAATCCACATGTAATTCCTCATCATGGAATTCTGGATAGTGACTATGAGTTGGCATTGGTTGGTGAAATGAATCTTGTTTAGATCCATGCTCTAAAAAATTGAATCAAATGAGACAAAAAATGAATTGTCGTCTCTGGGTCCTGAAAAAGGGCAGCCTTTTAGATTTTTCAAATTCTAGTGCACTGGTAGATGTCATTGATACAGGACCTTGTTTAAATTACCTCTCTTTGCAGAAAGTACCACAGTACCAAGCAGTGTTGCACTTTCTCCTTAGCACTTTTCTCTAGAGTGCTTAGTTCCTTTTAAAGATAAGGCGTATTTAAACTCATCCAGAGAATTCTGTAGTACTAAAACAACTTAATTTGCATAGCCCCGGAGCATTGCCTCTTAAGGCAGGGGTCTTAACTGAGACTCTGATGGCCCCTAACCAGTGAAGCCTTCAAAAAAGAATACAAGGTTTGAACAGATATGAATACACATTCATTTGTTCTGCAAATATGTACTGAATACCTACTATGTGCTAGGCACTGTTCTAGGCAGCAGTTATGCAACAGTGAACAAAACAGACACACATCCCACCTGGAACTTGCATTCCAGTGGGTGGTTTTAATGGTGTACTTCTGCATGCTATTCAGAGTGTGCTCTGTGAGCAAAAGAATTACTATTGATTCTTTTTTATCCCCCGAAGAAATTGAGGTTCAAAGAAGTACATTAATTTTCTCAGTGCCATATGGCAATAAGTGGCAAAGCTGAAACTTGACCCTAGATCTGCTGACTTGAAGTTCAAAATTCATTTCTTTGGCGATTGGACAACTGGAATTCTACAGCAAATGAACCTCCTTCCAGAGGGCTCATTCATTCCATTCTCCAGCACACTAGGTCTCAACTGTAGGCCATACCATTTTAAGAAATTACAAGTATGTTTGTATGGTGACACGTTGGTGTCCCAAACAGTGTCTCTGCTTTTCCTGTTAAACTCACTGATACACATGAGTCCATTCTGCCTTGGGAAGATTTAAACTCAGCACAAGTTGCATTCCCTTTATCTCATCATCTTGTGTCCCAGGTTCGAATTGCTACAGAGGGAATCAACGGGACAGTTGGTGGAAGCAAATTGGCCACCAGACTCTATGTGGAAGTCATGCTCTCCTGCCCATTGTTTAAGGATTATCTGTGCAAGGATGATTTTAAGGTAAGCGAATTGAAAATAAAATGGACTTAGAGCTTTCTGCTTCTGCTTCTGTACCTCTTAGGCCTCTGGGCTTTGAAGAAGAGCTCAGTAGAGAAATAAGTAGTGCCAGTTGGGTTACAAGTCCCCATAAGGTTACAAGGCTGTGCAACAGGAACGTGCTTGTTTCAGTCACCATGTGATCATGGGCAAGTTAGCGCACTCTCTGGACCTCAGTCTCCTTTTTAATAGAATAAGGGTATTACAGCTTATATGGCCTAACCTCCACAACTTCAATGTCATTGCTCCTTTGAGAGAGCCATTTTGGGGGATCACTATGTTTGTAGTAAGTGCAGAATGAGAAGTCAGCACTTGATACCGCATGAGTGAATAAAGCTGTTACTCTCCCATCTGAATTGCTTTGAGTGCTTTCTCATAGGTGGTAAAGGTGGTGGGAAAGGTCTTGCCAGTGTCATTGCTGGTAATGAGAGGAAAAGAAAGATCGTGGCTGCAGAATGAAAGCTGGGATAGGATCTCCCCTCTTGAAATTGCTCAGTGGTGTCAGTTTTATAGTTAGTGCTTATAGCTACAGAAATACCTTTCCAAGTTAACATTTCTGTACACGATAGGCACACACTTAAAGTATTTATTAATATTGAATTATCTGCAATATTCTGAATAATCCCTTTTCATATCAAAGCACACTTTTCCTAATTTGACATGTCTCAAGACTTCAGCATTTTACAAAAGAGATATAATTCGTACATTTGACACTTGTCTTATACCTGCAGATGGGAGAGAAAGACTAATTGTTTTGTTTCTTATTGGCTAGACCAGCAAAGGAGGAGCTTGCTGTTTTCCAGAATTGCGCGTTGGTGTATTTGAAGAAATTGTGCCCATGGGAATCAGTCCCAATCAGATCTCCTATAAGAAGCCTGGTATGCTTGCTTTAGAATAAAAATTTTGCTTTTCCTCATAGGACAGAGCTTAGTATAGAGACAGACATGAAGGTTAGACTTCTGATTAGCAAGAGTTATGATGAATTCTCATTCTGCAATAGCTGTGAGGTGGCTAACACTTGGGTCCATTCACTGCTTAAATTGGTTCTTTGGTGCTATTGAAGATAAAGAGTCTTCCCATAGCAGGACCTGTTTTAACAACTCTTGGCAGGGAATTTCTTTCCAAAGATAGCAGTTTGGGAATTATTACTTGCAAATAGATAGCGGTGTAATTATTACTTGTAAATGGCTCATTGAATAAAAATACAGGTTTTTGCTACTAGAAGCAAGTGGCTTTCAACACCAAAGCAATTAGTATGAAAATAATCTAGAATGTTCTCTTCTCTGTCTTCTCTATGGTTAACATAGATGGTTAAAAATCATCTTGTTTGGTGAGGGTTTCTGTTTTAATTTCTTATTATGAAAACTTTCAAATATTAGAAAAAAGAAATTAGGTTTTGTTTTTCTTTTGTTGTACCAATTTTTTTTTTATGTGTTTTTAGGAATTCATTTATCCCCAGGTGAATTTCATAAAGAAGTAGAAAAGTTTTTGTCTCAGCTAAATCAAGAACACAGTGATACTATTCTACTGGATTGCAGAAACTTCTATGAAAGCAAAATAGTAAGAACCAGAATTAGGTTCACTGAGGTAGTAGTTCTCCCCTTTCCACAGCCTGGCATGTTTCCTGGGGGGGGCATTGTTTCTACCTGTGGCCAAATCACGTGGATATCCTCCCAATGCTTGCAGTTTCAGAGAAAACCCAGGGCTTTGAGCTCAGAGAAAGTCTAAGAAAGTACAAATTAAAAACATCTTGGCACATACTGTACTTTTGGGCGCCCATGCACCTATTTTGACATGCGTTAAGGATCTTATAAATTTGCTTTGGGCACCCTGTCCAATTCCCCTGAGGATTCTGGGAAGGTGACCCATAATCTGCCAAACTTGTTTCTTAGTGCCAGATCTTAAATTTAAAAATTCAGAGTATGGAAAGTCATACTTGCCAAGGTGGGGTTTTTTTGACATAGAAAGAACCCTTGTTCCTATCCAGTATATTTTTCTGATAGTTTTCCTCCTGCTCCTATATTGTAGGGACGATTCCAGGGCTGCTTAGCCCCAGACATCAGGAAATTCAGTTACTTTCCTAACTACGTTGACAAAAATCTAGAACTTTTCAGAGAGAAGAGGGTACTGATGTATTGCACTGGGGGCATCCGTTGTGAGCGGGGTTCAGCCTACCTCAAAGCCAAGGTAAGTCACCTCTGCTAGGGGCATGGAGGCAGGCATGGAGGTTAAGAGGCTGTACTAGGACCTCCCTGGTGGCGCAAGGGGTTAAGCATGGCACTATGAAGCTAGTTGCAACCTCTGCAGCATGAGTTTGATCCCCGGCCGGCCAGGGAGAAACCCACATGGCGAAGCAGACCTCTCCTGCCTCGCCCGCTGCTCCCCTCAGCAGTGTATTTCAGTCAGTCTGCCTGTTCTGTTCCCTGCTCTGTCTCTGGTGAATCCTCTCACCACCCTCCCCACCCCGCATCTCTGGCCTGTACCCCAGCTCTTGTATGCATAAATAAATCTAATTTAAAAAAAAAAAAGAGAGAGAGGCTGTACTAACAGCCTGTACTAACAGCATGTGTGGAATCCCCACCCCCTTCACTGCCTCTCCCACCTCAGCCAGTCAGGAATTTCTTTCCCCTTGGATGGTTCCATCATAGAATTTATAAGTACAAGATCATATGTTTTTAAATCTCAAAATGTGAGAAGCACTTAATTGTCTTAGAAACTCATCAAGTACAAAGGGGAAAGATTATTAACATCTCCCTTTCCCTAATCCTTTTGTTGATCCTGAGAAGAGTAAATTCAGTAACATTACATGTCCCAACAGCAGGTGTCTTCCTATATTTAGTGGGCAGCAAAAATAGTTGGGCTTCCTAGGAGCTAGAGAGTGAAGGCCCTGACTCCTGTCAGCACCCATGCCCTTAGTAGGTAAGAGCTGGCCAGTTGGTTCCTTGACCCCTTGGTCAGCAGTTCCTCAGTGTCCCACAGAGGGAGCTGGAGCCCCTCTTCTACATTCCTCACCACACCACACTCCTCCATGAAGTTTCTTACTGGCCTCTGATTGTCGCCTCACATTTCCTGTTTTTCTACACACAGGGAGTGTGCAAGGAAGTGTTCCAGCTCAAGGGTGGCATCCACAAGTACCTGGAAGAGTTTCCTGATGGTTTTTACAAAGGGAAGTTGTTTGTTTTTGATGATCGTTATGCCTTGTCCTTCAACAGTGATGTACTGTCGGGTAAGCCAGCACAGGCCCACAATCTAAATTCGCAAATCAGGCACAGTCTCTGTATAACCCATTCTGGAAGCCAGGTCAATACTTATTACTTGAAGAAAAACCAGGGAAAAGGAGCACAGAGAACCAGCATTTTCCAACAGAGTAGAGGGACAGCAGTGGGGCAGACAGACATTGCACCAGCAGTTGGGAGATTCTACTGGGCTCTTGGCTTCACTGTTTACTACTGGGCAAGTCATTCAAAATGGGGTATCTGCCTGTAGGAGTAGACTATCTACGAACTATCAGGGGTTCTGGGAATTGGGATGAGAAAATAATCCTACCTTTATTTTCATAACCCCATAGAATGCAGCTCTTCCTTTAATAATTAATGTAAGCAACAAATCAGACTATTAGATGTATCTACAATTAGCATTTAGTTCATCATTGCCTCAAGGAAGTAGTTATTAGGGCCACTGCTAAGTCTTGTTATTTAATAACTATTTGACTATGTTCCAGATTTTTAAAACATTTTGATATTTTATATTTCCATATAATTGTTATCGTTCATCTTTCACACATTTAAAAAACATTTTTCTAAGAAGGCTCAGTAGTGTTCACCAGACTACCAAGTAAATTGATGCACAAAAAAATAAGTTTGGATGGTCTGTGGACATGTGAGGTACACATTTGAGTGGCAGGTGTGCATTCAAGCTGGGTGCCGAACCTAGGGCCAAGGCCAGACGCAGGGTGACCACAGGGAGCCTGTGGTGTAATAGAATGTTGAGTCCACAGTGACATTTTGTACCAGATGAGGGCAGTCAGTAAAACAGGATGGAAGTAATCTTACTGAAAAATGGCCATTGTCCTGGATGGTACAGTTGGAACCAGAAAGATCACAGGGAGACAACTCCAGTGGTTGTTGCCACTGGAATACTCAATCAAGGACTGAGATTGAATTACCACTTGTAAGATTTGAATCTATCTTCTCCCCCTTTTTTTCAGTTCCCTTAACCTTTAAAGGTCTTGTGTATGCATTTCTTATTAAAGGCTACTTCAAGTCTTTTTTTGAGCTAGATGGAGTATAAATTACAAATAAGCAGAAAGAGTGGATTTGAGAAATTTTACTGAGGAAGTAAAATGATGGGTTCCTGCAGTGAGTGTGACAGGGAGGGAGAAGTACTAAAGGTAGCTTAGCTGAACTAGGTCAGGAGACTTGGGTGTTATCTCCAATGACTCTAGGAAGTCAGCAGGGGAAAAGCAGGCTAAGACAGTAGACACTCTGAGTTTTGGAAGCAGTCAGGTGTATCCTAGCTAGGCAGCAAGAGAAATCCAGACCTGGGGAAGGTGAATGTGGATGTAGGATCATCTGTATCCAGATATGTTGTCTCCCACTGAAAAAGTGAATGACCTAGAAGTGAAAGACCATTGAACAAGAGGTGGTTGGCTAGCTTGGGAATAATGAAAGAACAACATTGTTACCTATGTTACCTTGTCCCAAAAAGTTGCATAGGGGGAGCACTTTTTGTTAGAAGACAACAGTCTTAGTGTTTAGAAATCTTCCCCAGGCCCTACAGGATCTATTAGGTTCTGAAGAACTAATGGTTATATTTAGGGACTGCCCATGTGTGCCCATTTGTATGAGTGCACATGTGCGTGTATGTATTTATAATGAGGGCTCTCTTTCTTCCCCAGAATGTTCATACTGTAGAGCCCCATGGGACCAGTATAAACTCTGCTCTACTCCCCAGTGCCGCCAGCTCGTCTTGAGCTGCGCTGCCTGCCAAGAACAAGGATTCACGGCCTGTTGTGTCACATGTCAAGATAAAGGGCACAGGCCAACCTCAGGCTTTAAAGAGGAATGTGAGTGTACAGCCCGACGACCACGCATTCCCAGTGAACTTTCGCAGCAGACACGACACCCTGTGAGTTCAGAGGGTGGACCTTGCTTACATGAGAAGCACCATCAGCATTTGCCCACACTCTCACAAAACTAGGTTTGGGGTGTCTGTGCACAAGAGAATATCATTTCTGCAGCAACTGAGGAATGGGACGCTTTAGTGCTAGCTAAGGCCAGTGTGGCAGACTCTTCACAAGGTTGACTCCCTGTCTTCACAGGAGGAGAGAGTGGGGTGAATGTTGACCACTTACCTGAGTCATTCTGACTCAAGATGCCAGAGCACAGAAAACGTGAGCTGTGCGGGATCTTGAAGCCAGTGAGGGAGAGAGCCTGATGCCGGGTCGCACTTGTCTGTGCCATGCAGCGGGACTGGTGGTAGACATTTTCTTGCCAGCAAACCTGTCTGTCCTGGTGGATAGCTGTGTGAATAAAGTGTGAAAACTGTGGGCCTGGAAGTGGTCTCCTCTGAACCATGCCACTTATGTCATCTGCCATCTACCCCTGCCCTCAACTCTTCTCTGCCAGCTTGCAGGTACAAGACCAGGATCTGCCAACTATAGCATCTGGCCTGCCTCCTGCTTTCATAAATAAAGTTTTATTGCAGTAGCCACACACATTTACATATGCTCTATGGCAGGACTGAGTAATTGCAACAGAGCCTTATGGCCTGCAAAGACTAAGATAGTTACTTCTTTTACAGAAAAAATGTCACCCCTGGTCTACACCAATAGCCCATCTGATGCAGTACGTGGTCTTAAGATGTGGTCAACCTAATTTTTTAGTGACTTGGTTTTCGTGAGAGATGTTCCTGTAATAACCAATACCCACACTCTTAGCTTTGAAGTATTCTCCTTGAGAGATTCAAATAGCTTGATGACACCAATGTGTCAGCAGTAGTTGTTGTAGATAAGCGCCTTGGAACACAAGACATACTCTGAATGAGATTACTCGGCACTGCCATGGTGGTGTCACACCAAGCACATGTCCATGTTACACAGGTCCCAAGAAACATACACAGCCATCCATAGACCAACAGATTTAATATTCGATTGCCATTTCCAGTGATGCAGAATACAGCTGCAGTTGTGTTTCAAGGAGAAGCCAAGTGGAGATGTCCGTCCCTGCAGCCTGGTCCACTTTCAGGCCCATCTGCAGCCTCAGCAGATGCTTTCCCACGGTGGTGACGCGCTGGCTCCACCTCTGCTTACCCTGTACCTTCCACGTCATTACTGTTCAGTGTGCAAGACTTCACTTTGCATCATGAGCCTTTGCTCAGTGCTCTGCAGCTTAGTCCGTGCTCAACAGCTCTCTGGCCTGTCCTTTTTCAGAAGATTTGCTGAATCACTCATGAAAATAACTCCCCAAGCAACAAAAATACTAGCTTGACTGGCACTGTGGTATATTAAAGGCACAAGGGCATAGTGGCTTACCATTATTAATGAATCCCAAGAGATGCACATAATGTCAAAAAAGGGATCCGGCAGAAATACCAAAATTACATTTTCAGAATCATCATCTTGGGATGGTTTGGCCAGGATTTCCTAGTACTTTAATGTCTGAATTTTCTTCATCATTGGCCATCAGTTCAAGGCATGAGATCAGCAGTGACTTTTCTAAAAATAAGTGAGGTGTCAGGTAGCTGGAGTTTGTAAGCATAGCCATAATGGAGTAGAAATTTATTCCTCTAGTGTATTACCTCACAAGCCATTGGCCCACCCTTCAATACAGAAAGGGGTTTTCAAGTATTTGAGCATAGGTTTTCCCATTGTACAGTTGGCATTTGATATGGAAAAAGATTCTGAGTCCAATATAAAGTTCTAAGTCCCAGATGTTTATAAAGAACATTCAGGGAAATGGTTGTTTCCCAGAATTGGTAAAGGATGGTGTCTGAAACTTGAAATTTCACCACTTTCATCACTGACTTTTTCTATATCCCACATATATAAGGACTTTCATTTCCTTATATCCCACAAAAGGACTCTTGTGTTTTTTGATTTCTGGCAGAGCTTTGCGACTTTGTCTTTCTTGAGGGACAAATTGTGTACTTGATTCATTAATCAATTTGGCAACTTTAATCTTGTGAGGTTCGTTAAATTTAAAGGCGGTTTTATAAAGAATGATTATCTGTTTGCTAAGTAGCTAAGATCAAATTTGTAACGAAGTGTTTTATAATGTTTCTAAAGAGTGTGCTGCTTATGTGTTGCACATTTTAAATGCACCTGAAACCACACAGCAAGGCCACTGGAACAGCTGTGGGATTAAGTCACTGCTACTGTAAGATCCTCCAGTAAAATCTGCCGGTTTGGGAACTTCTTAGTTTTTAAATAATAATCAGACTGAACTTCTGTGACTAAAGAAAAACTTCACATTAATCATAGTTTATAAAATTTTCAACTACAACCACTAGTTAAACTAAAACCTAGTGCATAAAGAACTGAACCACAAAACGGCTTTGTGCCGGCATTTTGCCTTCTGGTTTCCACTGCAGAGCACAGATACTCAGTAGAACATGTCCAGTTCAAAGGCGTGGTCGTCACTGCCACACACTAGACGCCACTCCGGCACCTGGGAATGATGGGCCCAGTCAAGTCTGCAAGTCTCCTCTTCCTCACTGAAAAGGAATGGAGAGAAGACGTGAGGCCCTGTGCACCAGGAACCAGCACTGTGGCTCTGAGACCGCACTGTGAGGCTTCTCGCTAACTCCTTGGTTAGCAAATTCTGAAGTGTATTGTCAATAGACAACATTCTGAAGGATAATTTGTCAACATTCACTGGTGAGGGTCTGGTGGTATGGGTTCATTGATAAATTCTAAATTGCTGAGCATACAGGCATAAAACCCACTTTCTCCAACTCCACTGTTTCCCTCTTGTGTACTGAGGCCTGCAGTTGAAGAGGTCTTACTCTGGTTCAGATGTGGGTTAAGTTCAGTGGATCTTCTTAATGAGTCTAGGATCTCAATCTGCTGGAAACATTTCCCCAGCTCTCCCTTGGAGCTCCCTGCCTGTGCCCTGCCAATGTAATCAACAGTTTCCACCCTGAAGCTGACCCTGCAGTACCTGTGTCCCCCCTATGGTTAATCTTGACATTTTCCCAGGGCAAAATAATAGAAGCTCAAACATGTCACATAACAAAGTAGTTAAATGCCAGAAAGAGGGAAGCACTAGCCAGGAATTTTCAGGCTGGAGTCATTAGCATATAGGATGACTGGGGATTTAGGGATGGGAAGGAAAAGGGGGTCCCTTTGTTGTAACAAGGGACAAGGCAGAGTTTTGAAGTGAATTCCAAGAAAACTAAGCAGCAAGCTAAATCAGCCATAAGAGAAAGGTCAAGGAAGTCTGCACAGCCGGTAGGTGGCAGTCGAGAGGGCTGCTGGTGCGGCGAAGACAGGAAGCTATTGCCAGAGGGGAAAAGTGTGTCTATACTTAGATGTCTTCCAGTTTCGAGCTGAGCCAGTAGGCGTGCAGCCACCAGATGGATGCATACGAGCTGCAAGAAGAACCGAATTAGCTTGTGCATGACACAACAATGTAGAGCTACCCAGGAAGATGGGCTAGGGCTGGGAGCTGACCAGGAGGGGCCCACCCGTTCACCAGTCTGGGGTTGAGAGTGTAGCCTGTGAATGTTTCCCTACCCACCCCTCCAACCCTGGTCAAAAGTACACTGAATGCTTATTGGTGGGCAATCTCTTGGAGAAAAAATAGTGTATCCAGCCTGGTTCCTGGAGATTATCAGAATGCCTGGCAACTTAGAGGTAAATGTGGGGAAACAAAACCTAAAGAGCAGAAGTAACCAGAGATTTCACATGAACCAGACTTCTAAGCATCTCCACATTAGCTGTGCCAGTCTGCCCAGCAGGGCGCTCCTCATTACACCCCCTTTATACTGAATATGTCATAGGAGCACCTCCAAGGATTCTGAAATGTCAGTAGTTACCACTCCCATGTTATAGATGAAGGAAATATGGCAGAGAAGGCATGTTACTTGGTCAACGTCCTTAAGCTGACATCAAGACCCGTGTCTCATCTTGAGCTCAGTCCAGTGCCTCCCTCAGGACAACCCGGCCTCATCTATGTTGGGCTTCCATAACCGTATCTCATCTGATGCTCACAAGGAAGATCAGCATCTTTTCCCTAGAGAAGTAAACAGAGCCAAGGCCCCTGGGAGGAACAGGCAAAGCCTGGACTGGAACGTGAGTCACCAGCCATGGCTCAGAGTGGAGAAAGGGATGGATCCCAGGTTTCTTGCCTGCATGACCTCATGGGGCACTGGGGCTGCATCTGAACAGAGTTCCTCTGGCATGGCTTTTACAGGGCCTTTATGAGGATAGGGGAAAGGCACCTACTTACTCAGGTATTATTTTCCCCCATGTTAATGGGGGAAATTGAGGTCAAGAGAGTGAAATAGCTTGCCGCAAGCGACAGTGAATAAATGATGGAGTAGAACCCAGGTCTCCCAATAAACTCTTCTGTTTGATCTGCTTTTCACTTTCATTAAAGCAAGCCCCTCCCCTTTGCTTCTCATTGAAACAGTCAGGGACTCCTTATTGCCAGTGACTCCTCTGGCTTATTGTCGAAGCCAGAGGGATCGCAAGTCATCTGGAGCAACCTCATCTGCTGCTCGGCTCCCTCTCCCACTTCCCACCAAGCTCCAACACCTTTATCAGATCTTTGGGGGAACATTCCATATTCATTTGTATCTTCACCTGCATTTACTGAGTGCTACTGTGTACCAACCACAAAACTTAGAAAGATAATGGCTTAGCAGAGGATCAAGATATACCAACACTAAGTTTGATTAAACATTGCAGGTGCTTGGTAGATCTCTAGCTAGCATGAGAGGTGCAGTGGATGACGTGGTCAGATCTTCCCTGAGTGGGAAGGTGATGTGTCTGCTGCATCTTGAAACAGTAAAGGGGTAGATGGTGGGAAAGCAGAGGGAACACAGGCGTCATAGCCCTTGAAAGGGATGCTTTTGCCTGGGGTCACTAGGAGGCACTCAAGTTCACTGGGCTGGTTAGTACAAACACAAGGCAAGAGATGGTTTGTTGGGATGTCACAAGAGGAGTCCGGCAGCTCCTCACAAAGAGAGGAGGTGGAGGGTGCCAGTTCCAATCTTTGTCCCACTGACAGAGGCTAATTACCTACTGGCACCTAGCCAGTTTGGGGGAGCTTTGCATGAGCTGGTAGGCTGCCCCCAGTAAGCACTATGCAAGTGCCAGCTACCACTACTAAGGGACTTAGGAGCCATGGCAAGGAGCAGAAGTTGGGAGCAGGGACAACTGGGAGGAGTTCTGGGAGGCATTCTAAGCAGGACGGTAGAACAAGCTCTGGGATGAGCCTGCTGGGAAGGAGTTGTGGGAAGGGTATGGGTTTGACTGAGGCGGGGTGGTGGGGATGGCGAGAGGTGGCTGGCAGGGGTGGCAGCATATAGACAGAGGCCCAGATTTCTGGCTTGAGTGGCTGAGAGGAAAATAGTGTCCTTTCCTGACATGGTTTTGGGGAAGGATGATGAAACCAATTTGGTGTACATGTATCTGGGGTGCTACTAGAAAGGTCTTCCTTGAAATACAGTAAAAGAGTGATTTCTCCAGTAGGAAAGATTTTGCTTTACAGGTGTCCCTCCTCCCCACCCCACCCCAACATGTACACTTGGAAGCTGCAATTCAGGCTTCATTATAGCTCTCGCGGCAGGTTGACAGGACCTGGAAGCCTGCTTAGCTCAGCGCTCAGCTATAAATAGTGTGCAGGCTGGGGCATCTGAGGTATCGTTTCGGGGAAAGTAAATGGGGAGCCTTGGTGCTTCCTGACACCCTCGACCCCTGGGGCCCTCTGTCTCCCTCTGAACACTGATAGGTGCCCAGTGCACAAGCGGGTAAGGACCAGGATGCTCAGCACGCCACCCGAGCGCAAAGCCCCAAGTGCACAGAAACCCCAGTCATGGGTCAGGAGCCAGCAAAGGGGCAGGTCAGAGAGAGAAGGAAACTGGAGAGGCCTGCTGCCCTCCCCTCTGTGAGCCTCCACGGGCTGCAGCAGGGACACTGCTAACACCAGAGGGGCCCGGCAGGGGCAGGGGGTTGGCTTCACAGTAAAATACTCAGCTGGAAAACATGGAAACCTCTCTGCTTCATGGTAGCACTGAGGGCAGGGGGAAAATACTGCACTCTAGGGAAAATCACAGTTTCTCTTTTGCAAGAGAAAGCTGATACACTATTAGAGTATTTCTTTTACAAAATTAGCAGATGGGCACAAATTTACTTTTAGAGCTAGAAATCTTACACCCAGTACTCTCTGAATGCTGCATGGATCACTGGGACAGTTGTGCTCTAATCCCTCCTGTGGGAAAGCCCAAGGGTGCAGCTGTGCACGGTTCTCTTGGGTAGCCCAGTTTTCCACCTGCCTTCTTCACCGAACTTTTGAGCTTGACATTGAAGGCCTTTGGTTCCCAGCCTTCCCAGCATCTACCCAGCCCTATTTCTTGTGACCACCACATATGCGTGCTGACCATCCTGCCTTTGCTCATGCTGCTCCCTCTACTTGAAATGCCTTCCTTCTCTGCAAACACCTATTTTTCCTTTTAGGTCGATCTCTCTATAACAGTTCCTCCAACCTTTTCAGATATTTCTGTCTCTCCTGTCCTGCAGACAGGATCCCACTACCTTTGCCTGTACTAGTTTCCCTGCCAGGAATGCCTCTTGACCTCCCCCATCAACCCAGCTCTTCACTTCAAGGCTACTCCCAATCAGGATGCTTTGCTTACTGGCCTCTGTCCTCATTAATCATATGCTCGCTTTGCTTAGTTACAGTCATGTAGGCATTCTTGAATTTTCAGGCATGTTTTTGAATCTTTTCTCCCCTAAAAGGTTGTAAAGGTCCTTGAGGCAAGAAAGTAACCTTTCTGCCACTCTGGATGTCACTGAGCAGTCCTGGGCACACGAACACGATGCTACAAAGTGCTTGCCGCAACTAAGAAGTGGTGGGACTTGACTGAGCCACTACCTGCAAGGGCAGCCCCTCCCTGAAATAGCTTCAGTTTCCTCCAAAGGGAACTGGTGGGCTGAGCTGGAAATCCCTATCAATTCTGGCACTTCGAGGTCCCGCTGCAAAGCAGGAAGTCACTGGGGACAGGAGTTGGACCTGGATTTGGAATCATAGATTCTCAGGACTGGGTGAGTTCTCAAGGGCCATTTCATCCAGTTTCCAGCTGACTCTGGTGTCCTCCCTGAAGTAACCCTGGCCCTCAGCTATCTGGAACCTCTGTCCCCAGAAAAAAGACCTGAAGATCCTCTTGCTGTTATAGAGCAACCCCGATATTAAACGGGTTCCTGGCTGTGGGTCCTCACCCGCGCGCTTTAAAGGGACTTGTGAATACTCTACTACAGACACATGCAAAAGGGTTAATAAAAGGTTTATTTACAAGAGAAAAGGAAATAAGGAAAATGTACAACTCAGGGAGAAAATAGGAAATAAAGTCTTTAATGCGTCCTACCCGATCCGACGACCTGGAAACCCCAAAGTCACTCTCAGAGCTGACCGGACGCTGCTGCTGTCCAAGAGCCCAAAAATGGAGACCCCCCCAAAGCCCACTGAAGAACCAAAAGTGCACTAGACTTGAGACAGGTAACGAAGGGCACATATGAAGGATGATGTCAAATGGGAGAAAAAGATGTGAGGCTTTGGCATATCAGAAAGACTTTTAAGTACTGGTTCTGAAGCCATATCACAGCTGGGCCAACAGAGCTCAGATTGCTGCCCTTCAGCAAGACAGTACAGCTCTCACCTCTGTCACACCATACTAATTATGATTCTTAGTTATTTGTGTTTGTTCTTTTATTTAAAATAAGAGCACTTCAGATAAACCAAGGCACTGGGTACATTTTGTTTGTTTGTATTATGGACTTTTCGAGAACTGCAACTCTAGAAAAAAGTGGCATCTGGAGTGAGCAGTGAATAGTTGCTGCACCTCCCCCTGCAGTGACCTTTAGGGTTAACCGTCCCTAGGTCCAGCTGGGCAACCAGCGCGCAGGGGGAGAACAGCAAAACCCTACATACCTGCTGCACACACCCCCCCCCCCCCCCCCCCCCCGCAGTGACCTTTAGGAATGGCTTTCGCCACGGTCCCTAGGTCCGGCTGGGCAACTAGGCGCAGGGGGAGAACAGCATAACACCCTGAAGCAGAGGAAGCACAGGGAAGTTCCCTGAAAAGACAGAAGCTTATCAAAAGATAACGACCACCAGGAACCACTACAAGAATGCAAAAAATCTTATCCGTTCTTTCTAGAACTACAAACTTTAATCCCTTATTTGTCTTTCTAAACTTCCTTCTTTCTTCTATAAAAGTTATTGCTTGTTATGTAGATCACCTCCCTGATGGTGATAGACTGAGCCCATGAGCAAGCTGATTTCATTGATATTCATTGTTCCTGTGATATACTGGTCACAAACTCAAAGAAAATTACACTCAGATTTTCACTCTTGAAGTGTGTCTGTTTGTCATTTCTTTCACCGATGCCCTGACCACCCTGCACGCTTCTCTCAACCCTGAGGTGGCCTCATCGTCTACTGCTGTGCTGGTCCGTGGTAAATAGTCTCTTGGGCTGTGACATCCTTAACAAGTGTTTGTTGAAATGAATAACTCAGTCTGGGGGTGGGGTGTGCGTGTATGCATGTGTGTGTGTGTGTGTGTGTGTGTGTGTGTGTGTGTGTGTGTAGCGCTGTGATTATCTAGGCATGTAAGTCCTTGTGGGACCTGCCTTGTCACCACTACACACTCCTCTCCAATCTTCCAAGTATTACCTAGCCTTAGATTTGCCACCAGGACGTGACATACCTAAACTCTGAGATGTGCTTGAATATTAAACTGTTTGCATTTTATTGAGTGTTAGAAACAAACAAAAGTGCTGTGCAGAGCAGGTTTGAATTTGATGAAAATTTCACTGAAGACTCTGTCCTTTAGAAAACATATTTCTTTTTTTTTTCTTAACTCATCACACTTCCCTCTCTTCTGTAATACTTGGCTTGTCCTCCACCTTCCTGTTTCTAGGACACTCACAGCTAAACACAATGACCAATTTCATCAACAATATCAGACCTACTCCTTTTCTCCCCCACTTATTTTCCTATAGCCTTCTCAGCCACACTCCAGTTTTTGAAGACTCTTCAAGTTCTTTTAGCTGCCAGCAGAACTACACATAATAAATAACCACACACAGAGCTTGAGAACAACTGGCACCTGGAAGTAAATTCATGATTCATCTCACTTTTCATTCAATTGACTTGACATAAGCCAGTGAGAATGGGACATTTTCTTTCTCTTTTTAAAGAAAAATAAAACAAGGCCTTTAGCTGAGATCAAATTAATGCAACCTGACATTTTCAACTTCACTTAAATGCAAAGGGCAGCCTCTGAGGCCTGGGATTTTAGTAGAAACACTGGTTGGTGGCTTTGGGATCTGGGACAACAGCCAGACTATGGGATGGAGAGAAGACTCTGTGTTCAGAGAAGGGTATTCTGCAGAGGAAACAGCTCAGGTGGGCTTCGTGCTGTTGCCCACACTGCCTTCATTCAGCTAGACAGGCAGAGGCTGTGCCTGGTGCTGAGCAGGCTAGCGCCGCCAGAGGGCTCAGGCTCAGCTCCTGCAGGGCACAGGGCCTCACAGTTGAGGGGAGGAGGGCAGGCACAAACACAGAATGCAGGAAAATTCCATCAGTGACAAAGGGAGGAGGGCTCAACACAGAGGGCTTCTGTGAAGGCAGCTTAGGATTTCCCCTATCACAGCTGGGGCAGGCGGAAAGAAGTGCAGACAAGAGAGCAGAGTGCCTACTTCTACTCACCAAGGTCGTTGTTGTTCATCATGGCATTGGAGGCCCGCATCCTGGGCCCCTGCTGGGTAAAGTGGTAGCCGAACTTGAGAAGTGTTGTATTTTTTTCCAACATGTTCACGATCTCCATTTCCACTTTGTTGCCCAGGGGCTGGCTCTTTGGTCAAGAAAAGAACAATAATCAGTGATGGTTCCATTTGAGCAGGACCCAAACCATCTCACTCAAAAGACCTGAGAGGTGGGTGTGGGTTTTAACACGCCCCTTCAAGGGTAGAGAATGGAAGTCTGGAGAAGGTAAAGGGTCACACAGCCAGGAGACAATCAGCCTGGATTCAAACTTTGTTCTGCTGGACACCAAGACAATTCATTCCACTGCTCCAGGACAGCCTTCCTAGAATATCTGAGCAGGGAGGGCTTTCAAACCATCTTGTCCCAAGGAGATTGTAAAGTGCTGCTGCCCAGTCTATACCCTGTGCTAATTAAATCAGAATCAGAATGAGACTCAGGTGCCTGTGTTTTTAAATCCCCCAGGTAATTCTAATATGCAGCCAGGTTTGATTAATAGTAGTTTAGACCAATCTCTTCAATTTACAAATGGAGAAATCATTAAGGGTTAGAGAGGGAAAAGAGACAATTCACTGAAAAGGATATAAAATGTCAAATGTCAAATGCAAATATAGAACAAGATGTTCAACATCATTAGTTATTAAGAAAATACAAGTCACAACAATGAGATCTTGCTGTATACTTATCAGAACTGCTAAATAAAAAGTAGTGACAATATCATGTTGGGGAGGATGCAGAGAAGCTCCTATATTACTGGTGAGTATGTAGAATGGCACAAAACCTAGGTTTGTTTAAAAAAGTAGCCCCCCACGGGACCTGCATTATCCCAGACAAACAAAAACAAAAATTTGCACATGAATGTTTATAGCAACTCTCTGTAGTAGATCAACCCGATGTCCTTCAACAGGTGAGTAGGACCATGGAATACTACCCAGCAATGAAAAAGAACAAACTAGTGATATAACCGCCTAGGTGACTCTCCAGAGAATTATACTGGGTGATAAAAACCAGTCCCAAAAGTTACATTATCATATGATTTTATTTCAGATTCTTGAAAAAAATATTAAAATGCAGAATACATGAGTGGTTGCCAGGGTTTAAGGAGGGAGCAAGGCCATAAGGGGAGTGAGTTTAGCTATAACAAGGGGATAGGAGGTATCCTTGTGATGGAAACCATCTTTATCTGGACTGCATCCCTATCACTATCCTGGTTGTGACATTGTCTATCATCTTGCAAGATATTCCCATTGAGGGAAACTTTGTAAAGAGCACAGGGATCTCTGCATTGTGTCTTACAACTGTATAGGAATCTACATTTCCTCAAAATAAAAAATCCAATGAAATAAACAAGACATAAAAAGCAAAACAAAACAAAACAACCCCCACACACACACACAGCTACCCACTTCCACTGCCAATAATGTGCTTTATTGAGAGCATATTACGTTCCTGATGCCTTGAGCCCAACTTGTAGTATCTTAGTTCATTTCCTTAACAACCCAACAGTATAAAACCCCAACTCCTACTCAGCCTGACACTCAAAGTCCTACATGAATTTGTCCTTATCTTCCTTTCTTCTCTCAGTCCTCACTCAGCCTGTTTACCTAGAGGCATCTGGCTCACAGTGCCTGGTGCGCGCAGAGGTTTCCTCCAAAAGCCCATGCGCTCTCTGGTCATCAGGCCCTGACCCTCCCGTATCCACCTGTTGATGTATCCCTAGTACTATAATACCCATCACAATTTAATTTACACCTCTTCCATCAAGACACCCCTGATCCCTACTTCTGTAAATGATCTTCAAGTTACATTGTAACTCCCCCTCTGCTCCTAGCCAGGTCTGCCTGCCTCATTTAGGTCACCTTCCTTCACATCTGTGTCTACAACTGAACCTGTGCTGTCAGCATTTGTGCTGCATGTATGTCTTTAACTTTATTTATTTTTAAATATTTATTTATGCATACAAGAGCTGGGGTACAGGCCAGAGATGCAGAGAGGGGGAGGTGAGAGGATTCACAAGAGACAGAGTGGGGAACAGAACAGGCAGATTGACTGAAATACACTGCTGAGGGGAGCAGCGGGCGAGACAGGAGAGGTCTGCTGCGCCATGTGGGTTGCTCCCTGGCCGGTTGGAAATCGAACTTGTGCTGCAGAGGCTTCGGATTGCTTCACAGTGCGGTGCTTAACCCCTTGCACCACCAGGTAGGCCCTGTCTTTAACTTTAAACAATTATTAATAAATAAAATAAAAACTCCAGTTCCTCAGTTGTACTAACTGCATTTCAATTGTACACTAACCATCAGCCAGTGGCTACCATACTGATCAGGGCAGACATAGAACATTTTTATAACAGAAAGTCCTGCTGGATGGTGCTACTCCAGGCTGTGAGCCCTTGGATGGTACTCTGGATCACTAGGTCAAGGTAAATTGAATTGTGTGGGTGGGGGGAGAGAATAAGAACATGCCCGATATACACCAACATGTCGTGGTTGAAAAGACACATCAGCCAAGCATCCAAATGGGCAAGCATGGAGCCACATTTGAATCTCTTAATGGAGAACTTCTCTCAGGTATTCTGAGTTCACTAGGACTCATCTGGGTTCAGACAAGGCTGGGGAAGCCGACTAGGGCAGGCACCAGGACATTTGTGAAATTCCACTAGTGCATCTGGCAAGGCTCCTGAAAGTGCTGGGAAGAACTCAGGCCTGTCCTCAGAGGACTCAGCTCAGCCCTGGGCCTGGCCAGCTTGGCCCAGCAACAATACAGAGACCATCTGAGGCCCAGGAAGGAACTAGCAGCTCCTTTACCCACCCCATTTATCAAGAAGTCTGGCCTCTGCTAGAGGTCACCTGTGGGAACTCTCAGCTAGTGCTCAGGATGGGCCAGTCTCAGAAAACACTGGGCTCACCTGAGTGCAGGGGCTGTGGGTGCTGCTTTGCAATGCAGCACTTCATGCCACTTCATGCCACTCAGTCCAGCCTCAGGTGTCCTGATGCAAATAGCCCCCATGCAACCTCCCTATCTCCCTGGGATGTGCAGGACAGACAGGAACTGTCTCGTCTTAGAGGTGAATAAATGAATGGGAACTGGACCATGCTCCCTGCACTTAATTAATGACACGACCAAAGCCTGACCTTGACCTGGGAGTGGAAGGACTTTAGAGTATCGTATTCTCAAATGAGTTTCCCAAATCCCTGGGATACATGCAGATGTGTCTGGATGTTTGCCAGAAGGTACAGGATTCCATAAGAAAATCACAGCCAAATCTTCCTGGACTAAAACCATGACTTTTTACTTTAAGGAGTAAAACAGAAAGTGCACATACATCTTAAAATGAACCTCAAGACTTGAAAGCAGCTTTAGATTTGCTTCTTCCAGGGACTCTGAGTGTTGAAGGCATCTATCATTTCTTGGATGAGAAGAGACTATGGAGATAGCATTAGGACTAAAACTCTGGTCACTGAATTATTTTTCAAATACTTTCTACTTAATGATGACTGTGCAGCAGGCAGTGTCATAACATGTTTCATATCCTGACTCGTTTTCTCACTACAAACCTATGGAATATGTACTATTATTATACCTTTCATCTTGAAGAGCAGAGGTATTATAAAATTTCCCCCAAGTCACAGTCTGAAGAACCAGGTTTGCATCTGACTCCTCTGGGAGAGCTCAGAAGACAGAAGCAGAGCCAGAGAGAGGAGCTATGGGCAGAGGGGCAGGGCTGAGCAAGGCAGGAGTGAGCGCTTGCCAGCAGCAGTGTCTGTGCACAGAAGGAACTCTCTGGTAAGGTGTTGGGCTGTCCCCGCAGGTGAGTGAGGAGGTCACGTCTCCACTGGGTCTCCTAGATGTCATCACCAATGGGGAAATCTCAGGCGCTATGACCTTTAAGGCTTCTAGGGGTGGCACCCTATGCACCTAAGAATAACTTGCTTGGATGGCATTAAAAAGGTCGGGGGGGTGACCTGGACAGTGGGTGAAGGCCATTAGGATCCCTCTGGAGAGAGAGCAAAGAGCCGGTCATGCCAGGACTGGCAGCTGCAGAGCCAGTGGAGGGAGGTAGGGAAAGAACTCTAGCCCCCTTTCAGATTTGCTTAGAAATCAAATAAATTATTTGTGAAAATGTAATCTCATCATTAAAAATTGAAATACTAAAGCATATTGAGTAAAATGAGTCTCACTTTACACCATTCATCCCAGAGAATTAACCCAGGTACTGATTAGGGAACCAACACAATGAATTCCCGCACAACCCCTTCAGGAGAGCATGAGTACCTTCCCATTTCACAGATGGGAAAACTCAGACTAAGGTACACTCAGTGACCCCACCCTCCCAGTTAGCTGGAAAGAACATGTTAGAGCTGGGGCTTTGCTGGAAATTCATCCCTTGTTGACTTCAAGAGTAAGAGATTTAAAGACAGTCTGTGACATGTCTAGAAAGTTCCTGGCTTTTCAGAACAGAGTGCAGCCTCCAGTGGGAACTGGACTCATGATATGACATGGCTTTTGTTACAAATCCTTATTCTGGGTCATTTTGATCGGTGTAGGAGAGGGAGTTTCTCTATGTCACTTTCTGTTCTCTCATTTCTATTGACTTTATCTCATTTTCCCCTGAGAAGTGAAGCCAGTAAAAGAAATTAATGGGCATTTTGAGAAAGACAGTGACACATGCCTGTCCTCTTATGGGGGCTGAATATCTCCAGGCCAAATTAGTTCCACACTCAATAAGACTACAGACACAAAAAGTATGTGTAGGATAAGAACTGCTGCTAAGAAGCTAAATGTGTAGGAATGCAACAGACTGGTTAGAAAGTCTTCTCTTGGTTTTCAAGAGTCTGTTCTCTTTAGATCCAAAACCCCAAAGTCATACTCAGTCTCACTTAAAATAAAGTTAGCCAGGGTCTCCCTGGTGGCGCAGCAGTTGAGCTCTGGGCTGCGAAGCTGCCCGCAGCCTCTGCAGTACCGGTTGGATCCCTGGCCACTGGGTAAGAGTCCCACATGGCGCGCAGACCTCTCCTGCTGCCCGCTGCTCCCCTCAGCAGTGTATTTCATTGGTCTGCCTGTTCTGCTCTCCTCTCCGGCTCCGGTGAATTCTCTCACCCTCCCGCGCTTCTGACTGTACGCAGTGCTTGTATAAATAAATAATAAATTAAAAAAAAAAAAAACTGCCTTCTGGGTTCCAATCTTCACTGTGATAATCTAATAAACTCTTAAAAAAAATAAAGTTAGCCAGCTGCCATGATGTGTAATCTAAAATTAAGGGACAGTTGCCATGTGTGACAACCTTCACACCAGCCTTCCTATTCTGGCATAGCTTTTGTTTTATTGTTAAACTAATTCCACTAGGAATATAATCTGATCTGGAAAGATAAGAATGCATATCTACCTCATTTAGCTTCTCTTAAAATATAAATTACATCCTCACCATCAAATATTGGAATGAAAAGTGGGAAATCTGGCCAATAGCCTCTACACCTTACACATATCCTTATTTGGAGAGAGGGGACATGTTTTCAGACTTTGTTCTGAGGGGCAGGGAGACTACTCTGAGCAATCAGCATCTTGGGGAGGGCCCTCTGGAGGCAGCTCTGCTGGGAATGAGGGGAGGGCAGAGAATCACTGCATGGGATGGAACCATGAAGGGCACAGGATCACCTAATAGGATGATCACCTAAATAGGATCACCTTATAGGGTTGAGGCCTACAAATACTCCAGTGCCTGTTCCCTGGGGTCTGAGAGGGTCTCTTGGGTCCATCCATAAATGCAGCCTGTCTGGACACCTCAGTTCTAACACTGCTCTGACACTAACTTGGTCCAGGACCTCAGGCATGGTCTATCCCTTCGCAGAACTTCAGCTTCTCACCTGTAGAGGGTGGACAAGCCTGGACATTTTCTCAGTGCTCCTAACCCTAGGTCAGGGACCCTTCCCACCCTCTCTTCCATCTCAGGGAAACTTTAGAACATTACTTGGAGATAATGAGAGGCTGGCTGAGTAACCATGCAGCTTCAGTGGCCTGGTTCCTGAATTTGTGCCCCGAACCAGCCTGTGAGACTCTGTGTCATCTAATTAGAACTCCTCAAGTCTTGTTTTTTGGCCATATAAGGAGAAAGGAAGACAGAGACTCACTGACACAGGTTACAGGCACAAGGGCTGAAGAGAAAGCACCGGCCTCGACCTCTGATGACGTCAGTGACTAACCAAAAATGAGGAATAAATCAAATGCCATTCACCACCTCCTCGCAGTCAGACCCTCCAGAGCCCAGGGCTGGGGACACCCGAGGAAAGGCGGCAGACTGTGCCCAGCCCTCTTGGAACACATAGTGGGAGGCTCATAGAGCTTTGTCCCAGGCCTGGCAGGCAGAGTCCCCTCTCTGAGGCCAGTCTCAGCCTCTCCTCCCCTTCTCCAGCAGGCCCCAATCCAATCTCCTGACTCCAGGCATATAAGGGAACTTTCCACAGGTCCACCTCATCTGAGCTATCACAGCCCCATGCTGGTTCTGGGCCCTGAGGCCTGCTCCCACCCTCAGTCCTCTCCCCTCCAGCTGGGAAGCATCTTCTCAGAGCACAACTCTGGTGTCAATGACAGCCCAGAGCCTACTTCCCCTCAGCCTACCCATTCAGAACCCTCTGGAACCCCAACTCCCTTTCTGGTTTGCCTCCAAGTTCAGTATAATTCCACAGCTTTCCCTTTTCTTTCTCAGCACCTGAGATGCCATGGCCTCACATCAACCCCTGAGAAAGAGTCTACCCTAAAGGTTTATCTCAAACTTCACATCTTCCAAAAAGCCCTCCCAGATGCATGCTCCTGACTGAGATTACTCCTTCCAATGGCAAGGCCCACTGTCTATGGCTTGCTGGAGCAGCTGGTTCCATAGTCATTTTACTTGTCTGAATTCCCATCCGATGTGGAATTCTTGAGGGGCAGAGCTGGGGTCTCCTTCACATGCAGAGCCTGGTCCAGCCCTGTGGTGCAACCTACACTCACCAAACATTGGGATGAACCAAAAAAGAGGTTTCCAGGATGGGGTGGGGGGGGCAGGTGGTAACTAGTCCTCTAGTCTTGTACCAAGGGAAAGGGACAGATGAGAAAAGCCAAGCGAGGTCCACACAAAACTAGGGCAGGGTTCAAAAGCCCGTTCACACACAGTTCATGGACTCTGCAGTCACACAGCCCTAGTCTAAACCTTGTCTCTGTTACTTTCTGTGTGACCTTGGGTAGACTACACAGCCTGTCTGGGCCTCCGTTTTCTCATCTACAATGTGGGGGTTGGTTGTGATACCCTCTTACAGAATCTTTGCGAGCATTAAATGAGATAATAGACATATGGTATCTGTCCAGTAAATTAACTATTAGAATAATGTGTGAATAACTAGACCACCATTGTAGCAGTAAATACAAAAGGTAGCAACTTTGTAGTTTACATCTGTCATCAAGTTAGAAGTAGAGAGTCTTACCAGCCCCATTTTACAAGTGAGGAACCTGAGGCTCAGGAAAATGAGCATTCTCACAGCAGGTGTTCAATGAGGGTGCTGGTTGGCACAGCACTGAGGAGGGAGGTGGGCAGCCTGTTACCAGCTGCCACCACAAAGACCCGAAGCCAGTATTCTAGATCATATTTGGCCAACACTCTGCCCTCGGAGTCAGGTTTCAGCTGAAGTTAGGTAGGCCACTACTCCCTCCACGCAGAACTTAAAGTCACATGAGTAGCCATTCCCGGGCATTGGCCCAGGGCTGCTGTTCTGCCACTGCATGCCTTTGCTCCACCTGCTCTGCCCCTCCTGGCTCCAATAAAGCAGGGTCAGCAGTGACAAAAAGGGCCGGAGTGTGGGACTGGGACGGGTGATCCAGCAGCACATCTCATGGAAGAGGTGCAAAGAGTCCGGAGCAGCAAATTCACTAACAGAGCCACTGCTGGATTATGTGGCCTCTTTACACATATTAGAAAAAAGGGCCCTTTGGGGGTGAACAAAGGCCCATATCAAGAGATGGAGAGTAGAATGTGGGTTGGAGATTGCCCCCTGCTACCTCATTGTGCCGTGAACAACATGTACAACCATCCAGAGGAGCTCTGCTTACCAAGCACCACTGCAGGACTAAGTCCTAAGCCAGAAACTGGAGTATAGAGATGATTCAGATACAGCACCAGCCTCTCAGAAGTTCCTAGGGAGGCTGAGGTGCTGAGAGAATGCAGGGAGGGTACACATGATTCTCTTGAAGGAAGCTAAGAGGTGCTATGGCAGGTTGATGGGAGAAGGCAGTGGCATGCTGGCACTTAAAAAAAAAAAAAAACAGTTGAATTTGTAGTGTTTGCCAATTTCCATAGTGTAAATACTTTCACTAGGGGTGACTTCAAGGCACCAATATGCCATCACTGTGCTGTGCTGATGTGTACCATCAGCTCTGGCATGCAGGTTCAAGCTGGCTCTGGAATACTAGGAAAGGCTTCAGGAATTACATAACTGTTATGATTCATTAAGCTATGCACTTTTCTGTATGTTTATCATATTTTATAATAAAAAATATATAAACTACAGATAATATCATTTGGGGATAACAGCTATTTACAGTTTTGTTATATTTCCTTCCAATCTTCTGTCTATGCATATATTTATACAACCATTCAGCAAAAAAAAAAAGAAATCATGTAACATGAATTTTACAACCTAGATTCTCTGTATTTAATGAAGCAAGCATGTTAACAGTGGAAACAACATGATGTAATTAGGGAGCCAGAAAGACTTGGGTTCAAATCTTGTTTCCTTAAGTGTGAACTTGGTAGCCTTGAAAAAGTTACTTGTCTTTAGCCTCTCTGAGTTGCTTCTCTTCTGCAAACTGATAATTCCTACATTCTGAAGGACTATTGAGAAGATCAGAAATGATATGTAAAAGATGCACAGCACAGAGTCTGCCCATGGTAGACTCTCAACACATGTGACATATGTTATTTTCCAAACAGGATACTGCTATTAGCATCATCATAGAAGGTCAGAGTGGGAAGAGTTGCTCTGAAGATAAATGACTGAACCATTGAATTTATAGAGAAATGATAATCCCATAAGGATAAAGAAAAACTAGAATTTACCCAGAGAATAATCTCAATGTTAAGTGGGGAGTGGGTTGGGGGGTGATTAAAGAAAATGGGGGTTATTTAGCTTATGATTTATAAGTTTTGTGGACTTAACATGTTTTAACATGCAGCAAAAAACAGAATGAAGCCCAAGAAACAGAGCTTATACCTGTAAGTAGCTGATTTCTACAGGATATAAGGAAGGATGTTCTCACTAAGAACAGGAGGGGTAATCTTGTTAAGGAGTAAGATTCCTGTCATTAGGGAGACACAGGAAGACACTGGAAGAACATTCAGTGGGAATGATGAGGAAACAGATGTTGACTGGACAATTGGGTTTCCTTAAAGTTGGGCTCCATAGATTTTATAACCAGCATCTTCTGCTCAAAGTGGCATGCAGGAAAGAGCAGAACGGTATGTCCTTTCATGAAGAGGCACCCTGCCCACCTTACCTGGTTATCAATTTTCAGTTCCACTAGAGAAGTGTTGTGTGGAAGGGCCTCTACCAGGCGCAGGATCCCTGCTCCAGAAATGAAATTGGATTCCACATTCAACGTCTTCAACGCCTTGTTTACCTTGAGCATCTCGGCAAGGGCCTTGGAACAGGAGGTAAGTGAGAGTGAGGGTACCATGAGTCACCTGAGCAAGGCTGGAGCACTCTTGGGTAGAACCTCAAATACCGAGGGAGCCATGGCGAGAGCCCCTTGTACACTTGTGCTGCTCGATCTGGACTCGACAAGACCATCTGGACCCGACAAGACCATCTCTGCAGCTTCCTTCACTGAGAAAAACTCTCATTTCTCCAACCCCATAACCTACCATGACTCCATGACAGGAAAATTCTGAGCTCCCTAGCCTGGGTCCAAAGCCTCTGTGATGTGGTCGGCCTCATTCTTGCTGTTTCCCGTAAATGGGTGACTCTCAGTTGTCTGTGCACACCAGAGCCTTCCCACAGTGTCCTTTGCTCAAACTGTCTTTGCTCATACTGTCTCTGCCACCTGAAATACTTTTTCCTTTCTGCCTCACACATCCAAACACTGCCTGTCCTTCAAAGTCATTCTCAATGTCCCTTTCTTTAAGGGCCTTTGCTGACATCTCCAGCTAGCTGTGCCCTGCCCTCTTGAGCCTCACAGGATGCATCCAAAACCTCCCTCATGGGATTTGCATTCCTCTGTTGGGGTTGTTTTTATACTGGTGCTGTCTCAGCCATCAGACCACATTCTCTCGGTACACTGAAAAGGCCCTTATTCATCTTATGATGCCCACAGTGTCTACATGGTATCCAGTACTTAGTAGGTGCTCAGTCACTGTTCACTGAGTGACTTGTCTATTTCCCCATTGGAATTCCTGGGAATCGTCATTCTCTTCTCTGGAGCAGCAGAGAGCAGAAAGGGAAGCCTGGGAAAGTGGGAAGCCACCCGCTGGGCAAGTGACCAGGGCAAATGAGAGGAGAGGAGCTAGGTGCCCCTGCACATTTCAGAGGAATTCAGCCAGGGGGGTGTAGATGACAATCAGAGTCTCTGAAAGAAATAAGGTAATTAGCAGTTGGTGGAAATGAAGTGTCATGGAGAAAAGGAGACACCAGCAGCAGATAGGCTGTATGATCTTTGGGCATTGGTTGTATGAAATGACAACTGAGCCAGGAATATCTTACATACCATCCCTGCATGCTGAAACCCTATGCAAGGCCTAGCTCTGGGAAGCATTCCTTGTTGAAACCACCAAGACCTCTTCAGCTCCTTCCACTTCAGTGTACTCCCCCTACTCCCCAGACGGCATGTCAGCATTCCCTGTAACCCTGTGTAGGTGGGATCCTTCTAAGCAGAGGGATTCAGTCTATTCAGCCTATGTTCTCTACATATTTCCTCAAGAAAGTCTGGCCTGAGCTTGATAATCAAGATATTGAACAGGCAGTAGGAAAGTGCACTGGCCAATCTGAGTGGACAATGGGTGGCTGAGTAGGTCCTGGAGGCCTTGTCATGCCAGGTGTCAACTCCTTGTTTGCTGGATCACAGTGGAGGAGTGGCAGAGGCCCAGGAGAAGAGCTGGGGCAGGCAATGGGGACACTCACAGAACTCGGGAAGCCTTATTTACCAATCAATCCAGAAGCACTGCAGTATTCAACAATGGTTACACTGGTGTGAGTGGCTGAGATCAGCTTGGCCTGGCACAGAGTCAGTGCCCCATAAATGTCCATGGGGCAGAGGTGAATGCCAGCATGGATATGTTTATTTCTGACCCAAGACATAGTAGTGGATAGGGCAAGCAGCTTTGCTGCTGTGGCGCCATAGGTAAACTCAGTATCAACTGGAGACCTTGTAAGGTCAGAGGTCACCTATCCAGAAGTTTCCCACTGGCAGCAATGAGAGACTAGGAGCTAGTTCTATCATTTAAAAAACATTGAATAAAATTATTCTATTTTAAAAATCAGAAAAAATAAATTGCTGCTAAATAGACCTTAGATCAAGGAAAGTTATCAAGAATAAAGAAGAAAATTATGTAAGGATAAAGGGGTCAATTCCCCAAGAATTGGAAAATATCTTTAGTGTGTATGTGCCTAACACTAGAGTGTCAGACTATGTAAGGTAAAAACTAATACAACTTCAAGGAGAAATGGATGAATCCACTAACAGAAACAGACAGATCAAGTAGGACAAAATTCATTAAAAACATAATTAAACAATGCCATCAATCAACTAGATATATTGACAGCTATAGAGTTCACCCAAGAACACAAAATATGCATACATTCTTCTCAAGTTTACATGGAACATTCACCAAAAGAGACCATATTCTGGGCCATAAATACACTTTAACAAATTTAAAAGGATGGAAATCATACCCTGTCTACTCCTAGATCACAATGGAATTAAACTAGAAATCACAAACAGAAAAATAATTGGAAAAGCCCAGTACACGGAGATTAAACAGCATAGTTCTACATAACACATAAGTCAAGGAAGAAATCTTGAGAGAAGTTAAAAAGCATTTTAAACTAAATGAAAATGAAAATAAAACTTCTCAAAATGTGTGTGATGCAGTGAAAGGAGTTGTTAGGGGTAAATTCATAATACTGAATGCATACATTAGCAAAAAACCTAAAAATCAATAGCTTAAGTTTCCATCTTAGGAAACTAGAACACAACTGAATTAAACCAAAGCAAACAGAAGAAAAGAAATAGAGGTGGAGTAGACATTAAAAAAAAAAAGTACACTGATAACAGGAAACCAAGAGAAACTCCATGAGTCAAAAGCTGGTTTTTTGAAAAGATCAATAAAATTGATAAACCTTTCTAAAAGCAACAAAAGCTAGGCCACAAATTGTTAATATTGAAAATGAAAAAGGGGACATTACTACAGAACCCGTGGAAGTTAATAGGGTAATAGAGCAATATGAACAGCTTTGTGCCCATAAATTTGATGACCTAGATGAAATGGACCAATTATTTGAAAGATGCAATTTGCTAAAGCTCACATGAGAAGAAACAGATCATCTGAAAAGGCTAGCATTTAAAGTCAGCTATATCTCTCACTTGCTATGCTCTCTGCACCACAGGTTTGGAGGTTAACTAGGGTAAGATACAGATGAGGCTGGGTAATAGCTGAGCTGTCCATGTCCTGTCCTGGCTCCGAGCCCAGCACCTTTCGCCACATCACATTGGTTCTTCATCAGTTCTGTGGCCAGTTCTAAGGCCACAGCATGAACCCATACCCTCAATGTAGCAGGAAGGTACATACATATGCCACGGGGTCATTGCTCCGTGTCCCCACGATGCTGAACTTCTTAACATGTGTGTTGTCTTTCAGGGCTTCTGCATATGCCTTGAGGGTGGGAATGGGGATATTCTGCAGAGAAAAAGGCAGACAGTGACCAGCAGCCCCTGCCAGGTGCAGGCTGGGCAGACAGATGCCTCTAGGGCTTGCATCCTGTTTCCAGGCAAGCCTCTGACAAAAAAAAAAAAAAAATTGAATGAGGAAAGTATTTCCCTCATTTACCCCAAGGGGCTGAGATTTGGGGAGATCTTTCTGGTAAACAAATTGAGAAAATACCACATAATACCCACAGCTGCTTGTGAGACAGGAGGAGGAAAAAAACCAAGGCAAGGATGAAGAGACTTGTGCCTAGAGCTTGGTGTGGGAGAGGACAGGGTCTGGGCCTCCACTTGGGATATTGGCAATGTTCTGACTTGCTCTGAGGTGCTGGGAAGTGTCCCTCTCTCTGGACCAGTTTCTGGGAAACTGAGGTTGGGGAGGTTGCACTAGATGATCTCTAATAAACTCCTGTCACAGAGGGTCTCTGCACATTGGAGGCCCTGGGAACTTTTACAAAATGCTCATGCTTGGTCTGTGCCAGACCAATAAAATCAGAATCTCTGGGGGCTAGGGGTGGGCCTGAGCCTCAGCATATACTTTTCGATCTCCTCAGGTACAGACCACTGGCCTAGTCTACTTGCCTCATGTGCAGAGGGCCCAGCCCTTGCCTGAGGCCCCACGGTGAAGGCCCAGAGTAGCAGCCAGGTCCCACAACTACGTTGCCCAAGCCAGCATGCTCCGCAAGGCACACAGCTCAGAACTGTGCCAGTGTTTCCCACTGGGCACAAGGTAGACACTGGAGGCACCCAAGACAGAACCTGGCTGTGTTTTTACAGCTCTCTCATTTCAGAGTGTCACGTTAGCTCCCCATGGGAGCAGAGCATGGGGAGGGCAGGTGGGGGAGAACACTGTAGGCACAGGTTTCCAATCTGATTGTGCTTTGGGGCTGGCAGTCACTGAAAAGAAAGATAAGAGGAAAGGAAAGAGGAGCTGGAGAGTGAGGGCCCAGCTTCTTGTCTTACCCTCACACCCTCCCAGAACTAATCTGCTGGCCTCCGGGGCTGAGCAGGTGGACAGGCAGCTGGGCCTACTTCTGCATTCCTCCTGCTGCCTGTCCAGGGCTCCTGTGCCCTTGGTCATAGGGAACTGTCCAGAAAGATCTGGACGACTTACAATACGTCTTTGCACATTGGGCCTGTTGTTAGGGCCACTGCTGAATGCTGCTGAACATGCGCACGACACAGAAGCTGTGTGCAGGGACAAGCCGCTCTGGGGCTTGGATGACCCCATGAGCCTGTGGACACTGGACTTTTGCAGCTTTGGGGTCCCATGCAGCCATGCGTGTTCATCTCACGAGTTTCTCTCTGGGGAAACACTCATGGTTTGAATGACATGTTGGGTTTCCAGCCTGGAAGCCCAGACTGGCCCTCGTGAGCATCTGGGAGTGGTGTCAGTTCTCTGCAAGGAACAGGACATGGGATGCGTGCGTTTACACTGTCCAGCCCTCTCCAAGGTTTGTCCCTGTTTCTGATCCAGAAGCATCAAGAGCCCAAACAGGACCTTGTTCTCTTTGCACAGCCAGGCCTGGGATGTTTGCCTCTGGGTGACACGGGTATGGCTTTCAGGTGCCTCACGGGGAACCTGAAATAAGAGGGACTTTACCCGGATGTTGTTGAGGTTAACCTCTTCAAGTTTCGGGTCGTTGCTCTTTATCCGCTCCAGCGTTTCCTCTACGTCTGTTGAATTTGGTTCTTCATCAGGCACAGGCTTGTACTGTGTGGGTTTGATGACACCTGGAGTGACCAACAAGAGGGAGTGGCTCACAGAAGTGAGGTGGCGGGCAAACACTTTGCTGAATACAAGGACACTGGGAGGAAGAGGGGGCTGGGGTTTGGCCACTGAAGCCTACACAAACAGGCGCTACAGGAGAGGCGAAGCATTGGGAGAAGCCCTGCAAGGCTGGGGGCAGGGGCTTGGCTCCAGTGGGGACCTGACTTTGAGGCCATCCTGAAAGGGCTGGGAGAATGACTACATTCTCTGAACTTTGGTGTCCACATCTGTGCAGTGTGAACAGTCATTTAACCTGTGTTCAGTGGGTTTTTGTGAGGATAAAATGAAGCCTGGATGGGAAAGAGAAGTGTGAGCTCTCCAGAAGGAGGGATATTTGTTCTTTGGGCACCCTCATTTCTCTTTGGGGCCGATCCACCAGCTTGGAACAGTGCAGTGAAGCAATGAAGACAATGCAGTATGGCACATGGAAGACATGGGGACCCAGGGGACAGAAGCACCTGGAATACACCCGTATGGATTCATGGAAACTCATGACTCCAGCAGTGAAGGAGGAACTGTGCAGAGAATGGTGTTGAGACGATAGACAGCTTTTAAAAAATGAAAGCTTGACCTCATCTCACACTGCACACAAACAAACTCCAGGTGAACTAAGTAGTCGAACACCCTGTGAAGCGGATACTGTTATGGAGAACACACCCGACGCTTTCTCACCGTTAGCTAATAACGCCTTGTGAATGCATGACCTACGGCGAAGGTCCTGGAGTTTTACCTGCTGGTGTTAGCTGGATGTAGAGACTAAATGTTGGATGTTCCTCTCCCAAAGAAATAAAGAAATTAAATATAAGAAGTAGACCTCAAAAACTTCCAGAAGACAATAGAAGAGGATATTTAGATACTACTGTGACAGAGAAGGTCTTTGAAAACAAGACACCAGCCTCGGGAGAGTGAAAGGGGCAGGTGGGTGGATTTGGCTGCGTGACCACGCAAGGCCTGTGCACTGAGCCAGGCAGCACCGTGGGCAGAGGAAGGAGAGGTGTGAGGACGCCCTGATGTGGAGGGGTGCTGCTGGGGGCAGGGAGGCATGCGGAGCCGGAAGTCCAGACATGTACTCACTGTTGAGGCCCTCCTTGTTCACGATGGAGCTGCTGCCCAGCGCCTGGTAGTACTGCTGGTTGCTCATGAGCGTGTGCATGCCCAGGATAGCTGCGGGGACAGGGAGGTTAGAGATATCTGTGACATGTATGCTTCCCCTACTGGGCTGTGGGCTTCCAGAGGTCAGGGAAAAATATTGTTTCTCTTTCTTCTTTTTTTTTTTTTATATAGTTAAAGAACAGGTTTATTAGGGAAAAGGACAGGAGAATAAAGGACACTTGTATAGATACAAGTGGGCGGGAAGAACTGCCCAGAAGGAACAAGTTTCCTGAGAGAAGCCTGCATGGTTGCAGGCGGGCGGCCTTGAGGAGAGCGGCCTCCACTGAGGGAGGTCAGTGAAGAGAAGTCCCAGCATGTACAGGTCATGGGCAGGCAGGAGGCTGCTGCCCTGCAGAGGGAGCGAGTTGGTGAAAAGAATCACCTGCATAGGCACAGGTGGGCAGATGGAGTGCTGCGTATTTCTCTTTCTTCTAACTCTTGCAGAATATGGTGATATTTACTGATTTCCACCCCCCAGCCATTTCATTGAGTATGTGTTCTAGTTAGAGACACATGAGAAACCTGAGTGAAGAGTCAGAGACCCAAGTTCTAGTCCTGACTCTGCCCTTGATGCTGTGTGACCTTGGGCAAGTCCTTTCCCCTCTCCGGGCTTCAGTTCTTTTTTTTCTTTTTTCTTTTTTTTTTTTTTAAGATTTATTTATTTATTTATACAAGCACAGGGTACAGTCAGAAGTGCAGGAGGGTGAGAGAATTCACCAGAGCCAGAGCGGGGAACAGAACAGGCAGACTGACGAAGTACACTGCTGAGGGGAGCAGCGGGCAGCAGGAGAGGTCTGCGCACCATGTGGGACCCTCACCCAGTGGCCGGGGATCGAACCGGCACTGCAGAGGCTGCGGGCAGCTTTGCAACCCAGTGCTCAACCGCTGCGCCACAGGGGAGGCCCAGGGCTTCAGTTCTTGTCCAAAAAGAGGAGCGATAAAACCAGTGGTTCTTGATCATAGCTGTACAGATGAAGCACCCAGGAGCTTTACGGCAGTATCAGGGCTCTACGCTGGACCAACTGATCCGGATCTCTGGAGATATATTTTTAATCTCCTGGAGGATTTTGATGCTCAGTGGACCTGAGAACCACAGGACGAGACAAACTCAAAGCCCTTCTGTTTCTTACATTCTGAGAGTCTTCTCTGCTAAATTTAGACTTGCTTGCTCATCACTAAGGAGAACTGATAAGGAGAGAGGCAACTGCATTTTTTTCAAGCTCTCTGGGCTCTACTTTCAGCTGTGCCTATGTGGGCAGCAGGAGCCAAGGCCTGAGTCAGCAGCAGGCGCATCAGGTCACCCCACGTCACCTTCCGGGGCTGGCTTTTCCAGCCCCCACAGAGGAGCCGTGGTTCTGGGCTGCTGTTGGGATCCCAGGTTTGGAAACACAGTTCAGAAAGGTTGCCGAGAATCATAGGAAAGATGTCACCTCATATGGCTGCATGGTATGAGAGCACATAGAGAGACAGAAAATGGAAAATGCATTTTATGCTCAGATGACAGCTCCCCATGATGGTCCAGAAGTAGGAAGCCTACAAGTAGGTGCCAGGGGACAGAGGAAGGGGATCTGGACCCCAGTCTGGGCCTTGGCACTAGATTTCTGAGTTATTCTTTCTAGGTCACTTCCCCTTTTTGGGTCTCAGTTTTCTCACCTGTAAAGGGAAATAGGTTTGAACATGGATCTCTTTTCCTCACATCGGACTTCACAGTCACACAACGATTTCTCATTTTTTCATCCTGCTTGGTTTTTACGAAAAGTATCTAAGAGCAGGTGCTGACGACCTCTCACTTTTTCAGGAGACTCAAAAGAGAAATGGTTTGTCAATGACCCTCAGGGAAGACTCTCCTGGCTTCTAAGTTAGTATTCCCACCCACTCCTCCAAAGATGGCAGTTCTAAAGTTCCTAAACTTCCCCTTGACTTTGGAAGTTTAAGGACAGATAACGGATATATACCACCTGAGATATATACATATTTCAATAGTAGATGTAATAAGAAATGAAACCATTTTTTAGTTCAAAGGTATTAGGATTTTAAGTAGGAAGGAAGGAGAGAGGAAAGGAGAGGGAGGAAGGGGGGAGAGGAAGGAGGGAAATTGGGAAAACAGAAAGGGAGGAAGGAAGGGGGAGGGGCCAAGCTAAAAGTTCGCTGATGCACGATGGAATATTACTCAGTAATCAAAAAAGATAAGCTCATGCCATTTGCAGCAACATGGATGGCGCTGGAAGGGATCATGCTCAGTGAAATAAGCCAGAAAGAAAAAGAAAAATACCGGATGGTCTCACTCATAGCAGGAATTTAGAAAACCTAAATAAGGGACCAGGAAAAAGACTAATTATAATAAAGTAAAAATCAAAATCAATAAGCAACTATAAACCAGAGACACACTACGGGGGTGGGGGGAGGAGGGATTAGGGTCAAAACAAAGAGGGGTGGGAATTGTATGGGGATTATAGCCAAGATTAAAATGCACACATTGTGCAAAAATGAAAAATGATGTAAAAAAGATATAAAATAAAAATAATAATAATAAAAAAATAAAAGTCCGCTGATGTAGCAGAAAGTCTGGCGGCTCTGGAGCCACCATTCTGTTCATCCCGCCCTAGGCACCAAATCCTGACTTTCCCCTCACCTAGTTTTACACATGCCATGTTAGCAGGAGTGAGTGATGGAAGAAAACACACCAACATTTCCTGCTTCATTCTTTGTAGATATTGGCAAGGCTGAATTTAGTGCTGGGGAACATGATTTTTTCTTTTTAAGAAAAAAAGTCTGTATCTTCCTCAAAACTCAAAAAAGTCCTATTTTTGAACTCTGAAAAAGAACATCGAGTTCTCTTTCCTCTCTGCCTTGGCAGGGTTCACTCAGCTCACAATCCCACTTAGGACGCAGAGACAGCGGCGCCCTCCCTGGGGCTGGCTGTGGGCGGGCGGGGCAGCTTCCTGGGTCGGAGGACAGGCCGAGATGCTGCTCCGGCCCAGGACTAGGAGGCAGCTGAACAGCGCCTCACCCCGACTGTCACAGGGCAGGAGAGCAGGTGAGCACGGTTGTGAAAGTAAACAGAATCTGGGGGGGGAGGGCCTGCGTTAATGATAGTCACAAGATTTAGGGGGTGCCAATTGCCCTTAGGGTGCCCTGGGAGTCAGCTCTTCTGAGGGTGACTCCCAAATTCCAATTCCTTCTTGGTTCCCTGCCCCATGTGAAGGGCCCCTAAAGGTGAGCCCAGATTGCCATCCTGCCTAGGGAGGGAGGCACTATAAATCCAAGGGCTTGCCACTACTCCCAGTGACTTCCTAGCTACAACCAAGGCCACATGCCAAGAAGTTAGCGCCACCAGGGTCTGCGTGTTTTGCTTATCACCCTGTGGGGACACTTTTTATGTTGAGATTGATGTTTCTGGTCTGCCGCTCTCATTGCATGCTTTGCATGCTGGGCCCTCAAAGCCAGGGACCAGATCTGCATCCTCTTAGTATACAGCAGGCGTTCCATCATGCACGTGGACTCCATGAACGAGTGCATGAATGTGCACACACAAGAAATCAAATGCACAGGTGGGAGATCCGAGGCCTCGCCTTACCTGTACCATGCAGGGTGTCCTCCCGCACGTTCCTGTCATGGCCAGGCACCAAGCCTGTGGCACATGCACCTGCGTAGCAGGCAGCTTAGAGGGGCCTGCCTCTTCCCAGCTCAGAGTCCTGTTCCTGCTTGTCCTTGCCTGGGGCAAGACTCCCACACTCCCCCAGTTCAACCCTTGTTCCCTTAGGCACAGCTTCAATCCCTACCCTCAAGTCCCAGCCCCACCACCTACCCAAGTCCCTGCACACACACACCCTGTCCTTTTTTCTTCTTTGCCTCTCACTCTCCTTAACCCTTTCACATTGGCCTATGTCTTTGTTTAGCATTGGCTTTGTGAGGGCAGGAGCCAGGCTGTGTTCTCAGGATTCTTCCACCAGCCTCATCCAGAGCCTGGCACCCAGTACGGAGGCCCTGGGCAATGCCTGATGAACATGTGAATAAACCAAGGCCGAGTGGTGGAAATGCTCTGCCTGGGAGTCGAGTTGCAGGAGTAGACCACACATTCTGAGCCCACCTCTCCTTCCTTCCTTTCTCTGATGAGTCATCCATACTCATCACCCCAGTCATCCTGGAGAAGGGCTGCAAGACTTCCCCACCCCTACTCCGCCTGGGTGGGCTTGCACACCCGCCTCCCTTCCTCACAGTGTCTCTGCAGCCCACTTGTGCAGAGCAGCTCTCCTGCAGGCACCAGCACCGTCTCTTGGGGCCTCGGGCCAGAAAGTGTGGCGTCACCCTGGCATCTTGGCACTCGTTCCCTGATCTTGCACTAGGAACAGCTGGTCTCTTGGTGGAGCTGGGTCTCAGATCCAGAGCCCACCCCACCTTGGACCTGGTCCTTCCAATCCCTCATCCTCCTCCAAATGCCACTGGCTCTCTGCCCAATGCACTGCTTTCATCCACCTCTCCCAGCACTGCCCACCCAGGTATCAATGCCTTGTGCACCCTCAGAGTCTTTGCTACTGTGGCCCAGGAGACTCAGGGAGACCAGGCCCTCTGTGGTCCTCCTCCCGCTCACTGAAGGCCTCCTCCAGGCTGCACTGGATGGTGATGCTGCAAGTGGGTCCTAGAACAAAGCTTCCTGGGTTCAAATCCCATGGGCAAGGCATTCAGCCTCATCAGGCCTACTTTTTCCTCCTGTAAAATGGGGCCAATGAAACTTACTTCATAGGAGAGCTGTGGTCAATACTTGCAGCAAGCTGTTGAAAGCAACTCCCACAGCACTTGGGACATAGTTGATCGTCAACAAATGTTCATTCTCTCCCTCCCCAGCAATACTGCTGCCTTTGAAATGGCTGATCCACAATGACGGCCTCTAAAGCTAGCCAGCTAACAATGGCGTAGACTTACAGCTCTAGTCTCCTTTCTGGACATTGGGAGGGCATGGTGTCATGAACAGATACAAACAATTAGCCTCGCCAACAAAAATAAAGAGAAGTAGTTTCAAGAAATCAACACAGAAACTCAGCACAATATTGCAGTTCTATTTTGGCAGGAACTGGGGGTTCTGACAGCAGAGTCATTTGATCATCTCTCCGAGTAGCCTAATGAGGGGAGTGACGTCGTGGAGGGTGATCAGAGGATAAAAACAGCTCTGGCTGAGTCAGTGTGGAGACACTGGACAAGCACCAGACAACGGGCGCCCTCCCCCCTCCCTGCTGCACAGGTTAGCCGGGGACCTCCTATCCGGGAAATGGGTTGGTGGAAATACAGTAACATAATGTGGACTCTCGTATAACTTGTGGGCTTTTGAAAGCACACAAGCAAACCAATTAAGTCCCCTACATTACGTGTCCTGTTTCCATCTGGGTGAAGCACTCACTGCTGCTATACTTCATAGCAAAACTGAAAACCTTTCTTAGTCCTAACATCCTTCAAGTACTGTCCTTGGTCCTTTCCAAATTTCCTGCCTCCTGAGGAAAGGGCTGTCCGGTTTCAGGATCTATGCATAGATTGTTCCCATTTTCTCCTCAGGTCCCCAGAACCTGGCTTTGGTCTCCACCACCCAGGGTCACCTGTAGTGCATAGTGCGATCTTCTTACTCCATCAAGAGACGCATTAAAGATGAGAACCACCCTTCCCTCCCCTGAAATGCCATCAGGATCGATGCACAACATTCAGAAAGAGCCTGTGATGTAATGAGGCTGGAAACAACTGCAGCTGGCCCAGCCCCTGCCATTAGAGGCCTCTTCTGGCCTCTGGCCTCACAAACTTCAGTCTCTCAGCCATCCCTGAGCCCTCATTCTATCCCCCCAGCTCTTGCATTAGGTTCTATCTATCTATCTTGATTTGGCCTTTGGCTCCTAGCCCATTTGTAACCGGCTAGTCCCCTGGGCATTACCCCACTTCCACTTCTCATCAACCAAAGACTTCTATGCCGGACAGGGCATTGCCTTCGAGAGCCACAAGCCCCTAATCCTGCCGTGTCCTCTGCCTGGGGCAAATGCAGCCACATCTCCCTCTCCAGCAAGGATCCCCTGTAAGTGCAAGACTTCTGTGCACAACTGTCCCTAACTGGGTGGCCCAGTTGGATGCCCTGGGCAGGCATCCAAACCGAATTTGGTGTTTCCCTTAAACCTGTTCCTCTCCCATTGTTACAGACTGACTGTGTCCCTTCAAAATTTCTTTGTTGCAGCCCTAACCTCCAGAACTTAGATTTTATAGCTTTTTTTGGAGATAAAGTCTTTAAAGAGGTGATCAAGTTGCAATAACTTGTTAGTATAGCCACTGATCAAATCTGACTGGTGTCTTAATAAAAATAGGAGAGTAAGATACAAAAAGAAACACAAGGGAATGAGGGGGAGAGGCACCTGCACAGAGCGACACAGCCAGATGTTGTCATCTGCAAGGCAAGGAGAGAGGACTCAAAAGACATCAAGCCTGCTGACACCTGGCCTTCCAGCCTCCAGGGCCGTGAGAAAATAAATTGCTGTTGTTTGAGCCACCCAGTTGATGGGGCTTTGTTACAACAGTCAGAGCAGACCCACCTTCATAAGGGCGCAATGCCAATGTCCACGTAGTGTCTGGGGCTGGGAATCTGGAACCTTTCTGGACTCCTCCCCTCACTTTCACAGCTAGTCACAGGCTGTCTCTGTCTCCCCCATGCCTTTCCCAATTGTCCTCAGTCTCTCTCCATCCCATCTACTTCCTGTCATCTAGACAACAGGTAGAGCCCCCAAGTCTGCTGAATACAAAGACCACCCATCCACTGGGCCAGGGAGCACAGCACAAAGAGGGGTACACAGGATGTCTGCTGTGGCCTGACCCTACATGGGGATGGAACACAGGATCTAGCCCGTAATGAGACAGGCAGCAGGTGGCCAAGGGCTCTGAGTTTCAAGCCACCTTCTGGGCTTTAGGGTTGTTTGTGAAGATCTTACAGGAACACACGTGAAGTTGAGGATGTTATACAAAGAAGAGCATCGAGGATCACCTAAAAACTTAGCTCTCTGCATTGTGCAAAGTTGTAAAATCCGATGGCTTTGCTCCAGCGCTTTGTGGGCCTCCCAAACCCAGGTGCCCGCAGCCCTGTGTCTGTCCCCTGCTTTTCTCTCTTTTCAGGTGGCTTGGGTAGGATTTGATGCAATGACTGCTGAAGAGTCCCCACCAGCCCTCCCTGGGCAGCTTCCACATCCCCCTGGTTTGGGGTTTCATATCAACAGATGGCTCCATGGTGTGATGGGTTTGGGTGTTTTATCTCTATTTCTTTCTTTTGGATTTTGATAATGGATTTTTTCTTTGAACACTCCTAGTCTCCTTTAGTTCTTGTTGGAAATAGTGTGTGCTCATGTTGAAATACACCACCTGAGGCTCCCTGCAGATGGGGCTCCAACCCTCTGGAGGAGCTGAGAAGCCCCTAGAATGCCTCTTACCTGCAATATCACAGAGTTCTGCATCCGAGGCGTTTGCCAAGGCCTCCTCCAGCTCCGGCTCCAGCGTCACACTTTCCAGCACAGGATCCATTGGCTTTTGCTTGGGGACCCAGACCTTTCCTGCAAATACATAGTCTGTTGCAAGGTGTGCCACTGTGATGGGGGCAGCCTCTATCCTTGGTTCTGGGGCACCACCGGCCCCTCAGTGCTGAGACTGCCTTGAGGTTCCCCTCACTGGGCACCAAGTGCCAAACGTCCCCAAAACACAGGAATCAGAGATCTCCAACAATGCTCCCTTAATCTTTGGAAAGAATAACTTTATAACTTGGTAAAAGCAGACTGCTTGCTGTTGAAAACACCCATCCTTGATTTAAATAACCTGCAAGTCAAAAAAGAAAAATACAGTAGACTCTAGGGTCTGGGAACCAAGGGTTCTGAAATGAGAGAAAAATTCAGAAACATTTCTAAACAAAACAAATAAAATGCACTCAGATTATTAAAAGAGGAACAGGGCACAAAAATGTATCCTCTCCTCATGGGACATTATATTTTTGAAGTGTCAGACTCATGACTAAGTGAGGGAGCAAAGAGGCAGGCGCAAGATGACCACTGCAGATTCCACAGTAGGGGTTGCTGAAGAAATGGGGGGCCCAGACAATGGTGTCCCCACATTTATCACAAAGGATGATGGCGCTCTCAATTTACTAAGAAGGAAATGCCCAAGATGAAATGTTGCATGAAAAACCAAATTTGTGAAATAGCATGAACAATAGCATTCTATAGATGAAGAACAACAAATATTTTTGAGGGCCTCCTATCTGCCAGGCGCCTTTGTGGGGGCTAAGGGACAGCAGTGAACAATTTACAATTTTGTGAAAGGCAACAGATAATAAACAAACATATAGAGACCAGATGTTGTTAAACATTACAGGGAAAATAAAGTGGAGCGAAAGACTAGGACATTTCAGGCTGGGCTGTGGGTGAAGTGGGCACTGCTATTTTGGGGAGGGGCATCTGGAAGGTCTCACTGGAATAATGGCCTCTGAGCTGGAATCTGACTGAAGTGAGGAAATGAGCCCCTAAGATCAACAAGACAAGGATGCCAAGTTCACTGCTGCCACTCGAAACTGCGCTGAAAGTCCCAAGCAGAGTTCATAGACAAGAAATAAAAAACAACAGGCATCTGGGACCAGAAAGGAAGTAAAATCACCTCTACTCACAGCTGACATATTATATGTAGCAAACTCTAAAGACTCCACAAGAAAAGCTCTTAAAACTAATTCATGAGTTAGGCAACATTAGAGGGTACAAGGTCAATGTATAAAAAAAAGTGTTGCTTCTGTATGCCAACAATGAATAATCTGAAGAGGAAATTAGGAAAATAATTTCATCTACATAGATTCCAAAGGAATAAAAAACTTAGGGATAAATTTAACCAAGAAGGTGCAATGCTTGTGCTCTGACACTATAAAACACTGCTAAGAGAAATTAAAGAAGACACAAAAACAAATGGGGAAAAAAATCCCAACCTCATGGTAGGGAAATTTAAGATTAGATGGAAATACTTCTGTCAGAAATGGAAAAGCCAATCCTCAAATTTAAGTGGAATTGCAAGGGACCTCAACTAGCCAAAATATCCTTAGTAAAGAACAGAGTTGGAGGATTTATACATCTTGATTTCAAACTTACTGTTAAGTTAAAGAGTGTGGCACTGGCATAAGGATAGATATTTAAATAATACAGTAGGATTGAGGGTCCAAAAATCAATTCATACATTGATGGCAAACTGAGTTTTTACAAGGGTGCTAAGTCTATAGGACAAAGAATAATTTCTTCAAAAAGTGGTGCTGGGACAACTGGATATCCACATGCAAAAGAATGAACTTGGACCCCTGCTTCACACCATACAAAAAAGAACTGAAAATAGATCAATGAGTTATGTTACACATGATTAGAAGACAACATGGGTACAAATCTTCAGTATTTTAGAATTGGCAATTTATTCTTAGATATGACAACAAAAGCACAAGCAACAAAGGGAAAAATAGATCAACTGGACTTCATCAAAATGTAAAGCTTTTGCACATCAAAGGGCATATAAAGAAAGTGAAAAGACAAATAATGAATGAGAGAAAATCCTCACAAATAGCAAATCTGATAAAGTCCAGTATCCAGGCTATATAAAGAATTTTTACAATTCAGCAACAAAAACAGCAGACAACTCTATTTAAAAGTGGGCAAAGAAGTTGAATAGACATTTCTTTAAAGATGTATATCAATGGCCAAGAAGCATGTAAAAATATGCTTGACATCCTTGGTCATTAGGGAGAGGTAAGTCAAAACCCAAAAACTAAAATGGAAAATAACAAGTGTTGATAAGGATATGGAGAAAAGGGAACCCTTGTGGGAATGTACAGTTGCTGTGGAAAATAGTTTGGCAATTTTTCAAAAAAATTAAAAATAGAATTACCACACGATCTAGGAATTTCACTCCTAGGTAAATATACAAAATAATTAAAAACAAGGGCACAAAAAATTTTTGTGAAGGAATCTTCATAGCAGTACTAGTCACAATAGCTAAAAGGCAGAAATAGCCAAAATGTTCATCAGTAGATGAGTCAATAAACACATTGTGGAATATTATTCAGTCAGAAAAAGGGAAAGAATAGTCTTAGAAACGACATGCTAGGTAAAAGAAACCAGACACCAAATCACATGTGATTTAAGTCATAGGAAATATCCAAAATAAGTAAATCTGTAGGTTTAGCCTAGTGGTTGCCAGAGGATGAGGGCTGGTACTAAGGGGATAACTATGGGTACAGCACTTTATTCTGCAGTGATGAAAATGGTTTGGATGTAGAGGTAGTGGCTATACAGCAATGTGAATGTACTAAATGCTACTGCTGTGCTCACTTTAATAGGGTAAATTTTATATTATGTGAATTTTACCTCAATTAACATTCCTCCACTTTGGCTGTTGATTGAAAAATAGCCAGAAAGAGGGTGAGGACAGAAGCCGGAAGATGGCTAGGAGGCTCCCGTAATAGGCCAGGCAAGAGATGATGGTGACTGGGACCAGCATTATAAAGACAGAGGCGAGGAGTGAATGGGAAGTACACAAATATGTCCAGAAGGATGTGGACTGATAGGGGATCAATGCTTATCTCTCAGCAGAAAGGATCACTCTGCTTTGTTGCTTAACTTGTTTACAGTAAAAAGCTTTACCCATATAAGTAGGACACACATTTGGGGGAAAATGTATCATTACTCCCACTGGAGGTGGATCTGGAAAAGAACAATACATACAAAGAAAACAAGATGCCTAAAAAGGAAATCAACTGTTGTGAAAATGACTAATACAATGACTCAGATGACCGATCAGTAAACACTAACATTTATAGTTTATTATATCCCTGCAGATGGTAACTTCAGTCAGGGCAGTGACTCTATGATACTACAAAGAGGGACTTGGACTTCTTCTCTCCCTTCATCTTACTAGCTGGAATGTAAATGTGATGACTGGAGCTACAGCAGCTAGATGGACCATGAAGACAAGCACATATTGCAGGGATGGCAGAATAAAAAACTGGAAAATCTCTTGGTTCCTAAATCATGTGAGATGCCTTACCAGTCCTGGAATGTCTTAGCCTGCAACTCTTCTAAAGTAAAACAAAATTAAACTTCCATGTTGATGAAGTCTCTTTCTTTTCCTCCCATCCCTACCCCACACATGCAGCCAAATGTAATTCTAATGAAAATATCCTACTAGGAAATTTATTCTGATCCCTCCGCTAGCATAACAGTGAATGAGAGTCAAAAATCCTTAGAGCTTTGCATCAGTTTGTGGCTCTTACTATGTCCTGTCGGGGCTTACCAAGATGAGAGTGCTGTTTTGGCAAGCCCGGGGCAGGTCTAGGCCCAGTGGGGACAGGTGCTTGGAGAGGGCTGGACTGAATGACCCTGAGTCTGCTGGCTGGAGTTGCAGCGTCTCCTCCATGCGCCCTGCTGACACCCCACTAATTCAACCTATAAGGTCAGGGAAGTACTTGTTGCTGGTGGTGACGACTGATGACGATGATGATGATGATGGTGATATTATGAAACTTTCAGACTTGTTGTTACATGGAAATAGGGTAAATTCTATCTACCCTCCTCCATGAAGGCAGTAAGACCTGAGAGGCTGGGAGGCCAGCATTCTGTGTGTGGGTGTGTGGAGGGTGGCAGGATGGATTTGTGTGCCCCTTGGGTTCCTCCCCACTCCCTCACCCACCCTCCAGCATCTCCCCGGTAGCGGTACATGAGGAAGTGGACACCAGCCATGATTCATGTCACTGGCTGCCCACCCAGGTCTGCCGCTGACTCTGTTGCAACAGCCTATTTCCCCATTTTCAAATGTGCAGGTGGGATGATGGAGTTTTAAGGTCCCCTGAAATCCAGAGATTCTATTATCTGCTGCACAGAAGCCCCCCTCATGACATAAGTCCTTTGCTTGAAAATTGTCTTGAGGTCTTGCTCTCTCCTGGGCACACCCAGCCCTCGTGGTACAGGCCCTTTTTCCCTGGCAGCTGCCCCCACCTCAGGTAGCCTCAGACCACACAATCCTCCCCACATTTTGTAGTCCAGATTCCCGTGGGCTTCCCTGACCTTCTAAGTTGGGACACCATGTGGATTGAGCTCTAATTCTAGAGTTTGGAATGGCTCAGATTCCTCCCCCACGATGTCTACTCCTGCTTGCTTTTTCACTTTATTACTTATCAAGCAGCTACTCCGGGACGGGCTCTGGGCTGACATGACAGGAATACAGAGATAAAAGCTCCAGACATGGACCCTTGGCTCATCATACTTACATTCTTAGGGCTGGGGAGATGGCAAAAGACTGAAATAAACAATTGCCCCCACAATTAATTAATTAGAATTCATGCTTTTTTGATTCAACAAACATTTATTGGGTGCCTATTATGCACCAGGGTTGATTAGGTACTGGGATTGAGCAATGACTAAGAAGTGTGGTCCTTGTACTCGTGGGGCTTATATTCTAAGAAGTAGCCCACACAATTCATTATACCTTTATTTAATTCAAAATCATTCATTCATTCATTCATTCATTCATTCATTCAACAACTCTCTAGTGAGGCCTGCTGTATACCGGACCCGGTGCTGAGGGTACTGGGTGAGCAAAACCAGCCCAAGTTGCTCTCATGGAGCTTACTGGGGAGGGAGACAGACAAATGATAAATAAGGAAATAATGGCAAGTGTGAGATGCTATGAAGGACACACACAGGCCCCTGAGACAAAGAAGGATCGAGGGGGAGCTGAAAGGACTGCCTGTCTTAAACAGAGCAGACAGGAAAGGCTTCCCTAAAACAGGAGATAGCACAATTGAGGCCTCAAAGATAATAATAGCTAATACTTCCATAGCACTCACTACGCAACAGATGCTGGGCTTAATGTTTTATATATATCTTAACACAATCTTCCTAACACCCTCGTGAGGCTGGCAATATTTTTATCCCCGTTTTAAAGATGAGGAAGCTGAGGCACAGCAGCTTTAAAAATTTGTTCTAATTCACACAATTACTAAGTGGCGATGTCAGGATTGTCACCAAAGGACATCTAGTTCCGGGCTGTGTTTCTAACTATATGTCACTTATAAGGGAGAAAGAACCAGCCCTGAAGAAGTACAGAGCTGTGAGCAGGACCAGCATTCCAGGCAGAGGGATACATGCAAAGGCCCTGAGGTGGACAAGAGGTTGGAATGTTTGAGAATCAGCAGAAGGCCTAAGGGGCAGCAGTGGAGCCAGCAGGAGAGGCGTAGTACAAGAAGACAGCAGGAAGGTCTAGAGTATACACAGGGAAGTTCTGAGGGGCTGGAGAGTGAGGGAGTAGGGGGTGAGGATAGATGAAGACAGAGATGCTGCAGCTGCCAGAAAGAGAACTTTTGGGAAAGAACATGGACAGAATGAGGGAGGCCATTTTTTTTGTTGCTGGGTTGCTCAGGAAAGTCTTATTTAGGTCTCATGTCCTTATGTCAGGATTATTAGCTTCCTCTTTCACATTCAAAGTATCTACATTTGTATGAATGGTAATGAGGACACCCTTAATTGGGGATTTAAGAGAAAGTTCTGCCTGTCTGGATGGATAGAACTCTTTCTGGAGTTAACCCAAAAACTCTGCAAAACCTACATCACACATCAACACCTTCAGAGTTGGCTTTGTGTTTCTTGGTGAGGCAGGGATGAGGTCCAGTCACATCTAGCCACAAAGGGCCTGGCAAACAGTTGGCACTCAGCAAATGCACAGGGCATGACATATTTGTAAGAGCAACATTGTTCAGTACCTCGCTTTTCGCCTGTGTAGGGGACCAGATCTTCTCGGTCCTTAAACTCCTTTGCTTGCTTTTCCAAGTGATCCAAGAGCTCCTCCCTTTTAAAGGGGCCTGTGGGCGCCTTGGTGGTCTGATCCTTCTGCCTCAGGCCTGCGGGCAGCAGTGCATTCTACAGCGGAGGTTGTGGGGACAGATGAAACAGAGAGAGAAAGAGAGAAAGAGACAGTAGTTAGCTGCTGAAGACTTGCATTTCTCTAGAAATTCCTCAACAAACCAGGGAGAGTTCAGAGCCATGAATCAGAGTTAGCTTATTTGAATGACAAGGCACAGAGCTAGGCCAGGAGGCAGGTCTCTTAAGGGTCCTGCCTTTTCCAGTTGCTAAGGATTTTTTGAGGTGAGGGAGTGAGGGGTCAGCTGATAGGTGCTGAACAGAGAGTGTCACTCCACGACTATGTTGAGTCATGAATAATACTGAGTCTGGATGCCTGAAGATATTTACATCCATTGTATACAAAGTGCTTAGGGAGAGAAGTCCAAAGGGCTGAGTTAGGGTCCTGGGTGAAGAATCAGGCAGGAAGAGGCAGACACAAGAAACAAGCAGGAGAAGGGCTGGGCAGCATGCTCAGGGCGGGCAGTCCCGGAAGCCCCAAGGCTGTTTGCTACCTTCCTGACAGTCTGTGATCTCGCTGTGTGCTATTAAATATTTTGAACGTCGCCCCTGGAGATGGGTCTCTCAAGAAAGATAACATCAACCAATCATTATGTTTGGGCAGGCTACTAGGTGTGGACTTACTACTAACAGATTCCTAACTAGGGTGGAATGGAATTGGGCTTCACTTTAACTCAGCACCCCCAACTCCCATGCCCTAGAGATTCAAAGAGGTTTATAATTACAAAAATGCTTAGAGATTGTCTAGAACACACACCTTCCCTTCAAGAGGAAACTGAGGCCCAGAGCAAGAAAAGATTTGGCCAGGTAATTTCAGGGGCAGATCTAGAACAAAATCCAGGGGACTTCCTCAGAGTTTGGGGTGGAGGGCTCTCTTCCTGACACCTTCCTTCCCGAGAGCCAGTGGAAGATACCAGGAAGGCAGATGTGAGCATAATCTCCCCTAGCTTCTTGCCACATCCCCAAATTGGCTAAGTTGGGGAACCATCCCACCGTTGATATTGGCAGCACCAAATGTACATCTTCAGTCACATATGTACACCTCCAAATCCCTTCCCAAGTGACCCCTTTGGGAGAGTAAAGACACCATGGAACATTGAAGATAGTGGTGTGCCTGCTAGGTGGAGGGAGGAAGCTTGGAAGGGAAATCATTCTGTTCACCAGGTGTCTGACCTTTGTACAAAGCCCTGATTTGGGGTGATGATGATTCCAGCTATATAATCTTGGGCAGGTCACCTATTTTTATTATGGTTCAATTTCTACAACTGTCTAATGTGAGTAATGGAGTTACTCAGAATTGTTGAAAAAATTAAATTAGATAATGCAAGGAGAGTGCTTAACATGGTGCCAAACACTCACAAATTACTACTTATCACTACTGTAGTTTTAAAATCATATAAGACATATTTTAACAGTTGACTGGTTACCCAAATATGTAAGTTGTGTAGGGGGTGTATTATCCAAATATACCTTGAAATTCAAAATGCAAACATAACTATAAGTGAGTTAAGCACAGAAAGCAAGTGTTGGCCCACAGATCCTTGCATGGGATGCCTGGTTCTCATAAAGGTTTGGGATGGTGGTGAAGCACACAAGGTGGCTCGGTACTGGAAGGGCAGACATTCACAAGGGTGTAACTGAGTAGAAAAGAGTTTGCAAACTCACATCACTTTTGGAAAAATCTGATAGAGCCCATTGGTTTAGTTAAAGCAGGGTTTTCCCCTCAGCACAAGAGATACCTGGGGCTGGGTAGTGGGGAGTTGGGAGGGGGCAGGAAGTTTATGCACCATAGACTGTTAGGAGCATTTCTGTCCTCCCCCTAGTGGGTACCAGGAGCACTCCTGCAGAGTGGGGACAATGAAACATCTCCCCAAACATTGCCAGGTAGGCAAAATTACCCATGGTTGAGAAGTATCATGTTTAACTTAAGCCCACATATTTATAATTAGGAGAATAAAGATGTTTTCACTGCATCTCAAAAATAACAATTATATACCAATAGCATGTTAAAATATGGCTTCATTCACTTAAATCTTGATTGAAAGCAACTGACTTTTAAAAAACAAAAATGTCAAAGGACTTTTTAAACAATCCTTAGCTTATCAGATTTTTAAAAAAGATTTTTATTTTTGCATAGAAGAAATGGGGCATAGGCCAGAGGTGTAGGGACTGAGAGGATTCACCAGAGACAGAGTGGGGAGCTGCATAGGCAGACTGACTGGAATACACTGCTGAGGGGAGCAGTGAGTGAGATAGGTTTGCTGCACCTTGTGGCTTAGTTAGCTCTCTGGCTAGGGATCGAACTCAGACCTGACTCAGGCCTCAGGCCATCATGGTGATAGGTAATAGTGCTGAGACTAACCCCTAGGCCACTAGGGAGGCCTGCTTATCAGATTTTTAAAGTAAATATAGATCATATCTGCCTTGGTAGAAGTTAAAATTTATTTTCTTTTCATGAAATTGTACATTTAATAATCACATGATTTTCAATTAAAACAAAAGATAGTTGCATATTTTTAAAAACTCTTGATTACCATTTTATTTGTTTTAAAAAGACTAATTGCACTAAAGTAAAAATCACAATCAACAAGCAACTATAGACCAGAGACACACTACAGTGGGGGGCGGGGGGAGGAATGGAGGGATTGGGGTCAGAAAAAGGGGGTGGGGATTGTATGGGAAATATAACCAAAATGAAAATGCATACATTGTGCAAAAATGAAAAATGATGTATTATATAAAATAAAAAATTAATTAAAAAACAGCATATGAACTCATATATTATATCAAAATGAGCTCAAAATGGATCAAAGACCTAAATGTAAGAGCTAAAACTATAAAACTTTTAGAAGAAAACACAAGCATAAATCTTTGTGACTCTGGATTAAGCAATGGTGTCGTAGATACGATGCTAAAACATTATGCAACAAAAGCAAAAATAATTGAACTTCATGAAAATTAAAAACATTTTGCTTTAAAGGACACTATCAAGAGAGTGAAAAAGACAACTCACAAACTGGTGTGAGATTTTTGCAAATCATATACCCAACAAGGGTTTCGTATCCAGAACATATAATGATTTCTTACAACTCAATAACTCAATGAAAAAATAGGCAAGGGATATGAATAGGAATTTCTCAAAAGAAGACATAAAAGTGGCAAATGAGCACCTGAAAAATGCACATTGGTGATCAGGGAAATGCAAATCAAACCAGAATGAGATGCTACTTCACACCCACAAGGAGAGTTATAATAAAAAAGACAGATAAGGACAGTGTGGGTGAGGATGTGAAGAAATTGGGACACTCATACACTGCTGGTAGGAAAGTAAAATGGTGCAGCCTTTTGGAAAACAGTCTGGCAGAAAACACACTGAGTTACAAGAAGCATCAATTCCACTCCTAGATATATACCTAAGAGAAACGAAAGCATGTGTCCACACAAAAACTTGTCCATAAGCATTCATAGTAGCATTATTCACAACAGCCACAATGCAGAAACAACCTAAATGTTCAGCAAAGGGTGGAAGGATAAATAAAATGTGGTTTATCCATACAATGGGATGTTATTTGGCAATAAAAAGAAATGAAGTACTGACACGTGCTGCAAAACACACGAAACCTTGCAAACATCATGCCAAGTGGAAGTCACGAAAGATTACAAAGTGTCTGATTCCACTAATATAAAATGTCCAGAAAATAAATCTATAGAGGTGGAAAGTAGCTTAGAGGTTGCTAGAGCCAGGGAGAATGGAGGGAAAGGAGGGCTGGCAGCTAATGGGTACCGGTACCTTTTTTGAGGTGAGGAAAGTATTCCAAAATTGATGGAATTTTTGAATGGGTGTGGTGGCGACGGGGGTGTCATTCTGATGGGGGTGTCACTCTGAACATCCCATTGTACACTTTAAATGGGTGAGCTTTATGGGTGAATTACATCTCAAAAAAAGCTGTTAAGAAATAGCATACATTATCTAGGGACAAATCATTAAAACGGTTAAGGCAATGACTAAACTGAGGAGGCTCGACCTGTGCCAGGGACCAACGAGGATGCTAAGATTGGCCAGGCCAGAGCTGGCCAGATTCAACATGATGTCCTGTGTTAAAATGTGGCGGACCTTATTATGTAAATTAGTGGTGGAGTAGTTAAACACGGGAAAGAAAGCATTGCCTTGTATCATGACTATCAGAACCTAAAACTGACTCTTCAATAGGCGAGGAAAACAGTTCCCACGTGCACTTTGTTGTCAGCTCTGATCAGGAGAGAATTTGGTGAATGTGCATGTGTGGATGTGTATCTTTCGTTCCTTTATTTCTTATTCATTCCACAAACAAACATCCACAGAGGGAGTATTAGGTGTCCAGGCAGTGTGCTAAGAGGTAGGACCGTGACCCCACAAAGAGCTCTCTGATTTGATGTGACAAAGGACACAGGAGGTGAAAGGGGGAAGTGGAGTAAAATGAGAGAAAAGTCTCAATTACAGCCTGTGTGGAAAAACAATGTACTGTTCTAGCTTTTAAGGTTAATCAAGATCCTTTTACTTTACTGAACAGCAAATAACAGTCTACTACTAGCCTCTACACTGTCATAAACGAAGGCCATATACTTCCATGATGCCTGCAAGTAATTGGGACCATCTACCCTTTAAGGTACTTAAAACACTGTCTCCTAAATCCTTAAAATGTGCGCAGGGAAGGTTGTTGGGCAAGTGCTTTCTTTAGTGCTAATTCAAAGGGCAGCGTCTTCCAGGACAATTGTCAATTCTGCCTTCGGGGAATCTGCATTTACATGGTCACATCACATGTACACCTTTACCAAAGTAGGTTGATTATGACTGAGGTTTGCATTGGGAGATAGCTTTGGTATCAGGCTCTGAGCATGTCTGTATGTCCTCACAACTGGACATTGACTCATTTGAGGAGGGCAGTGACTAACTGCTGCCTGGGGATAATCTCCTTATCATTTCCCAACAGCAAAGTTAGTGGTGGTCTTGAGGAGGAGGA